ACGTACGTATTTAACAAGCCTACTATTAAACACGTAACTGTGCGAATGGTAGGCAATGCACAGTGCATTTGCATGCGCCGAACGCCCAATCGATGCGTAAGGGGTGGGGGGAGTGGACGGGAGAGGGGAGACGATTGGAGATTGCAGTGGAATGGGCATGGGGTTCGAACCCCAACTCTGCGGTCTGTCCACCAGCGTCCGGCTAACCGCCGTGCGGGAATAATTAAAGCCGCCAGTCGAGGAGACCGTTAATGAACGACATAACTACGGCGCCCAAACTTGGAAATGTGTTTGATACTTTCTCCCGTATCTTTGTTTGCACTAATTTGATTGTCTAGCTAGTTTCACTCAACGCCTATGTTTGAAATTGTTGAGCAAAGATATTATTTTAAAGTAAATTATAATTTTTAAATTAGGATGCATATTCAATGGTTTTATAGACAAGCTCTTGTTCTTTCACATCGAGTTCAAGCTATAAACCGCCTCAGACAGCCAATGTAAAACTTTATAACAGATTATATCGCATATAATTTCATTTTAAACTCGTTTCTGACACCTCACAGAATGCATGATCGTGGGAAAATTTACGCATTAGAATCCGTCAAACTGTTTTATTACCCGGCGTGTTCTCTTCGCATAAATACATTGGGACGTGAACGTAGTATATTTTAGCTTTCGCTTGATTTATGCGTGGATTCATTTCACATAACACGCAATTGAGAGCTTAATATCTTTAATACCTCACGCACTGGTATCCAGGGTTTGTTAATTGAAATATCGGAAGCCGTATCGCTGCGTGTCCGGCGGTAGGGGAGAACAGTGGGGGAGGCCTGTACGCAATATATCTATACATATGTACTATAGGAAGATACGTACTTAGGCCGCCGGGAGACTGTATCTGATATATGTGGACTTTATATAGGGGCATCGTCAATACCTTAGTGGCCAGAGAAGCGTATCTTACTATATATGGCTTAAGGATGGTTTGTTGGAAAGGTTGAATGAAAAACAAAAATTTTGAAGTCTATGGCGCATAAGTGATTGGAAAACGGTCGTCTGCGGTCGCCCTAGACATCTATCGATGGTATACTGATGGTGGGTGGAGGTATATATGCGTATATGAAATGCGATTGGGATTGAATTTCATAATAAATAAATTAATATGCATAATAGTATTAACCAATTTTCAAAGTGATTCACATGCTGTGCCTTCTTCACTTAAGAGGAATTAAGGGTATAAGGAAGAAGAATGCTTTGAAAACTTACGACTTCTAAATCATTACCGCCATAGTAGAACAGAGCTTGTATCACCAAGGAATATCATTTTATTACCGGAATCAGTTATTGCATTATTTTATTTTGCATTAGCGAATAAGTTTTGTCTATTATGTGTCTTGTTTCACAACTATGGCTTTTCAGTAGCTGCGAACCATTTATACGACCGGGATATAAACTTACATTGTAAGATGCGAACGTCAAACAGTCTACATTATGCAGAGGACGCAGTGAGGTTCGTATGAGATTGTGCTCCCCAAATGTAGTGGATTGCGACGCTGGGACTCGGCAAACTTAATTTTCCAGTGTCTTGCCTTGATAAAATGCCATTACGTCGCCGTGACTGCCGTATAGCTGAGAGTCTCCGCGTGCTTTCTAAGGGCTAGCGTGTGGGATGAATTTGCGATTGTTATGATACTTAAGCACTGTAAAGAGTTAACATCTCTTGAGTAAATTTAAGTAAACTTTTCGTGCAATAAATGCAATTTTCACTCGAAATTGATATTGTGTGGTTCTCTTCACGCTTTATCAATAAAAAGTATAATAATATGAAAAATAATCTAAATTTTATGGACGTTTCAAATTGATATGGGTTATCAAATTGTCTTTAAAATTAATGTAAGTCTTTAATGTGTGGATAATTAAAGTAAAACTACGTGTATATAACGGGAGATTAATAAAATGGTGTACAAAGACATTTAAATTGACTGCTTAAACTATTCGCAGTTAAATAATTTGCCAATGTTGTTTTGCCATATAAATTATTTCTAGAGGAATCGGAACGCACGCATAAAGTGTTTCACAGACATAGTTGACAGGTTGATGGTACATTTTGTATGGGAAAATAAAATTGTTGCTATTTCGATTTTCCATACAATTTTTCCATAGTTTTTCAACGTTTAAACCTTCCCTGGACTGCCACAAATATTTCAAAACCAAAATTAGCCAAATCGGTCCAGCCGTTCTCGAGTTTTACCGGGCCTAAACGTACAGCAATTCGTTTTTATATATAAAGATAAAACAAATGATTAGTACTCTTGGCTGTTATTTGTCCAGCACTACGAGATATATTAGGTTACCCTGTCCCACCTGATTCGAAACAAACTGGCTAGATTGTGTTACGGAAGTTATTCTGGCGCCGTTCCGGGAGACAGGACAGTGCAAGTTTAATCAGAATTCTTACGCAAGGCACCGTTGAAATAACAATGGAACGACTACGGTTGACCTCTGGCTTGTCTCTCCTTTCTGTGACAAAAAAAACGTAACAGACACTGCATTGCATACATTACTCTATGCCCGGTGACAGTCCAGACAATTGTGATTTTAAATAATATGTTTCTCTATATTTATTTTTAATTTTTTTATCGTCCTTGAAGTCACCGCTTTAGGCTACAATTAAAAGCAGCATTGTAGCGCTTAGTATTGCAGAAATTAGTTGAGAATTTGGTATCTGGTTTGACATCAGAAAATTCGGTTTTTGCTACATTTGTTATTCTTGTATTGTTTCTTTCGTTCTTTTGATGTCAATAGGCTTAGCTTGGCTTTTCTTTCTTTCTTTTTCATATCTATTTTCTTTTCTATGTCTGCATCGCCAGTTACCGCTATCATGTGGGAGAGAATTCAATCGTGACAAACAAGTGGGTAGGTCGCCTGATGATATGTGATCACCGCTGCCCATGGGCGTTCGAATCGGGCGTTGAATTTGCTAACAAATTATAATATTTAGTAAATATGGTATCAACAACAAAAAATCCCAACAATTCCTCATTCATATTATTATAGGGACTTTAATTACTTAATTTAATTTTCAAAATACCACTGATTATGTTGTAAATAACTGCCTCACATGCAATAGGTACATAGGAATTGCGAAACAAACGTGACGTGTATTATTAAGCAGTATTCCTTACAAGTTCCTCAGCTTCGTACATCAGCCAAGTGAGAGGCCGTGGCCAATTGTCGTTTTGAATGCCTGTTATACCTTCACGCTTGGAATCGGTTTACGACCCTTCGAGGACATGCCATGAAATTTTATTATGTCACGAACGATCGACTGACTTCAGATATTTCTGCAAATATTTAAAATTTTCTTTACATGTTTTAAGAATGTAATTACCTATGACAAGTCTATGGATTCAAGAATGCCTTTCTCACAGACATAGACTGGCGAACACGGCACATGACAAGTAGTCGAACAAATAAATTATGAAATGATTATTAAATGCAACTACTTCACGGACTTTATAGTATTTAATTATCTTTTTAAATCCCCGGCATTTATAACACTTTACAGCGTATGTGGTAACGGAGCAAGCTCATCTACTCGGGTTATATAAAAGCTAATTCAACGCAATTAGGATTCGTAAAAAAGATCACTTAAAAAATTTAGTAAGTCGCGTAATTCACCGTTTTTTTCCACAATGTTGAATAATTTTTAAAATTTATTTCTATACACGACCGTTCTCGCGACAAAAGTTCGCAACATTTCAATACTCTGTTTCGGTCCGCTTTAAATGGCATCTCCGGAATGAATGACGACTGGGAAATAGCCGGAAATCGTTCGGGAAATTGTTTCGACGCGATCGTGTTGGAATTTTAATTTTTTCCCTTGCTTATCTTGATTTATCTTTTATTTGAAGGAATTTAAATTTAAGTTCCTCTCAAGTAAAGTCTCGTTTAGATTGTTTTTCAAATATGGAGAATGTTTTCCTTTTTAAATTAAATTACTGAACTTACGTTATTTCTTGTATACTTCTTGTGTGATTGGCATGTTTTGTAATGACTATGAACATACATAAAATATACAGCGTGCCGTTACATCCGCGACAATAAATAAACACACGTCTAACGCTACTTGCCAATAATCTAAAAATAATAATCATAAAAAAATATAAAACATTAAAAAATCCATTTTTCAAACAAACTTATTAAATAAAAAAACAAACAAAATTTGTAACATCCTATACAACTGATTGATTCATACATTCAGAGACTTTCATTTGTTGCCAAAACGTCGCATTACAAGTCTCTCCTTCTAACAGTATGTTTTATCTCTTTTAAATTCATTCAACCCATTCATATGCTTTGTGACCTTTACAAATGAACTTTACGTTACAGTTTTATATGTTGTAGGAAGTTCTAAAAATGTTTGTTTTGTAAAATTTAATAACTCTATAAATATTAATGTTTAAAGAATGTAAATGCGTAATACAATTTTAAAAACTTATCCTCTATATGTGTGTTCATTTATTGTCGCGGTTGTAACGACACGCTGTATATGTACCTATGTTCTATATATTATCCGCCATATTTTTGTTTTCTCCCATCACTTACATAATCCTGCTCTTTTGAAAAAAAATGTTTTTTCGCCGCTACCATTACTATGGTAGGCCCACGCAGCAGTCTCCGCTGTTGCACGATCGGGCAGGTCCGTCTAGGTAAGTAACACGATCTCGCAGAAGACCGGCGTGAAATAAAAGTGTTATATTTCTGCGTTCCTTCCGGTGAGTTAGGTAGCCGGAGCCCACTTTACTGAAAAGTGACAACGCATCTGCAACCATAGGGGCGTTGCGAATGTCAATGAACCGCCAGCTCGTTTGCCAAAATCTCACGTAAAAAATATCTCGTTTTCTTTTCTATTTTAAGGCGTATTGTTGCGTCCTGGCTGTATATTAAAAATAAAATGTATTTTCTTTTTTTATTTAATGGAGCACTTTCCTTTCCAGCCATGAGCCGGAGGGCGGCGGCCGGTGCGGCGAGGGACCGCTAGCGCGCGGGATGCAGCCCGCGCCGCCGGGCGGCTCGCCTAAGCGCCAGGCCACCTCGGCACCGGCACACGGTACGTTTGTTTGTCTATTGATAGAAAGGAAGAAAGTAACACGGCCCAACACAATCCTTACTTCCTTTCCTTACTAATCCTTACTTATTAATTAATAATATTATAAACGCGAAAGTTTGTATGTATGGATGAATGTTTGTTACTCTTTCAAGCAAATACCACTGAATGGATTTTAATGAAACTTTATAATAATATAGCTTGTACATCAGAATAACACATAGAAAGGACCCAGTTAAAATCGAGACAAAGAACATATTGATATTACATACAAATACGAGATAGATATGACGCTAGCGCAACCAAACTGAGGCACTGAAAATACACCAATTGGTGCAATTAGATTGCATCTCTATAGACTGCTATCTCTTTCCGTATCATACATTCTATATCACCTGTCACATTCACTTATATGTAATTTACTGTAAAGCGGAACAATTTTTAAACACCGCACAGTATGATACATCATTTTTTTATGTGAAAAGTTGCCAAGCGAGCAGACGGTTCACCTGATGTTAAGTGAATACCGCCGCCCATGGACATCTGCTATACCCGAGGGTTCCAGATGCTTGCTTCTTATGCTTGGTTCTTACTCACACAGACGTGTTCCTACTCACGCAGATTTAGAGCGCATAGATGTTTATTACATCGTTATTTTTCCACCCGACGTGAATTGTACCTTTCTTTCGGTATTAAAGGTATTTCAGTGTTATAAGGTATACATACTGTCACTCCCCGTACTATGTAGAAAAATGTACCAATGCCTTGAGGCGTAAATTTTAATCTTCAACCGTTATTATATGACAGATTAAATATATAATGACTATTATGAAAGAATTATTGGCCGCTGTATATCTTTGCGTGGGCCCTGTACTTTATTTGTGTAAAAAGAACCTAAGATATTTCTTAAATTCAAATATTTAACAGTAAAACTGTTTATCGAATTGGATTTTGTTCACAATTTCTTGGGTCTTTTTTTTTTAATAACGTTAAGCTAGTCTTAATGACTTCAGCTCAGGTGATTCAAATCGGTGATTAGTCAACACATACAAAATTTATAAAAATTGTTCTTTTGTGTGTAAACATTCATATATAATAAGTAAACAGCTTTATTTAAACGTTACAAATACAAACATACACGTCTTAATTGTCGTCTTCCTCTCATTAATCGTCTTAATTGTTTAATATTTAGTACCTGGAGTACCGAGCTGTGCTCGGTTTGTTTTTTTTTTAAATCGTGTATTTTAGAAATTACATTTAACTAAAAATTACTGATTAATGAAATATGCATAATATTTTTCGATGTTACCGACCTATTAATAAGAAAATATGAAGTGGTGTTTTTCACAAAAGAAACAACTTTAAAAAAAAGGGAAAAAAAACAAAATTCTCTGGATCAAAAAAAAAAGAAAAAAAAAGAGTGTGTAAATGATCGTGACACGAACATTTTCTCTCGCGCCGAAATTTACCGTCATATTCGAATGATATTTTTCATTACGTGAAAACAGGGATAAAAGGACATTTTCTAAAAATGAAACCTAGCTAGATCGATTTTTCGCCCCCGAATCTACGCACATACTAAATTTCATGAAAATCGCTGGAGCCGTTTCCGAGATTCCGATTATATATATATATATACACAAGAATTGCTCGTTTAAAGGATAAGATATGCCCTCAATTTTGTTACGGAATATTGAAATATCCTGTTGATAAGTCTTCGTCCAATTAAGTACGTAGTCTTCTCAATTTGCGCACACAATTCAGATACGCGAATCGAAATGGGCGACGATTTGCATTGTCGATAATATTTTAATTGGGCCCTTGGGGGGGCTTGAGCCCTGGCCGGTGCCTTTGTTCCGGGCTACTCGTACAAACCGGACCCAATTGTTTCGCCGCCGTGATACGTGCGCACCGTTCAGCCAATGGGCATCTCGTTAATTTCGTTTGTAAAACAATCGGATCACTTCAACCAATAGCGAATGTTCTCTCGAGCCAAGTGTTTCGGCGAATTAAGCGCTTGTTGATGTGTATGTATTGTTTGTTTCGTTTTAAATGATCACGTGGCTTAATTTTTATATTTGTGTCCTAGTATTTCCTGTGGTAGGGTTGCACGAATTGGCAGGTCCGTCCGGAGAAGTACCACGGCCTTGCAGAATACCGGTGTGAAGTTATACTTCTGCGTTTCGTCTGGTGTACGCATTTGTAACCCTACGGGTGTTGCAAATGTCCTATGGGCGGCGGTTATCATTTAACATTAGGTGAACCGCCAGCTCGCTTGTCATCTTCTAACATGATAAAAAAATTATCACTTGAACATGAAACACCTCAATTTTTCTATATAAATGAACAAATACTTTCCGGGTTGTCCGGGTAACGTCCGTCGTCTGCCCAGACTCTTCACCAACTAAACTAAGTGGACGGTGACCTCACGACGCGAAAATCTCTACATTTCATTTTACGTAGCATTCCGATTACGTAGCGGGTCGTAGCTTATGGAGTTGCCTTGCGGTTTCAATTACTGTTTGTAGTGAGGAGTTTGAAGCTGTGGTCAGCATACCCTGCTTCTCAGTTGACCTGATAAGGGATGCATAGCTTATTTGTGGGGTTTTCACAAGTTCGTACGAACTGTATTCTTACTAAGAGCTCTCTTAGTCCGACGAGATTTCATACAGTCCTTAGACTGAAAACATTGTCCTACAACAATGTCAAGAGTGGTGTGTAAACCTTAAATTGTGTCATGTATTTTCAATTTTACTATGTAATTATATTATAAGTTAGCATTCGATGTTGACCGTTTGCTAGGTCCTTGTGGGGTTGCTGGGTCCTACACTATAAAATACTCGATTTTCAGAGAAGAAAAACTGAACATACTTTTAGGTACCTACGGTAAAGAAGGTAACCAGATTGTGTGAAAATCTTAACGTCTTTTATCTACATTGTTTTTAGCATTTGAAGCAATGCTTGGCGCATCCATTGTTATATCCTTTCCGACATACAAATAATTTCGAATATCGTTTTACAACGATAATTCGAACGAGAGATGTCGCCATTGCTTTTTAGAATTTTTTTTTTATAGTGCTTCTATGTTTGTACCACCTTTCGCAAATTATAAATTATTCCCTAGGGCGTATGTAATTATATTTCGAAATAAATTGTTACATTTTTACATCATAATTCCTAGTTATCGAGGATTTCTGATATAATTCACAGGAGCGTGGTGTGAGGCTTGATCTTGAGCTAATATATTATGTTAAGTTTGTCGTTTAAATGCAACCGCTGTTGGCTTTAATTTCGGCCAGGCGTCGAGGTTATCCAACGGAATCGTAATTATGTTTTTGTATTTCGTATTCGTATTGTTTTACCGCAGGTTGCGGTCCTTCCGAGAATAGAATCTTATGTCATTTGTGTGTATGTTAAGATCTCCGGTCATTTTTGATCAACGACTTTTGGATTAGAAACAAAGATCTAGACCTATCCACCGTTCGTCATAGTGATAGTCAAAATTAATTAATTATTATTTAAGCTTATTTAAATCTCTTATGAATGATGCACGAATGGGCAGACTCGTGCTGGGAAGCTCCACGGCCTAACAGATGAGTAGCTTGAATTAAGCGTTACACTTTTGTGATTCATCCGATGCGTGAGGTACCTTAGACATATTGTTGTTAACACACTTTTATTACCTTAACCTCCACGTTTGTATCTTTATAACGTAGTTTTCGAACGCTGTTTTTTTCCACATCAAAACGAAAGACTTATTTAAAACTAGCGACCCTCCGTGAAATATATTATATGAACCTTCCTCTTGAATCACTCCATCTAGTAAAAAAAACCGCATCAAGATCCGTTGTGTAGTTTTAAAGATCTAAGCATACATAGGGACAGACAGACAGCGGGACGACTTTGTTTTATACTATGTAGTGATGCACAGTAAAGAGACGTTTACATTTCAAGTGACATTTGACCACAGTCACTCACTTGTTTTGCCTTCCCGGAACCCCTCCACTAAACACTTAAACTTTATGGTAGGGTATTAAAGTTCTAATTGACTTTTAAGTATTATTACGAATCTTTTGTACGGGAATATAGAAAAGTGTTGTTTTTAGACTTTTTCAGGCAATTTTTTAATTTTTTTCTTACATAAGAACCTTCTGATAAAAACAAACACAACAAGAAAAAAAGTGAAATCGGTCCAGCCGTTCACGCGTGATGGCGTGACCAAATGAAATAGGGATTCATTTATATATATATATATATATATATATATATATATATATATATATAGATAGATAGAGATATATGATTTTGTACACTTTTTGCACTACATTCATTAGGATATGATATTCGCCTTGCAAAATATATGACTTCAACATCAATTCCCGCCATGCTTCTTTTTCGCACCTGACCTCCGAACTGTTAACCCGAGTTAGATTTAGCGTTACGTTTAACCTCATTTCTATGTATGGCGGCTCTGTGTTATGCATTCACAAAATGATGTCAGGGCCCCCGTTGTTTTCTCACACTATTCTCAGTCAGCGATGGCCCAGTGGCTAGAACAACGGACTCGCCATCAGTAATTACCGATTCGAATCACAATTGTTTCAAATATTTCCAACCAGCAAGAATCGCCATGCCGAGACACGAACGAGTGCAAGTTAACAAACTGGCGCTCGGTTTCTGAAACACTGATCACCGTAGAAGTCAACTAATCAGCTGTCAAATGGCTTTTCAAATGTTATTTAAGTTTCTGATCATTAAGAAGATTATTCTGATCAATTCAGAGAGTTTAACAATCCTTTTGGTAACTTAAATAACATTTGAAAAGCCATTTGACAGCTGATTAGTTGTATTCTACGGTGACCAGTGTTTCAGAAACCAGGCGTAAGTGGGCCTATTTAAACATGACGTTATGTTCTACCCCAATAGACTAATAAGTTAGTCACTTTAATCCATTAGTTTTTAAACACGTCCATGTTTTAATACGTATAGCATCCGGCCCTACGGCCCTTCCATTCTTCAAAGCTTGCACTGCCTCTTTCACTTCACTCTTATCAATCTGTCGCAACATTGCCATATTTTCTGGTGTATTTTGTATCATTCCGCACGAATTATTTTCTTCATTCATCAAAGTTTCAAAGTATTTTTTACCACCTTTGCCTTATTTCCGGATCATTAACTAATACTCTTCTCCGGCTATATTTCACGCATTATCTGTGCAGGTATTTTTGCCAAACACTCAGATGCGGATCAATTGTTTGTCGATCGCATAAACACTTGTCAAAAGTGGGATTACACATTGTGGGAACTGCACCACGAAATCATTGGTACTTCCGTACGATGATACCAAACTACACTTCAACAGCCTGCATCTAACTAGATCCCTCCCAACAGGCGCAGCGGGCGACCAGTCCACCCTGAAGGTCCACCTGCCGAACGGTGGTTTCAACGTGGTGCGGACGTCGCCCGATGAGGATGTCCGATCGGTGCTGAGGCTCCTGGCTGCGCGCCTGGCCGCCGGGGACCGCGTGTACTCCTCGTGCTATGCCCTTAGGGCGAGGAGACTCACAACTGGAAAGGTGAATAAAAATACTAAATTATAGCGTATAGATGTGAAGTATGGTCTGTGGTAGGGCCACGCAACTCTTCGTTGCTGCACGAATGGGCAAGTCCGTCCGGGATGTAACACCGCCTCACAGGACCGGCGTGAAGTTGAAGTTATACTTCTGCGTTTTGTCTGGTGGGTGAGGTAACCGGGGCCCACTTTGTTAAAAGGTTACCACTTAACATCACCTGAACCACCAGATCGCTTGCCACATTACATAAAAAAAATACTTTTGCCATTATGAAAAAGCAATTTTTCTTTGCTGCGTAGGAACGCTCGTATGATTCAATCTTTTTTCGGTAATTAAATTAATTTACTCAGAATTTTATTTCTTTTAAATATATTGGTATAAAAAATCATACTTTGTTACTGATTACTGTTCTGAAATAAAATATATGAAATTTGATTTTTTATTAATCCTCGTGAATCAAAACAAGATATTTTTAAATCTAGTTTTAGGTGATTATTCAAATATTATCGCGTCATGTTTGTTTTCTTTCATCGATCACATAAGCAAAAGAATGAAACAATTTTTTGGCTTCTGCTTTTCCCCTGGAATATGACGTTGTTATCTGAATAAGTTAACTGTGGTAGGGCTGCGTAGCAGCTACGGCAGTTGCAACAACAGGCAGGCTCTTCCGGGGAAGTAACAACCACGGCCTCATTAAAGACTGGGGTGGAGTAGGAGTGTGTATTATACTTTTGTGTTTCGTCTGGTGAGTGAGGTAATCGTGTCCCACTTTTTTTAATTTTGGCCACGCATTTGCAGCCTGTCAAATGTTGTATTTGTACATGGCGGTAATCACTTAACATCAGGTGAACCGCCTGCTCGCCTGCCAACTTTCTACACAAAAACGTGTTTATTTACTACGATTTCTCATATTCAGTTCACGTGTCGTAACGTATCAACAGACAGTCACGCGTAAACCTTTCGAAGTTGAAACCAATTCTCTCGTACCCCTCAGATCCGATGGGTCCACCAGGACACGCCCGTGTCGGAGCTCATCACTAGGTGGCCGGCTAGCGAGTGGCGGCTGGAGCTGCGCGTGCGCTACCTGCCGGCCAATCTGCGTGACCTCTGCGACGCGGACCGTGTCACCTTCCACTACTACTACGACCAGGTGCGTAGGACCCGATAGGGGGTCAAGCTTAAATGGGCGCGGCGCCGCCGACCTTTGTGACACCGAAGGACCATAACCAATATATACTCAGCGCTTTCGACTCCTCTGCTTAACCCAATGATCTGTGGACAAAGATGAATGGACCTGATTGGAGACCAAGGAAAGTGGGCATGGTGCTGGCGGGCTTTGAAACCCGGAATGAACCCAACCAATATGTGCTGGATTCTATCGAATCTTCTACTTAAGCCAAAGCAATGTCTTTGGGTTAAGTAGAAGATCTTTTAATATTTTGTGTCGGTTTTTAGTTGTTCTAAGTTAAACATTTCTCAGATTGTTAAAGTCTCGCAGTATTATTGATTGATCCCAAAACGACAATAAATCTTCGGTAAATATTCGGTCAATCATCATTTCAGCCTGTTCTAGTTCACTGCTGAATATAGGCCGTCCCACAGACTGCCACAAAGCACGATAATTATTATTACCGAATAGGCAGCTAATACAAATACTTACGGGAATCAAACCCACGACCCGAAATGCTAAAGTCAATAATCAACCAACTACGCCATCAAGTGCGGTATATAAGGAACTGGCCTATAGTTGATTGCAAACATTTTTGTTATTGCTCATTACTTTTTTTTGTAATGTTACAATAATTGTTCAATGTGTGTCCGCATTTAAACGTTTGTTACGTATTTAAAATTATCAATACAAGATTTTGAAAATCGTTCGTGGCCGTATTTCCAGGTGCGACACGACTACCTCAACGCCAACCATCCCATGGTGGACCAGGATCTGGCGATACAAATATGTTGTTTAGAAATAAAGTGAGTATATATCGTCTTCGAGACTGTTTAAACAATGTGGGGGAAAAGTAAAGTAAAGTGACTGCCAATAAATGCCCCACAGCTGGGCAAAGGCCTCCTCCGTAAAGAGGGTGTCAGGGCGTAGTCCCCCCCACGCGACACCACTGCGGATTGACGGACTTCACACATATTCGAAATATTTTTTTCGTTGTTATGTCGAAAATATGAAAGTTCACCGCTGAGCGAGTGATAAGTCAGCACTTAAAATTAACAATTTGTTTACATGGCTATCACGACACTGAGCTATCAATGTGGGAAAATTATGAATAAATTAAAAGCTGCCCAAATATACTGATATTTGACACAGTTAATAAAATCAGTTCCATAAATTCCATGTTTACCCACCACCCATAAAGATCTACAATAATGACCTGACCATTAAAAAGGGGGACCCCGGTCACCTAACTCACCAGACAAGACACGGATGGTATAACATTTCCATTTCACGCTGGTGTTCTGTGAGCTCGTATTTCTTCGGACGAAAGTGTCCATTCGTGTAACGGCGAAGACTGGTGCGTGGCCCTACCACACTTGAATTCCCGACTTCTACATGACAGATGAGAGAGATGACAGATAAATTACACAGAGTATGTCTATCATTATTTATACACAGATAATTATAACCTAACCTTGTCTTGTTGTTGTTCCTTTGTTAACAATAGCAATATTTTATATTATGCCACAAAACAGAGGCCAAATCTTTGTTTAACCATTGAAAACTAAAGAATATTTATAGTTAAGAGAGTAGGATATGAATAAGATTTCCCCCGTATTGCTTCAAACAAAATAAATGTTTAGACGCCAAATGTTTCGAAAGGAGATATAGGTTTGACTGTCTTTTAGGATTACGACAAATGACAGATATTTTTAAATTCGTCATGTAGCAATCCGTAGTTTAGTTAGTAGTTATTAAAAATATTTTTCCGTCGGTTATTAAAAACATTTTTAGCTTTCTTAGGTCGGCTATACTGTTGGGTTTGTTGCAGATACTTCTGTAAGGACATGCAGATCTCCATGGACAAGAAGTCGAACATAGAGTACCTGGAAAAGGAGTTCGGCCTCCACAAGTTCCTCCCAAAGTCAGTGATAGAGGCAATCAAGCCAAAAGTGCTGAAGAAGGCTATACAGCAGCAGTTCAAGAAGGTATGCTTATGATTCCCTCCTTAAATATTTACTATACATAAATAGGACTTGAAGGGTTCAACAACTGTTTTACGACCCGATTGACGAAGTGGATATTTAACCATTCTCTTGTGCCAGTAAGTGTGGGTTCGATCCCCATTACTATAAATAAATATTGTGTGATGGAAATAGTGTTTTTCGAGTGTTCATATATCCATAACATGTGTTTATTTACAAAATAAAAGTATATTTAAGTACGCTTACCAGTTACCTAGTACCTATAGTGAATGTCTAAGGTTTCCTTTTGGTAAATGTCTGAGGTTGCCTGGATGAAATTGCCGTGTAGCAATAAGCTCTCCTTTTGATGACAAATGCTAGTATTTGATAAATATTTTATTCTTTTGTACTTTTTTATTTTTTCTATTTTGGTCTACAATAAAGTATATTATTATTACAAGATTCGCTTAATTTGGGACTGGACAACGTTTTCATTTATTTCATTTTAAAAATGTAATTTTCATTCGTTTATTACCTCAGGTGGCCAACCTCAGCGATGTCGAGTGCATGCTTCGCTACGTGGAGACGATGCACACCCACTACGGATATGACCGTGAGACCTTCACGGCGGCTCTTGGCGGGGGGTGGGCGATACCCGTTGAGCTGGCCATTGGACCCGATATAGGTGAGAGAGTCTCATCATTATCATCACCGTCGACATCATCGTCATGTTTCATTTCGTCATCATTATCAGCAATTCAGCTAAAATCTGTTATTTTTTTGTTTTTGTTATACGTTTCGTTTCAGTCAACTACTGTACTTATCCTTTGTTACCATTCAATTTGATTTAATTTTTTTTAGCTGTTGTTTAATATCTTTTGAATGTCATTTCACCCGTAAACGAGATACCATTTAGTTTGAGATACTATGTACTTATTTATGTATTTCTGCCCATTCGTGCAACAGCGGAGACTTTTGCGTGGCCCTACCCCCGCAAGATTATATAAACATTAAAAATAAACATTAGTGACCGTGGCAACATTTTTCCAGACATATCGTACGTGTCCCACAAGGCGGGTGAGCTTACTTACACCAAAATCGCTTCGTTCAGCGACATCGTTGCACTGCAGACCCTCAAGTCCAACTGCACCCAGCAGTCCAACACGCAGGTATATCCTTACTTTCCTTACTAATATTATAAACGCGAAAGTTTGTATGTATGGATGGATGTTTATTACTCTTTCACGCAAATACTGCTGAATGGTTTTAATGAAACTTTACAATAATATAGCTTATACATCAGAATAACACATAGGCAGGGTCGGATTCAGAGGTCTGGAGGCCTCAGGAGTGGAGGCCCCTTGGCCTCAAATTGTTTTCCAAATAAAATTAACAATTTTTTTTCAGGAGAGTTTTCCAATAAATAATTTATTGTGAAACCAAGTGTAGATTCTTTTATTATTTAACAACATATAAATATAATCGGAAACAAGAATTATCTAAAATTAAACTCTATTGTAGGGGCCCCTCTTTTGTGCAGCATCGGGGCTGTAGCCCCGGTTGCCCTCCCCCAAAGAATCAGATTTGAATTTCAAAACTCTAACTTAGACCTGACAGCTGCTAACCATTATAGAAATTTCATAAAGTAAGTTATTTTTGTTTTTCAGTCAGATGAAATAAGAAATGAATACGCTAATATAATTATATAAAACCGTCCTCGGTATAAATAATATTCAACTGTTGCATTGTGATTTTTTTCCTACTTCACCAGAGCGGCTCCTGTGGCAAGGCGGCTCTACAACTTCGCGTTAAGGGGGCGACAGAGACCCTAACTATCACGTGCAGCAGTGTCGAGGTGGGTTTTTAAAAAAGGAATAAATGATAATGAATAAATATTTACAGGACATATTCGTCATTTAGTCCAAAACGAAGCTAAGCTTGAACTATGGGCACCAGGTAACTAAAAGCATACTTAAAAATGCTAAGAACATGATTAAATCTTATTTGATATAGGAGCAGGAGGGTGACGATGTACAAACTAAAACTAAAGCAACCAGATCTGAAGTAATTATAAGTGTTCTTTGTAATTATTTCGACTAGAATCGAACTCACTACCCGCGGCGCGGAATTTCAATTCTCTTACACATAATACACGCTTTTTTTTTTTTTTTGTGGGTAGGTGTGAAACAAGTAGCAGCTGATTTTTAAGCTCTTTGTTTTATCCACTTTTAATTAATTTTGAAATCATTATTATATAATAAATATAATATACATAAGCAAATTTTAGCAAAAAAAATTAAGTTATACATCAAAAGTATGTTCTAATAAAAGTGTTTAAATTTATTTGCATCTTCCTACAGTGTCATAAAGTGTATTTCATTTAAACTTTTGTGTACAAATTTAAATCATATGATGGCGAATTTATCTGATGTGGAGAGTATTCAGAAGAAGCTTGAAGGTTGCTGGACCCAGAAGATGGTTGACTTTGAAAAAAGATTAAAGGCAGCATCCACCCCATCGAATCCTACCCTGGTACAGCTACAAGAGGACTTTAGTGCATTTAAAGAGCTGGTGGGGTCAATGCTCAACCTTCTACAACAACAAGTTAATGAGTGTTATAAGACTGTAGACACTCTTGATATGCAGCACCGACGGAAGGTTATCCTCTTTAATGGCATCTCGGAGGCTCCTGAAGTAAATGTGGTTGAAGAGATTTTGGGTATAATCCACAACAAGTTTGCCCTAACTCATGTAAGTGATGCTTCTTTTAAGCGCTGCCACAGGATTGGAGTTCAGCAAAGTGATAGAATAAGACCAGTTCTTGTTCAATTTGTTGATCATACCTTAAAATCACAAATCTGGAACTCAAAAAGTAAGTTGAAAGGCTCTGTAGTATCCATGTCTGAATTTCTGACTAAAGCGAGGCAACTTATTCATAAGAGAGCCAGAAAACATTTTGGGTTTAGGAATGTTTGGACTCTGGATGGTGTGATAAACATTAAACTTCCATCTCAAGCCCGGGTGAAGATTACAACTGAAGAAGAGCTGGTATCGCTGATTGCCAAATTTCCCATGGACTCCCCGTCTTACTCCGGTGCACCTTCTGCTCATATTAAAGCAGCAAGTCATGGAGTCAAAACTATGCAAACACAGGAAACCTCCCCTAGTTTACAAAGCGTGGTGGGCCGTCGTAAGCAAGTTGTTGTGGTGGCTGGTAGCGATGAGGCCAAGAAGACTCGTCGGTTTATTAATAAGAAATAGCCTAATACATATGATTTAGACCTAATCTGTTCTGTGCAACTAGAATAATATTATTCCTTGCAAATAACTATTTTAAAATCATTAATTTGGTGCTCAATATCCTTTTAAAATGTGTTCTTTTTTATTGGGCTTTGTTGAATTTTCCATTTAAACATGGTTATAGTATTCCTAAATTTATACATAACCTTTTATTTTATTTTTATTTTACATAAGTGGTTATTGTTATGTATTAAGTTTTTCCATTATTTATTTCCTATTAGTTTCTGTTTTTGTGATTCTAATTTTAAACCATTAATAGCCTCCTAAGGTATTTTTATGTAAGAGCTCACTAAGTGCTTTTTGATATTTTTGTCAGTGTTTTTGTAATTATTATATTTTTTTTTTTTTTTCTAGTTTTCACCCTGAGATTAAATTGTCCTTTTGTACTATAGAAATAATTGTACTGTACCATTTTTTTTTTTAATTTTTTTTGGCTCTTTTCTCTTTAGTTTTGCCCAATTCGTATTCATATCTATGTTTTATCACATTGCTCATGATTGTAATTGTTGAACCTTTGTAATCCACGTTTTTGCCAGTGTCTTTCAGTTTTAGCAAAATTGTACTCTAATGTGCTGAAAAGTTAATATTACTTTTAATAACATGACATAACTTTCTATTTTTTATACGAATGTAAACAATAAATGCGAACGTCGCAAGTAAATATTACAACCTACTTAGCAATTGACAATGACATTGACATTTCGTATTCTGTCACTGGTTTCTTTCTCTGATGTCAATGGAATAATGACAATACTTTGTCTATAAAGTCTTCAAGTTGTGGTCCTTTAATTTAAATATTTTTACTTGTTTTTGTCTGTTATTTTAACATGATTGTAATATTCTGTTTTTTTCTTGTTATTTTATATTAGTCATTATTTGTCAACAGTCAACTGTAGGAATGGTGTATTCTGTAATTAATTCGAAAAACTTTATTATTATTATTACCAATTTTTTTTATTTTTTTTTTTACATATTTACTTATTATTCTGTTCTTTTATATTTTTATATATAAATATATATAGCTAGATATTATTATAATTATGACCGATTCGGAATCATATTATTCGGCTTCTGATTCAGACCTGTCGTACAATTCATGTGATAGTCTTACAAATAATAGTCCATCGAATCTACATGAGCAACTCATTCAAGTTTTCTCTTCTAGGGATAAGTTTTTAAATATATGTCATATCAATGCTCAAAGTGTTCCGAGCCATTTCTCTGAACTTCAAACATCGTTTACTCCTGACTGCATACACGCAGTTCTAGTGTCCGAAAGTTGGCTCAAGCCTTCCTTGCAATCAACATTCTATCCGTTATCTGGTTTCGTGCTTATACGCAACGATCGCACGGAGAAAGGAGGAGGAGGTGTAGCTATCTATTTGCATGCATCTATTACGTATAGAGTTGTGCTGACATCTCCATCACGTTATTCTGCCTCCGCAGAGTTCTTATTTGTCGAAATAGAACTAAAGGGGACAAGGATGATTCTCGGAGTTGTGTATTGTCCACCTGCTTCTGACTACTTCTCCTCTTTAGAAACGGCTCTCGAGAGTATCTGTTCCGAGTACTCACACTGCATGATAATGGGTGATTTAAATACTGATCTTTTAAAAAGCTCCCCTCGTTCTCATAAACTTCACACAATCATTGAGTCAGTTAATCTTTCTATACTCCCTCTTAGGGCTACTCACCGTAACATTGGCACTGAAGACTCCTTGATTGACCTTATTATAACTGCTTCTCCTGATCATGTGGAGACATATGGTCAATTTTCTGCGTCGGAGTTCTCGCGTCATGACCTTATATTTTCTTCTTATAAGCTTAAACCTCCCAAATACAGCCCTCCTATCCTACATTTACGCAGTTTTTCCAGGATAAACTTTGAGGTATTCATGCGTGATGCTTCAAATTTTAATTTTACAGCACTGGTAGCAGCATCTACAGTTGATGAAAAAGTCTCTATTCTCAACAACATGGTTCTTAAACTGTATGATACTCATGCTCCAGCGCATAATGTTAGATTAAAAAACGCCCTCCCGCTCCTTGGATGACTGAAGAAGTAAGGATGGCAATGGCGAAACGGAATCGGGCCTTTTGTCGGTTCAAAAGGAATCGCACTGAGGATAATTGGTCTATATTTAAGATAGCTAGGAACAGGTGCAACCAAATGGTACGGACAGCTAAACGCCGATATTTTCATAATAATATTGTTAATTCATCATCTGCTAATGTTTGGAAATTCCTTAAATCTGTCGGTATTGGTAAACCAGCAATGTCGGAACGTGTCTTTTCTCTTTCTCTAGATGATATGAACCGACATTTTTCTTCTACGTCTGCCATGGACCCCGGAATCCGTTCTCAAGCTATTTCAAACATTGCGTCTTTACAAACCTATTTAATTCCCCAATTCAATTTCAGTCCTGTTGATCAAAACGACATTCAGAAGTTTGCGTTAGCTATTAAGTCCAAGGCTATGGGCTGTGATGATATCAGCAGGTTTATGATAGTCTCACTATTAGAGCATCTTCTGCCAGCAATCACCCATATTATTAACTATTCCCTTGATTCCGGTCAATATCCTACTTGCTGGAAGAAAGCCTATGTCCGACCTCTTCCTAAAGTTCCTAATCCTACGCAACCGAACCATTTCCGTCCAATATCAATTCTGCCCTTTCTGTCAAAAATTCTGGAAGCCTGTGTTCACAAGCAAATCTCCTTATTTTTAAATAAACATAACCTACTGAGTATCTATCAGTCTGGTTTTCGTTCTGGCCACAGCACTACCACAGCCTTAATCAAAGTTACCGACGACATTAGACAAGGCATGGAAAATAAAAAGGTAACTGTGTTAGTGCTTGTAGACTTTTCAAACGCTTTTAACACAGTCGACCATGATATACTCCTTTCCATGCTCTCCCATATTAATTTTGCAGACTCTGTTGTAGAATGGTTTTCATCTTATCTTCGTGGGCGTCAGCAGTCAGTTACCTTGGGGCAAAAAAAGCTCAGCTTGGGCTGATGTTGAGTCTGGCGTGCCACAAGGCGGCATACTGTCTCCCATAATCTTCTCTATTTTTATTAACTTTCTTACTGCTTTTTTGAACTGTTCGTATCATTTGTATGCTGACGATCTTCAGCTTTATGTGCAAGCCGATATAGACGACCTTCATGTTGCGATAGTAAAATTAAACGAAAACCTAGACAAAGTTTGGAGTTGGTCAAGTTCTCATGGAGTTTCGGTCAATCCCTCGAAATGCCAAGCTATAGTTGTTGGTAGTTCAAGAATGCTGTCAAAAATTGATTACTCGTCTGTACCTCCTATAAAATACAATAATATAATAATTCCTTTTTCAAACGTGGTAAAAAATCTAGGTCTGCTTATTGACAATACTTTGAATTGGAGTGTATACGTTACCGAAATAAGCCGCAAAGTTACTGCCACCTTACGATCTCTCTATGGCTTAAAACATTTCCTCCCTTTCAAAACTAAACTATTGCTTGTCCAAACGCTCATTTTACCCATTATCGATTATGCAGATGTGTGTTACCCGGACGTATCCCAACATCTACTAAACAAGTTGGATCGCCTCCTTAATAACTGTATCAGGTTCATTTTTGGCTTACGCAAGTATGACCACATATCCTCCTATCGATCTCAACTTAATTGGCTTACTATTCGGCAAAGGCGGCAGTCCAGAATTTTGCTTGTGCTTTTCTCCATTTTAAATGATTGTTCCTCCCCTTCTTACCTCAAAAACAAATTCTTGTATCTCTCCTCATCTCATGATAGGGTACTTCGGTCGTCTTACACGAATAAATTATGCATTCCAGCGCACTTTACCGGGTTCTCTGTCAACTCCTTTACTATCCAAGCTATACATCTTTGGAACTCCTTGCCCGATAACGTAAGAAACGCAAAAAGTAAGTCATCTTTCAAAATATTGGTTCGTGAACACCTGTTAAAGACAAATTCGACCTAAGATATGGACTGTAGTTAAAAGTAGAAGCTAATTGTTATTTATTTTTACAAGTATACATCTTTATATATATTTTAATATTTGAATATATATATATATATATATGTGTATATATATATATATATATATATATATATATGTATGTATATATATACATATGTATATATACATATGCATGTATATAACTTAATATATGATTTGTATCCAATTATAATATTATTTTCATATATATTCTCTTTAATTAAAATTTTATTTTTCTTGCATCTTTTGCTGCACCTACCATAAACTCTCACCACATCCTGGGTTGACTGGTAGAGAATGCCTTTGGGCATTAAGTCCGCCCTTTGTTACCTTGTTTTACTGAAGGTTGGCAATAAAGATTAAAAAAAAAAAAAAAAAAAAAAAAAAAAAAAAAAAATCTATTGTTAATTGCCACTCTGGGATTCGACTTTTTGGGAATCGAAGGCCCCAGTTATTCGCTTTTAATTCGTGTAACCGACCGTTTCTACCGAAAACCGATGGGTAAGGAAGGTTCTCGAGTGGCAGCCTAGTATTGGCCGTCGGAATGTAGGGGAACCCCCTACAAATGTGAGGGAAGTCTATACGTGGGAGGCCTATGTTCAGCAGTGAACTAAAACGGACTGAAATGGTGATGGTGACAGTGCCGATGATGATGACGATTCAAGTTAAATCAACCGCGCGAATAAACCGATATCTATATTCATTTCATGCATCTTTCACGTGAGCTGACGTCAATATATTATGGTATTCAAAATGAATAATGCACTGTTCGATTTTAGGCGGCGGAGAGTTTAGCTGATCTAGTAGACGGCTATTGCAGACTCGTTACCGACTCGCAGACCTCCCTATGGAACAGAACAAGTAAGTACATCGCACGTATAAATTAGTTAAAAGTCCACGAATATCCGCTCTTTTAAATATGATGAAATGTGGTACTTTTTTGAAGTTATACTTCAATAAGTTATATTTCTTGGCGCGTTTAGGAGAAAAAGAAGCGAGTGAATTTTTACGATACGCGTGCACAGCGCCCCGAAATTTAAAGCATTGGAGTTATTCGACGACATAGAGTTAACACCTTAACGATAGTCAATAAATCTCCTTTAGTAATGTGTTTAACATCTGTTTTTATTATCTATGACCAAATTCGTGGGATGAATCGCTCGGTAGGGCCATACAATAGCTTCTGTTGTTGCACGGAGTGGCAATCTCGACCGGGAAAGTACCATAACCTACTTACCACAGAGGAGAACAGGGCCAACTGTTTTTAAAAGTTGGCAACGCATCTGCAAACCATCAGGTGTTGTAAACACTAAACATCAGGTGAACTCCTTGCTCGCTTGAGAACTTTTCGCATAAAAAAATATGTATATTTTTATCTTGTTTCGCCAAAGGGGCATGGCTCCTAATGCGCGTACACAAATAAACACACACGTTTCTCTTTTAATTTCAAGCGACCGTATGGAAACAACTGAACTGTCAATGTAAAAGTAAGTCTCTTGCATTACGTTTATAAAGATATTAAGATATATATATTATAAAGATATAAAAGCGACTTTTCGAAGATATGTGAAGTTTGCCAATCCGCAATGGGTTCGCGTGACGGATAGTTAGAAGAGGCCTTTGCTCAGCAGTAAATTTAATGCTTCATGTATTCAATGTTGACATATCGATGGTTACTTTAATTTTTTTGTTTTTTTAACATTAATTTAACTAGATGTATTGAGATGTTTTATAAATTATTTTAAGCACTTTTTGCACACGCTTTTAGGAACAATATCTTGTACACAGAACTAACGAGTCCAGATACTTATATAAAAAATAAAAGCTGGCTAAACCACTGGCATTTAAAACAAGAATTCCTGAACTAGAAACATCAGCATATACCTAATAAAAGAAGTTATTAAAGTTACAAATAAAAACTATCAAGTTTTTAAGTTACAAACATTAATTTATAAGGGAAAAATAGAGAATTTGAGCCCACCTCAACTTCTCTATTTTTATAGATTTTTAGATTTTTATAGATGATTAAATAAATCATAATATCGATATAATTTTTACCCTCAATGTAAAATGAGCAGTTAATCTTTTACACAATGTACAAAATTTGTAAAGGAACCTGTTATCGCTTGTGCTTTTTATTACCATCTGCTTTTTTATGAAAAAGATAAATAAATCAATTCAGGTGCTTTGTTTCTTTACTAAAATTGAATCGTTTTCAGATTTTTTTGTAATATATATATAGTTAACTTTTTACAAACAATACTTTAAACATAGTAATTAATTTAATAAGAAGAGTATAATTGTATGTTATGAAAACCGTGTTCACCTCTATTTGTTGGAACATTCACAACTATTTTTTTTTTTCACTTTTCTTTTCTCTCAATGTTGGCCTTAAGAAAATATTTAAATAAATAAATAGATTCGCGCGCCTTTTGCAGCGGAAATGAGCAGCAGTTCCTCGGAGGGAAAGACGAGCTCCTGGGAAGCGAATACGGCGACAATACTATCAGAGGACTATGCAGAAATCGTTGACGACGACGCCGACTACTCTACGCCCGCAGGTGAGTCTTATTTTCATAGTGGTAAGTATCACATTCGAGTGACCGTTGGTCATCCAAACAGCTTTATGTTGAATGTGTTCGAGTATAGCAATTATAAAGACATTCAATACTATAACTTTATATATTCCTAGTAATATAAGTCTGTACTTCTTTAAAAAAGATTCTCATTTTAGATACATTACTAGCCTCATACACAGTTGGGCTTGTTTGTGAAGCAGTAATAAAAGGATACTTGTAATAATTAAAAATATCAAATACATAAAAAGGGCTTTTTGTTTCAAGTTTTATATTCATTATGAATAATAATAAAAAAGGATTAAAAATTATAGTGACATTGGATTTTTATGAGGGTAATTTTCTTTTCAGTTCGGGATTACGAATTGGTGCGTAATCAAATAGAACTGACTGGTATAATTGGAGAAGGACAGTTTGGGGACGTGCATAAGGGTAAATATCTTTTATTTGGTTAATTTTTTTTATTAAAGAACTAACAAATCTGGGCCACTGTTATCCGGTTTGGATTAGTTCTATATGCGAGATTGTGTATTTAATTTATAGTTACGATATGTGTACATATGATAGAAAACGATCTAGATTGTGGCGCTGCCAACGAGAGGCCAATAGGTCCAATAACGTCCGTAAACGCCCCCCCCCCCCCCCCCCCCCCCCCCGATGCCTAAAAAGCTTAGCTTTTTGTTTCATTGAATATGGAACATTTATTTCAAAGTCACGGAGCACCTGCATAGAGGCTTCGCGGATATTCGCCAATTTGGAACGTTCTTTCTCTCGACGCCTGCGACTATCGTAATCAGGAACGTTACCCCCTCCGAGGCTTCGGACATTCTAATTTGGAACTTTCCTTCTCTTGCCGCCCTTAGACTAACGTAATCTGGAACGTTTTCTACTTAGAGACTTCGGATATTCGAATTTGGAACGTTCCTTCTCTCGCCGCTCGAAGAATACTTTAATCTGAAACGTTTTCCCCACCGACACTTCGCGCGTGTTCGAATTTGGAACCTTCTTTCTCTCGACGCCTGCGACTGTCGTAATCTGGAACATTCGAATTTGGAACGCAATGTCCGGCAGGCACGTGCCGCGTGACGTCAGCCAACCACCCTTCGCTGCGGCGCCAGCTGGCGCTGCAGAAGCAGGAGGGGCGCAGCGTCGGCGGCGAGTACGTGCTGCACGTGGCCGTCAAGACGTGCAAGATGGACGCCGACCTGGACACGGCGGAGAAGTTCCTCGAGGAGGCCTGTGAGTGCCTTCGCGCTGTTAGCCGATAGCTCAGCGCTCGCCTCCAATCCAATATCGTGTATATTGGATTGGAGCAAACTGAGTTCGATCCCCGGTGCCGGCACCGGTGAAATTGTTAATTATAAGTGTCGCGTGCTCGGCGGTAAAGGTAAACGTCGTGCGGAAACATGCATATTTTCGAAATAACAACAAAAAAAATTCGAAGATATGTGAAGTCTGCCAATCCGCGGTGGGGTCGTGTGGTGGACTATGCCCTGATACCCTCTTTACATTACCTTTCCCCAGCCGTTGGAAGTGTATAGACAACAGTCTATACACGTAACAACTTTTACACGTACAAGTAACAACTTTACTTTTCTTTTAATTATAACTGCTATGTTTAGATTGACGAACGTGCGGGAAGTTGAATGGATGTATGTGGCTCGGGGTTGTGCTTCGTAGTTTGCAGTCTGTGGGGAATTACGAGTATGTTCAGCAGTAAAATAAAACAGGCTAAAATGATGAGGATGATGATGATGAACGTAATAAACGAGTAAGCATACCAAATGACAGCTGTTTCTGGTGGCGTAACCTTAATCAACCGACACGAATGAAGAAAAATTTGTACTTAATACCGGTCTTGTATCAGATAGTGGTAGTTCCTCAATGTGGCGTGGGAATCTATTATACAGCTAAGCTTGCAATTCATTTTGATGATGAACATTATGACATGTATGACATCAAAATTCACTTGCAGAACTTTCAACAACGAACGCTGGTCGAATCAATCTTACTTTTAATATAGATGCAGTCCACATTGGAAGAAAACGTGTGGAAAAGTTAAAAAATTACATGAAAGTTAATTTAAACATTGATAAAATTGATCGTTCAAGGCACGTGCACTTGTACACGTGCACTGGCAAACGTCACACAGCTTGTGTGTGAAAGAGATAACGCCCTACGAAGCCGTAATTAGCCGGCTGTCCCTTTCTATTTACAGTCGAGTACTGTTGTGTATAGCATTAAACTCGTTTCAGACATAATGCAGCAGTTCTCCCATCCGCACATTATCGGCCTGGTGGGCGTGTGCAGCTCGCCGCCGATCTGGATAGTGATGGAGCTGGCGACTCTCGGCGAGATGAGAGCGTATCTGCAACAAAACGCGCACAGGTGCGTCACTATAATATCAGAAGCGGATAGAGAAATTGGCGGGGCTGGGTAACAAAGCCCAACGACCACTGCGACCTAGAAGATCTATTGAATAGTAAAAGAACTATTGAATGAATCAATGAATGAATAACTTATTTGGTAGTTAGCCCTAACGACCACTGCATCCTAGAAGATCTATTGAATGAATGAATAACTTATTTGGTAGTTAGTCCTAACGACCACTGTATCCTAGAAGATCTATTGAATGAATGAATGTTTCTTTATTGCCAGAATATGATAATACATTGTCATCTTAATTATCATAAAACTGGATTGTATTTCAGTCAAAAATGTCGGCCTCTCACTGTTAGATAATATTCTCCTGTGAAATTTGTGTATGTAAAAATTCCTTCAACATAATCCCGAATCATCTGAATTGCTCAGCATCGCTAGGCACTCGGCTTCTTAATCGCTCATTGTTCGTTTTATTCACTAACTTAATCTCTATAAATATCGTATAGTGATTTTATTACACAATACAATATACGATCGCAATACAGCTTTAAAACATTTCCATTTTCAGGCTGGAGACGTGCACGCTGGTCTTATACATCTACCAGCTTTCGACGGCGCTCAGCTATCTAGAGAGCAAGAAGTTTGTTCACAGGGACATAGCGGCCCGCAACGTGCTGGTCTCCACGGCCACCTGCGTCAAAGTAAGCCTCGAGATGTTCTTGATATATTCTCTGTCACAATCTCAATTGTATAACACGATTGTATTGGAAGAAAAACGCGCTCACACTTGTCCGTAATGGGGAAGAAAGAGATAACATGTCCTATCGTACATAATTTTTTGGCGCAGTTACTAAACCTTTGACATCGCCGGGGGTCGTGGGTTCGATTACCAGGAGAGAAAAGGGTTTATTATGATTATTCGGGATCAGGGCGTTTACTCCCAAGGAGGGTTGTCGTCAGGCAGGTGGCCGGCCCCAAACTAGCATGTGATGGGCCCGATATCGAGTATCACAACCTTTAAAAAATGTCTTAATAACATGTCATAATCGAAATAATTGAATTGATAAAGCTAGCAATCTTATAAATCTACCATCCTACCACACTGCGAAACTACTGGTAAAGCTCGCAACCGTACAAATCTATCATTTGACTACACTCCGAAACTGCTGGTAAAGTTCGCAAACCTACAATTCTACCATCTGATCACACTCCTGAACTACCAGTATAGCTCGCGACCCTACAAATCTACCATTTTACCACAATCTTAAACTACTAGTAAATTTCGCAAGCCTAAAAATCTACCATCTCACCACACTCCAAACCTACCGTCCTACCGTGCCGCTGTCCTACCCTCTGGGCAATGTTCCCGTTCACAGCTGGCGGACTTCGGGCTATCGAAGCGAGTAGACGACAAGTCCTACTACAAGGCTTCACGGGGAAAACTGCCCATCAAGTGGATGGCGCCAGAGTCAATCAACTTCAGACGCTTCACTTCCGCATCGGACGTTTGGATGTTCGGTGAGCGCTGTTCATTTTTTGTGTTTAAGAAGATTTAAAACGAGCTGGCGGCTCGCCTGATGCTTAGTGAAAACCGCTGGGTGCTATGGCAACCAAGCATGCTATCTCGTTTTTTAATTGTGGTCTATGTGCATCGTAAATATTTTACACTCATAAATGAATGACACGCGTCGTCGTTGTCTATTATGATGGCTGAATAATATAGATGACGCTTGTCCATACCGCGGGGCGTTTAAAAATTGTTCCGCTTCACATTATATGACATGTACAACGTGGCGCTACTAACGCGACCATAAATCAACACACATTTAGAGGATAACATTTTAAAATCGAACACATTTACTTTCAGTACACATGAATATTTCCCGAGTTATTAAATTTTCCAAAACAAATAATTTTAGAACACCCGTACGTATAAAACTTTAACATAAAGTTCATTTGTAAAGGTCACAAAGCATATGAATTGGTTTAATGAATTTAAGAGATAAAACATACTGTTAGAAGAAGAGACTTGTGATGCGACGTTGTGGCAACGAATGAAAGTTTCTGAATGAATGAATCAGTCAGTTGTAATTATATAGGATGATAAACTCGGTATCTTTTTTATGTAATTAGTTTGTTGATTTTTTTTTAATTGTGGATATTTTTAACGTTCATATTGTTTTATGATTACTGTCAAGTATCATTAGAAGTGTGTTCGTTTAGTGTCGTGGTTGTAACGCCACATTGTATAAGTGAATGCGACAGGCGATATAGGACGTATGATACGGAAAGAGATAGCGGCATAGAGTTGCAATCAAATTACAACAATCGTATTATCTATATAATATCGTTGTTTTTCTCTGTTGGCCCGCAGGCGTGTGCATGTGGGAGATCCTGATGCTGGGCGTGAAGCCGTTCAGCGGCGTGAAGAACAACGACGTGATCGGCAAGCTGGAGAACGGCGAGCGTCTGGCGCTGCCCGCCCGCTGCCCGCCGCGGCTCTACTCGCTCATGTCGCGCTGCTGGGCGTACGAGCCCTCGCAGCGGCCCACCGCGCACTGCCTCAAGGAGACGCTCTTGTGAGTGGCGCTGCCCCTGTTGCTCGTCTATTGCCCGGTTCCTATATTCAACCAACGGCCGTTGGTTACATAGCTTCGTAGCTTTCATGACGACTCATGCACACGCCTGCGGGCCAACAGAGAAAAACAACGATATTATACAGAAATACGATTATTGTAATTTGAATTGCAACTTTATGCCGCTATCTCGACTTGTAGAAAAAAAAGGTGTGTACGCCCGGTTCCGATATTAATAAAACGAGGCGTTCTCCTTACGAGCCGTTGCACTACCTACGGAAAGTGAGTCACTAGTGTTCCTTCCATCTACAAGACCACGCAATACTGTTCGCTGTTGCACGAATGGACAGGTCCGTCCGGGCAAGTGCCACGGCCTCACCCGTCAAACGTCCGCGTTTCGTCGGGTGAGCGAGGTAGCCGGGGCCCGCTTCATCAAAAGGTGACAACGCATCTGCACGGGGTGTTGCGAATGTCCATGTGCGTGCGGCTTTCACTTATTCGAACGATACGCTGCATCAGGAGACGTTGTGTAAAATAAACAGGCGAAGAAAGCTAATGGGGTGTCCTTTTGCAGCGAGATCCTGCAGGAAGAGCGCAGCAGCGCGTGGGACACCATGCGACGCGAGAACCGGCGCGTGGCAGCCGCCTCTTGGGGGGACGAGCCGCCGCCCAAGCCCTCCCGGCCCACGCCCAACATGGCGCCAGGTAATTTCCAAGGCCGTTCCAACCGAGAAACACATTAACAAATAAACAAAAATCTCTATTTCGATACAATTATAAAAAATATATTGGCAAACTTAATTGTGGTAAACAATAACGACAAATAAGATACAAAGTTGTTAAGTTTCAAATAAATTTAACTTTATTTTTTTGCAAGTTAATCAATTTAGCGTTACCGTTCGATCGTGTCGGTAAATAAGTATTGATTTCTTGATCGGTTATAAGTATTTAGAATATAGTCGTTGCTAAACTATTGGCTTCGGCACCGGGAGGTCGTGGGTTCGATTCCCACACGAAAAAAATATTTTAACCCTACTTGAGATAGTTATTTCCTATATTATCATTCCTTACTTGGCATATATATCTTTGATGCGCCTTTCACATAATACTGCTGTCTAATTTTTTAGTGAAATTGCAATATAACAGAGAAGAAGAAGTTTCTGGTGCTGACATTACCTATATTACATCCGCAGCGCTAGAGCCGACGTCGACGCAGGCCGGCGCGCCGCAGACGTACATCGTGGCGCAGAACCCGCTCGTGCTGGCGCACCTGCTCCGAGAGAACCAAACGCGCTCCATCGACCCCCAAGCGTACACCACGCCCGCATCGGTATTCAACACGGTCTCCGTCGACTTCGCGCAAACTCTACCGGAGAACGATCTACCGAAACTTATCAACCCGAAACCGGACGAGGTCATCGACATACCCCTCCAGACCGCCCCCATCCCGGCCGCCAGCCTGCACCGCCTCGACCCGGTGGTGCCCGAGGGCGAGACCCACACGGTGCTGGTGGGCGCGCGCGCCAGCTGCGACAACCTCTGCCAGAACGCGGCCCCCCTCGCCCCCCGCGCCGCCCACGCCCCCCGCGGCCCCCTCGCCCCGCGCCCAGCCCGCCTCCCCGGGCCAAAGCGAGACGGACAACGCCTACCCGAGCCGCGTCCGCTCGCTCGAGCGCAGCCCCAGGGGCGCCCTCTCGGAGCGCGCGCCCGTCCGCATGGGCTCGCTCGAGAGGACGCCCAGGGGCAGCCTCTCGCACCGGGGCGCCCCCGCCGCCCTCGCCGCCCCCGCCCCCCGCCCCCGCCCCGCCCTTCGCGCGCCAGCACTCTGTGCCCGCCTCCCCGCCCCCCAGGGCGCGCAGGGACCAGGACTTCGGCCAGTTCTCCGTCCAGGGCGCGCTCAACGCGCAGCTGGCCGCGAGCGTGATGAACAAGATACGCCAGCAGCCCGAGCCCCCCCTCGTGGAGGGCATCTACGATTTCGGCGGCGACAACGTGAAAAGCTGCGCCGCGATCGCCGCCCAGAAGGCGATGAAGCCCGCCTACCGCCACGTGGCGTCCGGCATGGCCGCCTCCCACCCCACCCCCTCGTACGGGGTGCCCGTCGGCGTCGTCCACGGCGTCCAGTTCGGCCAGGCCTCCAAGTCCGCCCATTTCAAGGCGGCCGCGCCCCTCCCCCAGCGCTACCCGGCCCCGCCGCCCCCCCAATTCGGCCAGCCCACGGGCGTGGTGCCCCCCATGCCGTACGCGCCCCAGCCCCCGATGTACAAGTCCCAGGCGTCGCTATCGCAACCCGCCGTCCAGGCCGCGTCCACTGCCCCCTTCGCGGCGCAGTCCCGCCCGCAGTTCGCTTCGGCGACGTCAATGGACGCGCAATGCATTTACGCGTCCCGTCAGGAGTGCTCCCCGATAGTTCAGCCGACGGGGCAGACGAGCCAACCCGCTCAGGTGATTCGGCAGAGTTTATTATCCTAACGCACCGGCACGCATGCAATTGGCGGATAGTTTCTTTTTTCTGTTTGAGTAGCATTCGTCTATTTTTCGTTTGACTGACGGTAGCTTTGTTGGTAGACCAAAATTTGTGGATGCATGCCTGTTATGTTTTGCCGTATAATTTTGTTATGTCACACCACGTCTCGGCCCCCCAATTCCTTTCCATTTATATGCATTCGTATTGTATATACGAGAATACCTATTCCTATCAAATGATATAAAAATATGTATATATTACACATCCGTGGTGTTATTGAATTGTAATATAATGTTATAATTTTATTTCTTGTAAATGAATCTTATCTTTCTTTTTTTTTTTGCAGTTTTTTTGTCCATTGGGTTTCTCCGGTAGAATTTCGTTTGATTTTTTTTATTTTAATTATTTTATTAATTTCCTTTGCAGATCATACGTGAAAACAACTTGGTCGGGACATAAACTGTTTTATTTGTATATCTATTTTTTATCGGTACAATCCCAGATCATTAAAAATGAAGATATTTGAAATTAATAGTAGATGATGTATTTATTAAAAGTACCTTTATTTTCCAAGAGCTTTTGTGTTTTCAAACAAAACACACTAAGACATAATATACGTAATCGTCTAAGAAGAAATATTTAACTTTCATTATTTTTTCTTGTGCAATAAATATTTCGTGATTTACGTAATATTGGTCTGGCTATAGAATTTTACCCAGAACTACTTAACTATTTTCGCCTACTGTAAGATTATTATATTTTATTATAATAAAATTTTACAAATAAAGTTTCACGTGGACAAACATCCAAATCTAGACTTACTTAAATTACTTGTGGCACACACTTATAGTCCCGTATTGGAATCGAAATCACGACCACCGGTGCCGTAGTAAATACCTCGGTAACTGAGCCATAGAGTCATCAGACTATGTCCCGACATATTTCGCTTTGAGCTTTTTTATGATCGCTTTTATCAGAATCAGAATGAGCAGGTCAGTACTATTTTTGTGCTACCATAGAGACTTTTTTTATGTTACAAGATTGTTGTGTTCAGTAGAAGAAGCTGTTTGTTTTCACGTATGATTTCTTCCGATCGCTTCTGGCGAAGAACTAACTTTGTCAATAACATTTAAAATTACGAAACTATTGCGGTGATAGATTGGGTACTTGTGAAATTAACAAATGTTCACACTTTACACTAAACAATCGTTTTGTACAAAACTCTCGGTAACTGGCTTGTTTAAAGAGATTGTATATTTCAAGGTTAGTTCTGAGCGGATATCGGTTGTGTTTTTATTGTTGGAAATTGAACATTATCGTTATGTAAACAGAGTCCAGAGTTCGATACGGAGCAGGCGGTGGAGAAGCGACTGCTCGCGGAGTTGGCCAGGCAGCAGCATCAAAGCGAAGAAGACAGCAGATGGCTTCAAATGCAAGAAGATAATTTGGTTTGTCAAATCACTTTTCCCGCTTGTTGAGCTTTAGAGATTTTTTTTTCTCCGCACAAAAAATGGCCAGTGCTTGACGAAAAGATGTATACTTATGTAATTGAAAAAAAAAATAAGATAATGAGACCGCAGAGTTTCCTAGCGGTTATTCTCTGGACAGGTCTAGTTTAGTGAACCGGTGGTAGTTTTTTGACGTTCAATAAGTAAGTAATAAAATAAATCTATATTGAATAAAGTCATTCTGTCTTTGACTTTAAAAAAAAAAAAAGGTAAAAATTGCACTTATAGTCGAGCGACAAAATTGATACTCTAAGATCCAGTGACCAATATCTGCATTTGTAATGAACCTTGCTTTTCCTTCCGCTCCTTGGTATATAAAAATTGCATCCAAAGAACCTGACTAATCAGTTTGAAGTAAACTTTTACCGTATATGAAAAAACAATAAATAAATTAAAAACTATAAAACGGATTTTTTTTAAAAAAATGTAATCAATTTCGGAAATCGACTATTGCACACTAATAATAGCACGTTGGCTGTATTTAAATGTTGTCATTGCCTGATTTTCAATAAAATGACTGATTTCCTTCTCAAAATGTGGCCGTTTGCCTCAATTTTTGTCTTTTAAAATATTTCAATGGTTACATTTGTCTATAGATTAAAAATATTTGTAAGCCTATAATGTTCAATATGATTATATGATGATAATATGATTATATAAATAATTATCTTTTTCATTCCCGGAGTTTTTCATACGAAATGGCTGCGACATATTAAAAAGGTGTACGTAAAACCATACGTTTTTTGCGCGTATGATTCGAGTGGACTTTTCATGTATAGTGGTGGAAATTTTTGCTTGTTTCGACAGAAGCGGCTGTCGAACATGCAGGTGGCGACGGAGGGCGAGCCTAGTCCTGAGCAGAAGATCTCTTTGGAGCCTCAAAGCGCAGGCGGACAAGAACCGCCGCGATCTAGTCAACCACCCTCGGGTAAGACGAATTAAAATTAATTTACCGTAAATATTTCTCATATCCGTAAACGTAAACGTTACACATTGTTAAACGGCACATTTATTTAGACTTTTACGATTTGTATCTTGTCCACTATAACACATCCGATATCTGATTCCAAACCACAGCGAGACTTCAAGGCAGTTGTCACACTAACCCTTATTGTGTAATCGCAAAATATAAAAAATAGTATTTGACAAACGAAAAATCAAAATTAATCCGATAAAATCCGTAAAATAATAAAAGAAATATTTCTATTTAACTTCGATTCGCAACTTCGAAAATTTCTATTCGCTTAGGGTCATGACGTATTAAAATTTGAAAAGTATAACTCGGTTCGTTAAATATTATATGGAATTTTTCATTATCGCGAAAAGATAATCACTCACCATCAGCTGAGCATCCTGCTCGTTTGCCCCTTTTCTCCATAACAAAACAGACCGTAATAAAATAAATCTCCGACGAACCATTAAAAAACTGAATCGCGGCTAACTCACTCACAAGACTGAGGCGTAATACTTCAACTACACGCTGGTCTTCTGTGAGGCTTTATTACTCCCTTACCTCATTTGACGACCCGAATGGCGTAGTGGGTAGTGTACCTGCCTCCTGCGCCAGAGGGTGTAGGTTCGATCCCCACTACTGGAAAAATATTGTGTGAGGAACATAGTGTTTTTCTAGTGTCTGGGTGTTGATATATGTATAATATGTATTTATTTACAAAAGAAAAGTATTTTCAAGTATGTCTATCAGTTATCTAGTACCCATAGTACAAGCATTGCCTACTTTGGGACTAGAAAACGTTGTGTAAAAATGTGTCCTAAAATATTTATTTATTATATTTACTCTATTTTAAGTACCAATATTCTGATCATTTGCTAACTTTAATTGTCAACATTGAAATATCTAACTGAGGCCTCAGTCCGTTTAGTGACCGTAATGAACCCGTAACACTAGTTGGGAAGAACACAGATGTGGATAACTTAGAATTTATTTTCAGCATAGTGTAAAAGGTATATTTTAAGGTTCCGAACCAAAAGGGGAAAAACGGGACCCTATTACTAAGACTTCGCTGTATGTCTGTCTGTCTGTCCGCTGTTACCAGACTGTCTCATGAACCGTGATAGTAAGACGGCTGAAATTTTTACAGATGATTTATTTCTGTTGCCGCTATAACAGGAAATACTAAAAAATAGAATAAAAATATATTTAAGTCCGATACAACAGACATGATTTTTTTACAGTTTTTAAAGATAATCCTACGGAACCCTTTGAGCGCGAGTCGGACTCGCACTTGGCCGGTTTTTTTTACAATCTGATTGTCCGCTTTTACACGCAGCTTCGAACTCATCGGAAACCAGCCCGGCGAGCACCGTCAAGTCGACGGAGAAACCGAGCGAAGAGAAGGTACGTAGTCATTTATCCTTTCCTATGTTGATGTTACATTGTTCACATGTTGTGCTGCCGCATGTAGGTGGGACAGAGGGCTGGAGGATGATGAATGGCACTACTACCAATACAGGGCACGGGGGAGCCCGTGTCCGTAGCGCCTAGCGTAAACCGGTTTATTCCGGATTTAGTAGCGTCATTATGGCACCTACAACCAATCTATTATATCTTTATTCACATAGACGCTTGCGCGTTCTTATGACGCGTCAAAGTTTTACATAAAAATTAATAGGTTCGTAAGTAAGTTATATGACACTTACTGCCAAAACAGGGCGCGGGCGATCCGGTGTAAGTGACAGCTAGCGCAAACCGGTTCATCCCGGAATGAATCGCTTTACTTGTGGCACTACTGCCGATAATCAGAATCAGAGGGCGCCAGGGAGTCCGTGTCCGTTGCTACTAGCGTAAATCGGTTCATTCCGGATTGAGTCGCTTTATGTATGGCACTAATACCAAAACAGGACGCGGGCGAGCCGGTGTACGTGGTGACCAGAGTAAACCGATTCATTCCGGATTCAGTAGCTTTATCTATGGCACTAATGCCACATAATACAGGGCGCGGGCGAGCCGGTGTGCGTGGCGACTAGCGCGAACCGGTTCATTCCGGTTTTCGTCGCTTTATTTCGCACTTACTACCAACACAGGGCGCGGGCGAGCCGGTGTGCGTGGCGACTAGCGCAAACCGGTTCATTCCGGTTTTCGTCGCTTTATTTCGCACTTACTACCAACACAGGGCGCGGGCGAGCCGGTGTACGTGGCGACGACGCGCGTGGTGCGCGCCGTGATGCGTCTGGCGGGCGATCGGGGCGCCCCGCCGCCCGCGCTGCTCGGCAGCGTGCGCCACGTGGGCCACGAGCTGCGCGCCCTCTGCGCCACCGTGGACCTGCTCGTCGTGCCCTACCCGCCCGCCGCGCAGAGGTGACTCTTTTTCTTAGGGCTCCGCACCCAAAAGGGTACAACGGGACCCTATTACTAACACTCCGCTGTCTATATGTCCGTCTGTCACCGGGCTGTATCTCATGAACCCTGATAGTTAGACAGTTGAAATTTTCACAGATGATGTATTTCGGTTGCCGCTATAACAACAGTTACTAAAAACGGAATAATTAATATTTAAGTGCGGCTACCATGCGATAGACACGATTTTTTTGCCACTTTTATATATAATGGTTATCCTTCATGCGTGAGTCCGACTCGCACTTGGTCGGCTTTTTTTATTTTATGTGAGAAGGTGGCAAACGAACCTTGGCATTCACCCGAAGTTGAGAAATAACCGCCGCCCATTGACATTCGCAAAATCCGTAGGGTTGCCCCGGCTACCTCACTCACCAGACGAAACGCAAAAGTATAACACTTCCACATTACGCCGGTCTTATGTGAGAACATGATACTAAACCGAACAGACCAGCCCATTCTTGCAACAGTGAAGACTGTCGCGTTAAGATAGTAAGTAATTGTCGACCATTGTTAAAAAGTCGTCGACCATTGGTAAATTCGACTGAAATTCGTTACATTTAATGATTGATTTTATTTTTAGGGCATCTTTGACGCTAGGGAATAGCACTAAAATATATATTGATCCGCTCTCGTCGACAGGGAAGTTGAGATGGCGCATCAGGTGCTGAGCAAGGATATGGCAGCGCTAGTGGAGGCGATGCGGCTCGCCATCCAGTACTCCAACACCACGTTGCAGCATGAGTACACCAAGTGAGGGCATTGTAATTTTTTTTATGAGGTGGCAGGCGCGCTGGCGGTTCACCTGATGTTAAGTGATAACTACCACCCGTGGACGTTTACAGCGCCCGTAGTGTTGCAGGTCCGTTGGCACCTTTTAATAAAGTGGGCCCCGGCTCCCTCACTCATCAGACGAAACCCAGAAGAGGTTCCACTTCCACTTCACGCCGGTCTTCTGTGACACCGTAGTCCTTACTCCAACCCATTCGTGCAATAGCTGTTGCGTGGCCCTACCACAGTTAAATTAGTACATTAAAAAAATTCTAAGTGTGGCGATGGCAGGCTACCAGTAGACGTTTAGAATAGGTGTGCATTGTCAACTATACCAACTGTAACAGAGTACAAATTCTTTACATAAGTCTTTTGTCAGCCTTGACACTCCACCGGAGGGGCTTGACCATTCAAAGCAAACGTCACAATGAGCATATCCGCCGCCATATCCACAAATCTGTACAAAATGAAGATCCAAGTCGCGTTTGGAAATTCTTAAGGTCTATAGGAGTTGGGAAATCACGCTCAAACCTACTTCCAAATAATTTAGATTTAAATATGCTTAACCAGCATTTTTCTTCGTCTTCTTCTTGCATAGATAATGTTGCTAAATCAAATACCCTTACTCAACTTCTCTACTTCCCACTCCTGACTATCCTCCTTTTGTCTTTAGGCAATTTGCAGATTGTGATGTTAAGAGACACATACACTCCATTCATTCCGACGCTGTTGGGAGTGATGACGTTAGTCGTAAAATGATCATTCCTTTGCTTGACATTCTTACACCTGTTATAACGCACATCCTAAATTTTTCCCTATCCACACGGATCCCCTTACCCAAAAAAGCAAATCCTTCGAGTTTTTCCGAATATCGTCCTATTTCTATTCTCCCATTCCTTTCTAAAGTCCTTGAACGCCTTGTCCAAGAACAAATTTATTCCTTTTGCACTAAAAGCAATATCCTCGATCCGCTTCAGTCTGGCTTTAGATCTGGTCATAGTACGACTACAGCATTATTGAAAATCACTGACGACATTCGCTTCGGAATGGACAGTCGTCTAGTCACAGTATTGGTCTTGCTGGATTTCAGCAACGCCTTTAATACTGTAGATCATGACATTCTGTTAGGTGTACTGCGTTCTCGTAACATATCTCCAACTGCAATTTCCTGGTTTCATAGTTACTTGTATGGACGCCAGCAGCGTATTCGATTTCAGGACAGATTTTCTTCATGGCTTGATACTGTAGCTGGTGTTCCACAAGGTGGCGTGTTATCCCCACTGCTATTTGCAATTTTCATTAATACCATTACTTCCCAAATATCTTCTCTCTACCACTTGTATGCAGATGATCTCCAGATTTACACTCAAACCACTGTGGAGGATCTTCCGAAAGCTGTGGATATTATTAATAGGGATTTGGCTTGTATTCTTGACTGGAGTCGACAATATGGTTTGACTGTTAATCCCTATAAAATCTCAAGCCATAATAATTGGGAGTTCAAGAAATATCACTAAATTAAATAAGAACCAAATTGACCCGGTTATTTTTAATGGCATCGTAATCCCTTATAATGACATTGTTAGAAATCTGGGTATACTGATGGACTCAAGTTTTTCATGGACCCCTCAAATTAATGCAGTCGCTCGTAAATTATTTGCAGCATGTGGTTCGCTTAGAAGGTTGAACTACTTTTTACCTATTTCAACCAAAATTACGCTTGCCCATTCTTTACTGCTCCCTATTCTTGATTATGCTGACATATGCTATCTCGACATCACTGAGGAGCAGCTTAATAAACTTGAGCGACTCCAAAATCTATGTATACGGTTCATATTTGGACTTCGTAAATATGACCATGTATCAGAATATCGTATTAAGCTCAAGTGGCTCCCGATTCGTTTTCGCCGGAATACTCATATTCTTTCTGCTCTTTACTGCGTCCTATTTAATGTATCAAGTCCGGATTATTTGAAGGAACGTTTTCAATTTCTTTGCTCTTCTCATAACCTTCCTCTACGTTCAAATGAAAACCTCTTCCTTAAAAATCCTTTGCGATCAACTAGTTTTTACCATAAATCCTTCTCTGCTGTCGCTGTTAAACTCTGGAACTCTTTACCTTTGGCTATTAAACGTGCCCAAACCCCTAGATTCGTTTAAAAGACAGGTTAAGAAGCATTATCTCTCTGTCTAGCTCCTTTCTATCTCTCGATGTCTTTCTTCTCTTTTTATTTCACTCTTACTTTGATGATCACACACAAGAGGTATGTTTTTCTTATTACTTTAATTTTTGTTGCAACTTACTTTTTACTTAATTTCATGTACATCCTACCCAATAAGAATTTCTTTGGATTCATTTCTGAGGTTGCCTGGAAGAAATTGCTGTGTAGCAATAAGGTCGCCTTTTGATGACCAATATTTGATAAATATTTTGTTTAGTTCTGTACTTTTTTTCTTTTTTGGTGTACAATAAAGCATATTATTATTATTATTATTATTATTATATCCAGCTGTACTCTTCAACCAATCTTCAATATTCCACACCAGGAGCATGCTAGCAGCCGCCCACGTACTGGCCATGGACGCGAAGAACCTGCTCGACGTGGTGGACTGCATCCGGGAGCGGCACCCGGGCGTGGACTGGCGGGCGGCGCTAGAACCGGACCCCGAGGGACCCCCGCCCGAGCGGAGCCCGCCGCACAACCGGACCCTCACCTCGCAGAACCAGGTGTTCGCCGCCCAGTGCAGGACCTTCACGCCGCAGAACCCCTCGCCGGAGGGCCAGGCTCCGGCGCAGGACGACCCGCCGCGGCCCGACTTCAAGCTCAACCAGCCGGTCACCACCATCCCGCCCAGCGGCGGAGACCAGCCCAAGGAGCACACCAGCCTGCCCGTCCCCACGAGCCGCGTGTCCGCCCTCGTCCACAACTACAACCTGTACGGAAACGTGAGGGAGCCCCAGCACATATACGGCAACGCGGAGCCGAACGCCGCCTTCCAGCACTCCGCCTCGTTCGAGGAGGCGAAGGCGGAGCAGCTGGAGACGGTGCGCGGCCGCGTGCAGGCGAAGACCGAGCAGACGGTCTACTCGGCGAGCAGGAAGCCCGTGCCGGTAGACCAGGGCCACGCGCACGGAGACCAGGGATGAGCGTTGCCAGCAACTGTCGCAGAACGCTTGTAGTGGCAATTTTCCGTTACCCCGCAGCGGGGTCCCGACAGCTTTACTAATGGGGCTATGACGAGATTTTAGACTTAGCACTTGTTTTGTACTTTTTGTAACGAGCATTTGAGCGATACTTGAGATTTCCGTTTCGGTGGACTTTTTCTTTTTTCCGTTCTCAGCTCTCCAGTCGTCGAAATATACAATGCCGCTTATAGCTCTAGCGTTATTGAAAAGCTTCTATTAAAAGACAACCTCAACCATTGCTCAATATTCCACGTAGCGAATAGGTGTCAAACATATAACCCACTTGTTTTAATTATTCGAGATTCCTCAGATAACTGGTAAATCTCGTATGTACAACTATGAACGTATTACTTACTCATTTCATTATTAGACTTTCTTTTCCACATTCCTGATTATCATTGTGCTCACTTTTCGTATTATTAAAGAACGATTAAATCTTTCCTTTTAATATTTTCAATTTATAGTTGGAGATACGTGATGGACGAATAAAACTGACACACATGCGATTTGTCGACTTATGTACTATTTGTTATATCGTTTCTATATAAAACGTACAATATCATATCATCATAATACATATTATATAATCGCAATATATCTATTTATTTCTATTTCCTAATTGATACTTTGACTTTTTGTTTTTCATTAGTAAAATTATATAAATTAGAAATATATTCCTGGCCTCATTGTTTTCAGAATTGATTCTTGCAAGAGTGAAGTCACGAGATATATTTTATTTATGTATTTCTATCTACATATCATTGGCATTGTTGCGCCTCAAAAAATCTTATGTACTGTTGCCTATTGGATTTACTGTTACACAAGTCTATTTGTGTTAATGCCGAATTAAAAATAACGATAGTAAAACACATTCTCCTTTTCATTTCCCAGTGTCACTTCCGAAACGCCCGTATGGAACCGGCCGGTGATATTTATTTGTAAAAATTCAAAAAGAAAAATTTTCATGAATACAAAAATAGCAAATTTACTCAAAACGTACTGTGCTTATTATCGGATATACAAGTCATGCGTTGGTCGTTGCGGATATAAAAGTTAGGTTTAATACTGAACAAGTGTTTAAATACGGAAAAACAGTTTTCTTTATATATTGTCTATTGTTTATCTAATAATATTATTTTGTAAGCTATCGTGTATTAATAAAGATACGTGTATATGTTCAGTTAGTAAAGGTGCATATAGTGTCACAACTCCGCATTTAGTTAACTACGATCATTCGCAGTATTTACCTGCTATAAAGAGATTTATTTTGTTTGTAAAAATGTACAAAACGTGACGATTACCCATTAATTATTTTAATTCTTATCCAAAGTTTTATTATAAGCTTAGATCTCAGATGGAATTTTCTAGAGTCGTAGTGCATTGAATTGGTTATTTGTGTAATTATCATGTCGGAATTTATTTATTGAAGAATCTTCCCTGATTTTATTTGTAAAGATGTTTTTTTTTTTACATTTCCTAATGCGTTAGCGTTAAGCAGGATTTCATTCCAAAGTATATAATGTTTTAAGCGGGAGCGTAGTTCATGTATCGTAGGTGTGAATTGCCCGAGATTATTTTACCGATAACCGATGTTGATTTGTACCGGTTTTTGTTTATGCATTAAACTGAATAAAGGACAAATCATTTACAATGACTATTATTTATATCATCCTTAATCTCACAACGTACACAAACTCCTTATATGAGTTGGGGTAGCGCAAAGGATATCATCATATTAATTTTAACACCTAATTATATTGGCTGATACACGTCGATCAACATGAGTAAAATCTTTAAAATAAAAACAACGATTTTCGAACAAAGTAAATGAAACAAAATTTATTTTCTTAGTATTAATAAAGCAAAATTTACCACTCGCCGGGTGCTAAAATTCGCAAGTCTGTCTATTTGAGACAAAATTGGTTAAAAAAAATAATTAGAAGGGGAAAAGGCATAATTCATAATATAAATAAATTCGTTGCTAAAATAAGTTTCAAGGATTTTTTCCTTACCGGACAGACATATTCCAAAATCATAAACTTTTTAAGCACTCTCGATATGACGCATTTAGTTGTATATATATATTTTTTATTATGCTTCTGGGATAGAAAAACCTAAAAAAAAACTATAAGGTCTGATAAAAACACATTTCAATCAAAATAAGAGCCGTGATAGCTGTGTCCGGGCGCTCGCCTATAATTCAATGTAATCGAGCAACCTGAGTTGAAATCCAGATGCCGGCACCAATGAAATTTTTATCAATTTTAAGTGCTGACTTATCGCGTGCTCAGCGATGACGGAAAACATCGTGAAGATAGGTACCTGCATATTTGCAGACTCAGCAGTGGGACATAAATATAGACAATTACTTAACTTAAAATTAAATTATTATACATTCGATCACATTCCAGATTTATCATAGTCTTCCAACACTCTGTAAGGGCAGATAGCATGGACCATGTTTATACCCTTCTGTAGGCATAAGAGTAGATAAAGATTTAGATTACTAGACATACGTAGAAAAATATAAATAACCGGACTGATTAAAATTTATCTCTTTCCGTTTTATTTTTCCTGTCCTAGGGAAATTTTGAAATCATGAATCATTTCCGTTGTGAAATGACGCGTCGCAGTTGCTAAGCTTATCGTCTTCCGCAACGTCGGATGTGGATTCGACTTCCACACGTGGAAGTGTTTGTGTGACCCACAGATAATACATATAATTGTTCTGGATCTAGATGTTTGTTCCCTAAAAGGGTCAGCAGGCGGCTGGTCTAGAATAGTCCCTAGCCAATACTACTAACAAAATGATTAACAAGCTTTTCCGACCCCGCCTAATTGGAATAAGGGTAGGAGGATATGATCCTAAGGAGACATTTATTACACCATAATCGAGTCAGTTGTATTTCAATATACTCGAATTAACCATTATACAATCATTACAGATTTCTAATAGTACTGGTAGTCACCGATACTAGTACAGTCTACGAGCAAGAAAAGATTCACATTTCATATGTATTCACAATAAAGATTATATAGTATTTGTCATTGGAAAAAATTAAAGAAACATTTTTATTTTTAAATTTTATTAAATTTACAAAACTTGTGTACAAGAGTGACATCGCCTTATAAACCCATGACTAAATTTTAAACGGAGTCTTCTTAAAGACACATTCGCTAATCTATTTTTTTTAATGCTCAAGTCATTAAAATCTTTAATTGTAACAGTTCAAATAACTTTTCGTTTGAAGTTAATACATAAATGAACAAATTTAAGCGATTCTTTCATTTACGTATTATCTGCAAACACTAAATCTGATTGGATCTTTATCATCTTTATTTATAATATATCGTGTCTTTTAAATTGATACATACTTTGAGCTTTATGAAATCAATTTTGTATAAAATTAATGTAACAAGATGTTGATAATTGTGTCTTTATGCAGAATATGTTTGTTTACAATTAAGTTTAAATTTTCTAACCACATTAAAATTATTAACAAGGGACAAAGAAAATGTATACTTACTTCACCTAACCAGTTTAATTAAATAATTATTACTTTTTGACTAACACTGAGCAATGTTAGTAGCACAAGCTGTGTTAAAAACATACATTTACGATATTAAAACAGCACAAATAAAAGTCAAACTGACAGAAACCATAGAGTCAAATATCGATTTCCATCTACAAATAAAATACAAAAGTTTAGTTATTACTTCTTACTTAATGGAATTAATCAGCAGGTTATTTATCTATCGGGTGTTTCAGAAACTGGTTGTTGAAAATAGACCACTCCATCTCGACCCGACTTTTGTATCGGTGCAATGCAAAAAAAAATTATGGTGGCATATGTTGAAACTTTATTAGTATCTATGCAGATTATTAGTAAGGATGAGTTCAGTCCACTTTCAGGCTCTAACAGTCTAGGAAATTGGCGGCCATCAGCAATTCCAGAGCGATTTCGGGCGCGATCGGGAACTCTGGTATTTCCGTGGAGGAGTTCGTGTAGCGCACTTTGTACGTAAAGTACATGCACACCTTCTGGAGCACGTGGGATCTGGAAATGACAACCTCTATTGATATATTCATTTCGACACACCAACGAATATATTAAATGAAACCAGTTTTCGCATTTTGTTTGTTTTGATTCCTTTACACAAGTCCATTTTTTTATAAACGAAAAACAAAACCGACTTCAAATATTTCGCTCTGTATTATTTTTATAATTGATTTTCAGGAGTTCCCTAAGAGTCTCCGGTCTCCGGAGCCCAAGATCCAATACCAATGAAATTGATATGGGACCACACGGGAATTATATACATATATATATTCGAAAATTCAATCTATGGTCTAGGTTCCGAGAAAATCCGTAAACTAGTTTTTTAATATGTATAGAAAAAGAAATCAATCACCAACAAATAATTTTGTCCCTGTTTTCCAGGAATGAAAAAAATATATTGTAGTCTTCTCTTCGAAAACATCGACACTTACTGTAGGATAATCCGAATTTACGCCCAACAAAATACATATATATATATATATATATGTGTATATAATTCGAAAATTCAATCTAGCTAGGTTTCATTTTTAGAAAATGTCCTTTTGTCCCTGTTTTCAGGGAATGAAAAATATTATTCGAATATGACGGTAAATTTCGCCCAAAAAAATGTTATAATAGCTCGGTTGGTAATCGAGCGGCCCCGAAACAGAAGGCTACGGTTCGTGTCACGATCATTTACACACTTATTTTTTTACTTTTCTTCTATACCAGATCATTGCTTTCCTTATTTTTTATTTTTTTATTTCCAAAATACACGATTTACCAAAAAAAACCGAGCAAAGCTCGGTCCTCCAGGTACTGGACATTTAACAACATACAGAATGTCATAAAACTAATCAGCTAATTTTATTTAACATACAAATGCTATCCTGAATTTTTAAACACACAGGATGTTCCAAACCCCTTCACCTTATGGTGACTTGGTAAAAAACAGGTGTGCCACTTTCGTGACTTACGGGATCTCCCTGAAGTTGACTTCATTGGCCTCATTCTCCGCGAACTGGCCAGGCCCACTGAGCATGGCCTTGATGGTCCCCGAGGTCAGGGCGTGCTCCCGCTTCACAATGAACTCGTGCCCATCTGATGAGACGAGCTTCACATACATCGCGTCTGGACCATCGCAGCCGCCGTACACTTTCTCCTCGGAACCCACTGGGGATATGAAAGGTGATTGTTCCATGTTTGTTTTTACCTCAACTGTTTATTTATATATCTGGATCAATTGTTTGTAGTACATAAAAAGAAGGTAAACAAGGTCCAGTGTACCGGTAAATATAAATAAATAAATATATGAAATTTTATTTAATTAATCAAAGTACATAAATAATCATATACAATAAATCAATAATCTTACTTGATCCAGCAATGCCACAAGTGAGCTGATCATCAGGGCTAGCCACTGATGCTGCTGAAGCCACCACAGACTCGGACATTCTGCTAAATAAACTATGTTAATGTAAGCCAATTTAGAAATAGTGCAATGAGAAAGTACAAATTAATTTTAACAGTGGAGAGATAGGTTTTTGCTGTAGTACAAATGGGCAGAACCGTTCGGAGAAGTACCATAACCTCACAGAAGAGCGTGAAGTGGAAGTGCTATATTTTTTATTTAGTATGGTGAGTGAGGTAAGTAAGGCCCACTTTATTACAAGGTAGCAGCACCCTATGGGTGTTGCGGATGTACATGATAACTACTCACTTAACAACAGGTGATCCGCCAGCTCGCTTGAGACTTTTTCACATAAAAAATGTTTTTCATTCACTAATATAACATCAATAAAATTAATAGTGAGATATGCAAGCCAAGTATTTAAAACTGTATTGGTTAACCGCTTCAATGTTATACTTGGAAACAGTTTTAATTTTGAAATGGTATTTCAGACAATCATCGAACCAATAGGTAAATGAAAAGGAAAACGGAGTGGTAGAATACTACATTACAGTGTAGTCATTAACCTTCCAAATCGTATCAATATCACAATATCACTCACCTTAATTGTTAAAAGCAAGCGCTGACAAAAAATTACATTAAATTTATACTGGAAAATCGAACTATATAAAATTTGAACGTGCAATTTTATTTCACAAAATTTATTACGTACGTATACTATTCCAGGTTATTTTACAGTATATTTGATTGATTTTGACAATGACCACAGAGTACACAAACTTTTATCAAGCCTTTGTTGACAAGCATTGACATTGAAAGAACCCGTACCATGTAATGGTAAAAATGTAAATTACTGTACCAATGAACGAGTTCGATTTAGCTTCCGATCTGCAGTCACACCTTGACCCTGACAGTCGTCTCTTTGATGCATTCTCTGACCCAACCCTATGGTAGCAAACCGTTCAAACTGGAAGTTAAGGCCAAATGCCTCGCTAACAGCCTAGACTGAATGTTCATTACCATTTAGCCCATTATCCCCGTCCACTTACCTGATGGGGAGGAGTCGTCCACGGTTCCACCAACGTAAGCAAAATCCGCTTATCACCTGGGCCGACTTTAACAGAGTTATAAAAGCAATTCCTGACTCTTAGTATAATTAGTCTTTCATGGGCCTTTTTTTAAACTTCTCGATAGCTGCTGCTCATATGTCTCATAGGCATCTACAAGTCGATTAAGCCTAGAGACTTACCTAGGAATTACCTGCCCATTGGTCTTCTCTTTTCCAAAAAAGGAAAATTTTCGATAGCTTTATACAAGCAACGATTACAAAATGCATTCTATCATTTGATATTATTCCCGATGAGCAGTTTCTCTTAAGAGCTGGACACTCAAGCACCCTTCAAGTGCACCGCCTCATGCATCATGTCCTCTCAAATCGTCACACTGGAGACATGTGGGGCCCTACTTTCAGAGCCATTTTAATGATTGTCCTTAGAATGGCTCTGAAAGCCCTACTTTCCTCAGAACACACTGCATTCATTTCTTATACATACAGACACCCCGATTTAACCGTTGAAGATGATTCGGTGCACTTTTGAATCGCTTACGTCTTATTGTTATTTAATAGCATGTTTGTATACAATCTTTCACTCTTTAAGAAATAAATAAAAAGTTTTATTACTTTTAGCTTTCGAAGATTAATGGTTTTCGAGAGTTTCTGACAAGATTATTTATGTAAATCTTGCATTTTGTAAATAATCTGAGGTTCATACCTCCGTGGGAGTGGCCTGAGCAATGTTAACTAAAGTCAAATTGTCTATCTTTCATTAGCAGGAGTTGCAAAGATGTATCGTTCGTCGCCATAGTGTTATCGTCGGGATGGATGTTATGGAGTCGTTGGGATAATAGCCAACTATAATTTAATAACAAAAAACTTTAGAAAATTATTACTATCGTAAGGTAACACCAGAAAGAGGGGTCGTCGACTATTCGGCGGATTTTTTTTGACATGGCTTTTTGGCTTCATTTCATTATTTTGACATTTCGATGTCAACCGCTACGTATTTCATTAATAAAAGTAGTTATTCTACCGTTTTTCGCTTGTGCCCAGCTTTTTGTACGCTGTAATAGCATATAGCCTTAGATACGCGGTCGCCTGTATTGGTTACAGTGGATGAGCATCAGAAATTCCGAGAGAACCATGTGACACGAATACGAAAAAGGGACTTCCAGACCGTCAATGTGACAGAAATGTTTTCTGCCATCGCGACGACCCAACGCTACCACGGAGCCGAGACTAGCTCGACTTGCGATCATCGGATAGCGATATAGGGTAAGCGCGTCAAAAATGAGCGCGAGATGGCTAGTCCGCCACGGAATCCTAGAGAAGGCGAGCAGGGCAGCTCCGAATTCTCGGAGGAGACGAGCAGGGAACGCCCGACCGCCCCGCAGAAGACGTTCATAGCGCCGCCCGCTTCGCAGCTGCCCACTAAGTTGCAATACGTCACGCGACGAGCGTCTGGTCCGAGTGGCATTAAGAATGTGTATCCAACGGTGAAAACGGCGCGACGGGTACCTACGTTGCCCGGGAAACCGAAAGAGGCCACGACGAGTTCGACGGGTAGCGAGCGCCCGGGCCCAGAGCCCGCTGCCCCCGGGCGGAGTGCCCGTCGCGATCGCCACAAGCGTCACGTCTGCACTACCTGCGAAAAACGGTTTTCGAGCCCTGGCAAGCTCAGCCAGCATGTCCTCTCCCATACCGGTGAGCTACCCTTTTCTTGCGAGTTATGTGATAAGCGATTCAATTCTAAATTTAAACTTGTACGTCATGGTCTTATACACAGTGAACCTCGAGCTTTTGGTTGCAATATTTGCGGTAAGACTTTTAATAGAAAAGATCATTTAAGTAATCATCTTCGTATACATAATCCCTTCAAAAAAATGTACACTTGTGAACGGCCTGATTGTAGGAAATCTTATACATCTCAGCTTAGTTATCGAAAGCATGCAGCTTTGCATTCAGCAGAGGAAGGTAATCTACAATGCAAGATCTGTGATGACATTTTCAGTACACGTCAAGAAATTGTGCACCATTTAAAAGTTCACTCTGGCAGCCGTACAGTGAAAAATGAAACTGATAAAAAATTTCCATGCGACTATTGTGAGAGAAAATTTTTTACTGCTAAAGATGTACGACGACATCTTGTTGTGCATACAGGAAGACGAGATTTCTTATGCCCTTATTGTCCTCAAAAATTTGGCCGCAAGGATCATTTAGTCAGACATGTTAAAAATGCTCATCCAGAGAAATCATGGAGGTCTGCTGCAGTAGGTACGTCAAAGGATCCACCACCAGAAGCCTCCACATTTGAAGAAAGTTTTCCTGAGATACCCGTAGAAGGGTTGGAATTTAAGATCTGGAATCCTACTTCACCAAAAGCAAGCACATCTGATGCATCTACAGTACGGACACGAGTGCCATCAAGTGATATTATTGTTGAAATTCCACCTGACCTTGATATAAAAGTCGAACCTTTAGAAATAAAACAAGAGCAAGAAACTTCACCCAGCTATGAACCATATGCTCCTGAGTATGATGTTTATGTCATCCCCTCAACATATCCCCCAACGCCGTCCAACTTGCCGTATATTTCACAACCATTAACTGATCCAGAGCAATTGCTTGATCCTAGTAGTGTACAGTCTATATACTTAGATCCAGGGGAAGGACCCTCAGTGTTGCCTGGTGAAATGCTCCTGTTGGAGGAGAGTGAACCATCATATGGGGCAGAGGAAGGCCGATTACATCGATTACCAGCATTCACGCAGGCTTTTCAAACAACACAGAGTCAAAAACCTCCCCCACCGCCACCACCGCCACACTAATCTTGCCTATTAATGGGCAATAGATTGATGCATTTAGCTTTTGTTGATTCAAAGCTACCTCATTAGGTAAGGTTGGTCTAAGTGTAATATATAGTCTGGAAGTGGAAGTAGAAACGAGTATCCAATATTCTATTATTATTTAAAGAAACTTGAGGATGGCCTCAAAATAAATTGCCAAATTGTAACTATATTTTGCTTGTCTCGGATATACCAAAATATTTCCGAATTCTACATGAATATATGATCTAGTCATGTATGTACTTTCGGAATTGTAAATTGTTTATTTATAGTGTACAAGTATGACATGCAGTATAAGTGGGACCAACTCTGTGAGATGTTAGATGGGGATACAGTAGTTTGTAGTTTGTGATGGGTCACTCGGAATTGTTTAGGTTGGCAATAATATAAGTGAACAGGAATAGAGGAGGGTAAATATGACTCTAGAAAGTGGCATGCTATATAATATGTTTAGAGAGGTGTGCCACTTTCCACTGCGAATTAATAATACAACAAAGAGCATATTCCTTGTCTTTACTGAGAGTACAATCATAGTGTGGGTACCATAGCATCAGATCTGTTTTTAAAAATAGATGATATTTGAGTAGAAGCAATTAATGAGGTCAGATTCATGCTCATTCTATTGTATTAAAATGGTTATGAATTCTTGATTCCTCCTGCATCCTTTAACTACCAACAGAATGCAATAAATTACCATTATACCTCAGAAGCATTTTATGTTTCCTTAGCATATAAGACAATAGAATTGGATTATTGTGTGATAAGCAAATTAATGAAACTGAGTTTGTATCATTTTATTAAACAATATGTGCCAAGAGTTTTGGAATATTATAGTCTGTCATAAACCCAAGCCAAATAAATGCATGAAAAAACTCAAAAATAAATTGTGACAGCTGAATAATTGTATACAAAGTGCTACCAAGCCCAATTGTGTACCTTGGCATTGATTTTGAATTGTAAGTCAAAACTAATTTACCGAAATCACAACAAGAAAATAACCAGGTGAATTAACTCATACAAGTTGATAAACATAATATAAATTAATAGGTTCCAGCTCTATTATTAGGTGCCTTGCATTTCTCAAAAATTCATTAAAAAATGGAAGAATATTGAATATTGTAATATGTTTATTCTACTTAATTTGTAGTATCAAAATTTTAACTTTTTTTTTCTTCACAGCCTCATTAAATGAACTGCCATTTCTTGTATTTGCATTCTACTTAAATTTGGAAGTTAATTTGTTACAAGTTGAATATATTCTAATATTTTTGAGCACAATAAAAAAGAATAAAATCTTTTTCAATATCATAAATTAAAAATTAATGAATTTGAATAATACTACAGAGAAAAGTGAAAGTTGTGATTTGTCTACCACAACATAAACATCTGCTTTACTAAGATACTTTTTGAATTATGAATATAAATGAATAAGGTTTTCAATGTGCTAAACAAGTAGTTTTGTGTCATTATAGCTATTTCTACAATAATAATAATAATTTTGGTGTCGACTTTATTATATGAACTATTTTATTTGACATATAAACTTTAAAGATATAAATGTTAAGTTTTAAATCATAATTTGAGTTTTTCACCATATATTTTTATTAAATGTTTGGCGTCTAGTAATGGCAAGGATATTATACCTACATAGTGGAGATCCAATGTTGTACACGCTTCATATTATAGAATATGTAAATAATTCTAATCTTTTAGGTTAATAGGTGTAAAAAAATTTAATCTACCTCAATTACAACTTATTGTTACATATAGAATTTAATTACTTTAGGGTAGTGAGAAGAAAGAACATTAGATTTTCTTTTTCTTCTTGATTTATTCACGCAACTGACAGTTGTTAACGTTTAGGTACGTGATTCTTTCTGTGTTAATGTTTGTGTGTGCTGCAATCAAAACATTTCAGTGCTGAAATCAATTATATGTGAAATTCACTTTTTAAAACAAATTTAACTGATACCATATTCTTTGTAAGCTTCTTGTAATTAATATTTTCGTATTATTAAAATTTTAAATGCAATAAACAGGAAAATTAAGTCTGCTCATACAACATAATTAAGAAAATTATGAAATTTAAGTACCTATATATAAAATTTCTAAATCAACATTAAAGGAAATGTCAATTATGTAACATCAAAAAACATTTATTTACGATTGGTACTTTATACAAATTGCAGTTTACATTTTTAGTGACTAGTCATACGCAGCACATATAAATATCTCATGATTTTTTTTTTCATAAATAATCATGTCTATCTTATTACAACTGTGTCGTTTATTGAACGTAAAATCTGATTAACAACAGTACAAAGCGTAAAGCTACGCGCGATAGGGTTTCCTTTTATTGTATAGTATTGATACAGTAATATACAACGATGTATGCAATATTTTGTATTGTAAAGTTTTAGATATTAATTTACTTTATTGGTTTAAATGTCAAAGACGATAGCCGATAATAACAATATTCCTGTCTTGTTATTTCTATAGAATTCATTGCTATTTGTATTTATTTATTTTATTATAGTCAACTGATCATAAAATGTGTATCTATCTTGTCTTGTAACACAAAGTGTTCAATTATCCTTTTGGGAATATTTTTATGCATAATTGTAATTGTTAAATTTTTTATCCCAGTTTTTTTATCGTAATGAGTGTGACTCGTTATTTTTTATTATTTTTTTAATCTAAAACATCTTGTGTAATGCCAAATAATTACATAATTTTATTTGACTTTAATTCCTGTAAGATTTCGAATATTTTTTTATTTATGTAATCTATGATAAACTTAAGTTCAGTTGCTGCAACGAATATGCTACGAGTTGGAAATACGCTTTTGTACTCTTTATTTAAATAGTTATTGCCAATTTTCCCATACATACAGGATTCTCTCGAACCCCACCTTATTAACTTTATAGCATTTACAATTTGCTTCTGGTCATTTATTTTTCTACCTTGTTGTTAATTTCGATTTCTTTATTTTACTACTTAGAATGTATAATAAAGTAAAGGCGAGGTTTCTAACTCGTAGTAAGCTGAGATACTGATCAAGTAGGTATACGTAATTTTGGTACATAACATAGGGGCCTTATGAAAATAAAAAAAATATAGATTGTTTGGATTATAACAAAAACAAAAAAAATATTTTTTTTTAGAAATTGTAAGATGTTTTAATAGAAAAGATCTATTTTTGTTACGCTTTTCGAGTAATAAAGCATTTTATATTAAATGTTGGGATTTACAATTTTGTACATAGATTACGTTAGAGTTGGAAATGGTTGTGTTCTTTGATTTTTACACATTTTTGACTGTTTATAGATTGTTACTCTTTATAGGAGTTGTTAAGGTAAGTGTTTCAGTGACAATAATCGATACTATTTGAGTGAATTGGTTATTTAATCTCCGGCTACACTAGAAGTGGTCAAATACAATCTGTAAATTTAAATTGAACTTTCAAACAACACAATAGCGATGGCGCCACAATAATTTCCAATTCTAACATCGCATTACGAAAATTTGTAATTTTTTGAATGGCAGTTTTTGTTTTTAGTAACTAACAACAATTCAACAGATTGTACCCTCGCAGGATAGCCTATTAAATAAATCATAAACATTGTACCTGGTTTATAATAACAAAATGTAATGTCATCAAGATAATAAATATTTTGGACATCAAATGTTTCTTTCTTTTGTATGTGTGATAGTTCTTAATGATGCATTAAACAGAAAATTTTTAGGAGTTCTGAAAGTGTCGAGAAAGCATTCGTCTTTTTAAGTTGACAATAATCACTATATATTATTTCTCAAAGGTGAACTTTTATAAGCCATTACTTTCATAATACTTCATAAAATTCAGTGATTCAAACTCCACTTAAAATTGTTTGCAGCTATTGATGAAAACTAGACAAGTAGAATTAAGGATTACATAAAAAAAAAAAACATTTCAAAATAAGATAATTTTCATTCATTAATACTTAATTAAACCATTCTGTGACTGATAATGGTACTATGGGAAAATGTAACACATGACCTAGTTAACAACTTTACTTTTGTCAACTTATATTATTTATACATATAACATGATAAAGTAAAAGAATTGAATGCAGTCAATATAAGGTGAGATATATTTTATTGCTGATCAATTCATTAACAAATAACACATAGACTTAGAAATCAGTGATAACAAAATAAATATGTACCTAATCCACAGTGAAACAGAAAAAAAAAAGAAATTAAGACAGAAATGTAGATTGACTATAACCAACATGAAATTTCTATAAAGAGGTTGTTCAATTTTTCCATAAAATTTTACAAGGGTATACATTTAATAATGTAAATATACAGTTGCGACGGCTATATATAACGACGTCACCGATAGAGATATCTAAAATGCACCTAGAGCCTGGATTCGAACCAAAATGGAGAATGGAGAAATTGTACTAAAACCTATACCCTCCCCGTATTCGGACACCACTCCAATGGTTTCAGTATAGTTTCAGAAACAATATCGCCGCGCGAGTCAGGTCGGGGCCGGTGGCCCGCGTGGGTAAATGCACAAGCTTAACACCGTTCACCGAAATAAGGAATGTTCACCGCGCCGGGGAATTTGAGCGCCATGAGGAATCATTTCGCCGTCCGCCGCTTGATCTTCCTCACCTTGCCCTGCTTCGAGGGCTTGCCCTTCAGCGTCGAGCCGTCCAGACTCGTTTGCTCAGCGTCCGCGCGCTCCGAGCGCTTTTTCCGCTGCACGGGGTTGTCGTTGGCGTCGTGGTCGGAGCTGTCCACGCCGTTCTCCATTCGGATGGTGTTCGTGTGGTTGCGCGGCGGTTCCATGTCGTCGTCCGAGTCCTGGTAGTTGCCGTTGGGCTCGTGCCGTCTGTACTGCAGGGCGCGGTAGAGCAGCTCCTCGTCGGAGTCCGCGGCGGGCCCGCACCGCCGGCTGATGTTCTGCAGCGACTGGTTCTTCTGCAGCTCGCCGTGCGCGGGGTCGCGCAGGTTCATCTCCGAGGTGGATTTGCTGCAGTACTCCTCGCGGTCGGACTCTGAGTACTTGCGCGATAGGCGGCGCGCGGACGGTTCCCTCTGCTGCTGGGCCCTCGCGTCGTTGGCGTATGGCGCGCTCTGGAGCGGCGCGGGCGAGCGCAGCCTCACCTCCGGCCCGCCCCCGTAGATGCCCGTGAAGAAGCGCCACAGCTCCTCGCTCAGCTGCGCGTGGTCCGAACCGGGCTTAAGCGAGTACGTCGTCACTCCGTCGATTTCCTGCAATTTACGATGTTCTTCTATTAGTTCTCTCGATAGTTTCTTATCCCTATATGAAAGCATCAGTAAAACACTATTAGGGTCAATTTGTTTTCAAAGAGGAAACACTTTGAACTTTTTTGTCAATATCCCCTGTTATGTTGGATGTAAATATACGTCACTAGCGATTGTGTTGCTGATATGTGTGTATCTCACACTATTTTATTAAGATAAAGTCGTGTTGCACAGTCTGATGTTACACAGTAGGATCATTTATACTTTTGCGTTTTTCCTAGCGACTGGGGTATTTGTGTAGAAGGGGTTGGGTATTAAGTCCCAACTACCGCTGCCCCTTACTGTAAGATAACATTACCCTGTGTTGTTGGGACGTTTTCCATGCATAAATTTAAATAGTTGACTAGTTTTTATGTAATTTAACGAGTCGACTAGTTTGACTCAGCAACTGCGCCACGTAATCATCGGACGTATGGAGTAACTAGAGGTTACACTCACTCACACTGCAAACTCACGGAGTGTTGTAGATGTCACCTCTGACATCTGGAGGACGATGCAAAAGGCGTTAGTCGCTATTTCTCAAACGGAAAGAAACACACACGAGTATGCTCTTGTCGGAATTTGCCCGTGCTAGTGTGAATTTAGTGTTGTTAGCGATTCGTTCACCTGCGCCAGCACGATGGGCGCGTTGTCGACGGGCGGCGGCGGCGGCGGCTGCGGCGCCCTGCTGCGCACGAAGCCCTGCCACAGCCGGAACCACTGCATGCTGATCGCGTAGATGGCGCGCGGGTGCTCCTGCTCCTGCAACGTCACAACTCACAACTAACATCTGCAACGTCCCAACTTACAAATAACTTCTGCAACGTCACAACTTACAACTCCCGGCTGCAACGTCACAGCTTACAACTAACGTCCGCAACGTCACAACTTTCAACTCGTGTCTACAAAGTCAAGTTACAACTCGTTTCTGCAACGTCAAGTTACAACGCGTGTCTGCAACGTCAAGTTACAACTCGTGACTGCAACGTCACGAATTACAAACTGGTTTAGGCACTGTTACAAGGTACAACTGGTGTCTGTAACGCCACAGCTCACAACTAGCGTCAACAACGTCACAAATTATAACTCAGTGTGACAATTTACATTTCGTGACGGCAACGTCACAACTTACAACGAGAGCCGTGGGTTCGGCGGCGCGAACAGATATTTCGGGGAGGGGATGCACATGCACTAAAAAACTCACGAAGTGATTGTGACGACATAACAGGATGATTTGAGATGTTAAATTTGTTAAACGAAAAAATGATAACTTTATCACAAGCCCACAAAAGACAGGAGTGAAGTGGAAGTGTTATACTTCTCCGTTTCTCCTGGGGAGTGAGGTAGCCGGGGCACAATTTATTAAAATGTGTCAACCCTACGGGTTATTTTAATGTTTAACCCTACGGGTGTCGCAAATGCCCAGGGTTATAATTTAACACCAGATGAACTGCCAGCTCGTTTGCCACATTCTCAGGAAAAAAAACACCTTAAGCCGTCGGAGAGCTTAGGAACAAAAGTATTCCCAAACAAACTAGCGTTAAATATTTGTAAGTGTGATGTTTGAATGAGGTGAGAATCTTATACACTTGCGCCATAGAGAGAGGGAGAGGAAGAGAGCATGATCATAGCATTTTGGGCGCACAAATGACATTTGGTATTAGACAGGAGAGGAAGAGAGAACACTGCGAGTATGAGCATGATATCCTTGTCGCATAAATGGCTGGCATTTGGCACCCCCGGTAGAAGAGACAGCACGGCGAGCGTGAGCATGGGCATCTTTGTCTCACAAATGGCTAGCCTTTGGTGCCCGCATTAATATACATGACAGAAGACTTCAATGATGACTCCGTTGCGTAGTTACCGAGGTAGCGGCTTCGGCGAGGGTCATGGTATCTATTCTCACACGGGACAGCTATTTGTGTGACCCACGGACAATCGTTTCGGATCTGGCTGTGTGCAAAACGTGCCCACAACACGGGATAGTGCTGTCCTGCTGCAGGGGGCAATGGGCAATGTTTTTTTTTTTAATTAAAGAAGAATAAATAAAACCGCCCAGTCGTACCTGGAACAGCGCGTGGAGATCGGCGAAGGCGGCCAGCTCCCGCGCCCGCCTCACCCGTAGCCGCTGCTGGGCGCGCGCGCACACGCCGCACTCGTGCGCGTGCGACACCGCCGGCCCGCCGCCGAACCTGCGCACGCGTAGGCGCCCTTATTACCTCGCGTTAGGGCTCATTTTCGTTTGTCGTACGAGCAAACTTCAATATCCGCAATTGCGCCCTTATTAGCTCGCGTTAGGGCTCATTTTCGTTTGTCGTACGAGCAAACTTCAATATCCGCAATTGCGCCCTTATTAGCTAGCGTTAGGGCTCATTTTCGTTTGTCTTACGCGCGATTTCAATTTCCGCTATACCGCCCTTATATCCTCGTGTTAAGGCTCATTTTCGTTTGTTTCACGCGCGACTTCAATATCCGCGATACCGCCCTAATTTCCACGTGTTATGATATCTTATGATATATTATTATAATCAGACGTCTAACGCCTGTCTGTCCCGTGACCATGAACGCTGTAAAGGGTTCGAAACGTCGGGAATTAAAATTTAAAATAAACGCGATAAATCCGTAAAATTAGTTTCATTTATAATCTTAGTTAAATTTTCTAGTTTTTTTGATAATATATCAATTTTTTTCGCTTATAAAAATGAAATTTTATCTCTCAGGTTACCGCGACGAGTATTCGTGCAATAACAGAACTGCTGCGCTCCTGTACCGCGGTAGCGGCTCATATGATTTGCCGTATATAATCACTAAATGTAATCGGCTTCGAAGCTGGGGATCATGAGTTCATGAGACAACTAATTGTGTGACCCACAGATAATTGTTTACGATCTGGGTGATTGTCCACGTGAAATTAAAATGTAAAACCATTTCCACACAAAATACAAAATAGAACTACACTCACTGGCGGTGCAAGAACTGCCACAGCGGCTGTGGCAGCACCGCTGCTAGCGCGTGCAACTGCGCGCCCCTCTCGGGCCGGATGCCGCCGTGCACGCACACAAAGTCGCCGTTGTCTATGGGCCCCGGCTCCGCCCACGTGTTGAACCTGCCACATGGACAAAACGCTGACGCTGTTTTATACACAAGCACGCACACATGAATATCTCCGCGACCTAATACGCTAGCGTGCTCAGTGGTGACTGTCATACATCCAAACACGCACACACGCGTATCTCCGCGACCATGCACGCTAATGTGCGTATACTAGCGACTGTCATTTCTACGAATTTGGAGTAAAGAAAATTACAACACGAACAACACGCTGACACAAGACAGACACAAACACGCACACGCGCGTATTTCCACTACCTCGCACGATAGTGTGCGCGTACTAACGACTGTCCTTTCTCCGAATTCGAAATGCAAACAGCAAACCTTTATGATAAAAGTAAATCACAATTACTAGTTTACTATTGTACCAGCAAAACTCTACTGTATCGTGTATTCATAGAGTAAGATATATCATACTGGTCAATATAAACACCAACAGTCTTCTGTTAAATCGTAAGCATTTCATTTGACTCACTTATTGATCCATTGTTTGGAGATGTAAAACTTGATGTCGTTGGGCTCCACATTCGTCGACTCCAAAATTTCCGCCGCTTTTTGTCGCAGCACCGTCATCTGGGGATTGACTTTTCTGTAAGTGAAACGTATACAGTTAGTATGACCGTCGGTCCTTGCTGGTGAAGTTGGATTTGCAATGGTAAGGTCAATCCAGTGAGTGACTCAGTTTATGTACAAAAAAAAAATGTGTTAGCTTAAGACCACACGACAGAAGGGAAAACTTCATCAAATTCCCATATAAACAAGTTTTTACTTCAATAATATTCTCTCAAGTTTTAAGCCATCTTTGTAGAAGAAGACGGGATAGACGGTAATATGGCACAAAAGCAATAACACACGTCTTCAGTTCAATTATAGACTTGTATACATACACGACGTACCTATTGAAAATATGCAGGATATGCAATCTACAAAGCATTAAAGCATACATATGCACATGCAAACGAAGAGATCACAACGCACACGATTCACAGCAGCGCAACGCACGATAACAGACGTACAATAGCCACGCATGCACCTACACACATCCACATGCGTGTAAAAAGCCACACACCCGTAGGAGAGTTTACCAAGCGAATATCGGATAGACACCGCACACAAAGTTCACAGCAGCGCGACGCACCATACAGACGAATGATACACTCTAGCATTGACACATACACATGCGCACAAAACTACACGAGGTACAAGAGAGCAAGAGAGCTACAGAGAGCACAAGAGGGCGCGTCAAGGGAAACGTTATTAAGACACCGCACACAAAGTTCTCAGCAGCGCGACGCACCATAACAGACGATTAATAATACAGTGCACTCACACACACATGCGCACAAAGCGAAACACCCGATATAACACCGCGCACACGCCGCACACAAAGTTATACAACATACGAACAACACACTCATGCACTCACACAGCCACATAAAGTGTCAGGCCAGAGACACACTCGCGCCGCGACGCACCTGTAGAAGAGCACGTACGCCTCGCAGGCGGCGAGGTGGTGGGCGGGCACGGGCGCGACGGCCGCGTCGTCGAACGCGTGCCAGCCGGCGCCGGCGGGCGAGCGCGCCACGCACGTGTAGTGCCCGCCGCCCGCCGTGCCCGCGTGGCAGATCACCGCGCACAGCGCGTACCGCGTCACGCGCGACGTGCACTCTGCCGCGCCAGTGCCATATATTGTGGATGTACCGATATATCGATATCAAATGTTCGTTATCGAAATCACGTCAAAAACGATATATTTTCAAATTCGTATCGGGCACAGAGTCCGTAGATGTGAAATATTTAGTACCTGACCTTTTTTTTTTAATTAAAATTTTTATAGTGCTAATCCCTGCGATTAAGATTAAACATCAAAATTTGTAGAAAAACTACGAAAAGGTTCTTCGATTCGTTTGTTTTTTTTTTTACAAATTTTAATTTTAATACCTTCTTTTGGACAACGGGTCCAGAAAATATCAATATATGAATGTTTTCTCTTCGATATATCGAGGATGCTACTGTATTATTATAAATATCGATATGTTTCTTTACTTTCGTCATCCCTACTTCAGTTGCGGCCGGCCAGTTGCTACGTTAGGAAGGGCGAGAGGGGACGATTCGATATTAGAGTCCGCTCGCGGAGCGGGAAGACGGCGGTAATGGCATCCGTGCGAGCGTGACGGCAATATAACTCGACACGGGCGCAACAGACACGGGTAATCACAACACGAAACTCTTCCCGCTTCGCGAACGCTCTTCAGATATTAGATACGCCTTGACAATAATCCGGGAGGCGGTAGAACCGCTTCTTGCCGGGGTCTTTGAATACTTACGCCCGGTTTTCAGAAACACTGATCATCGAAGATGTCAACTTATCAGTTGTCAAATGGCTTTTCAAAAATTTTGAACTATATGAACTGACCAGAATGAACTTCTTAATGATCAGAATGATCATTTCAAATAGTTTAACCATCCTTTTGGCATCTCAAATGACATTTGAAAAACCGCTTGACAGTTGGTTACTTGACATCTACGATGGCCACGCCCGGTTTCTGATACGCTGATCATCGTAGATGTCAACTAATCAGCCGTTAAATAGCTTTTCAAATTTCATTTTAGTTGCCAAAAGGACGGTTAAACTTTCTGAATTGACCAGAATGATCTTCTAATGATCAGAACGATCAATCCAAGGAGTTTAACCATCCTTTTGGCAACTAAAATGAAATTTGGAAACCATTTGACAGCTGATTAGTTGACATCTACGATGATCAGTGTTTCAGAAACCGGGCGTAAACGTTACTTCGGCGGGTGCTGCGCTCGGGCGCGGCTACCTTTGTGCGTGTACGGCGCCATGTTGAGGTCGTGGACGGGGAAGGAGACGCGCGCCGCCACCTTCGCGCTGAACATGAGCTCGTGGCGGAACCGCTTCAGGTGCACGCACAGCACCTCCGGCAGCCGCACCACGCCCGACATCTTCACGCCGTTGCGCAGCTTGTTGCAGCGGGAGCAGCTGGACTCGAACAGAACAAACCATATTATATTACTAGCTGTTCGCCCGCGCGGTCATAGGGAATTAACGATGAGTTTTCTATTATACACCAGAATAGCTCGCAGATGGCAGAATTTTTTCCTACTTACTTGACACTTATCGTTATATTTCGGACAATTCACATAATAACTTTATTATTTATAGCCTATATGTTATTCTGATGTATTAGCTATATTATTGTAAAGTTTCATTAAAATCCTTTCAGTAGTATTTGCGTGAAAGAGTAACAAACATTCATCCATACATATAAACTTTCGCTTTTATAATATTAAGTAAGGAAGTAAGGATTAGCTACAGTACTTATATGCTCATCTCGTACCTATAATATTACTATAAGTGAAGGCTGGTTATTGACTGTAAGTTATCTAGTTTAAGGCTATTTAATTTTGTATATCTGTAAGTCTTCCATTTCGTAAATAAATAATAGCTTTGTAGTGGGGAGGCAGGCGTACTTATTGGAGGTGTGCCGTACTAGTTAAAACATGTACTGAGTTTTACGAGTACGAATATGTGTGAATGCGTGTTCCAAAGACTAGCTTCACGAGGTTCAAGAAGTATGCGTCGTGTTAACTTGGTGGGTAGTCTTCCTACATAGCTAACGAGGATCGACATTTTTACAACTCTGATTATATTTGCATACTGTTTATTATTTTTTCTATTGTTATCAAAATCACAACTGTTGTATCTTTCGGGTACAAAGGCAGGCTCTACTGTCACATTGTCAACACAATATTGCCTTACAATGAAAATCTTTCACATGGCATACTTGCTGTTCATCCTAGAGTTTTCATTGTCAAGACTAGCACCATACAAATTTAAGCTCTATAATTTCTTAATTGAAAAGTATTAAAAAGAACTTCAATAAATAAAACAATACTGGCTACAGTCAAACGAAATTGTTTTTCCCCATAAGTAAAACGGAAACACACTAGCACTATAATAGCGACCATTACACACAACAGCAAACAATTCGCAGAGCTAAGCTACGTTAATTCGATCTCAACGTTTAATTTTGGACAGTCCCCACTGCAGGCAGAACAAATAATAATAATTAGTCACTGAAAGGGCAAAATTACTTAACCAAAACAAATATTTGGCGTTTAATTTTGCCTTTCCAGTGACGATTCTGTTGATACGACAATATGTATTTATTAGAAAAACATGGCAATACAAACCTATACATATTGTCGCCTTTGAGCTCATCCGCACTGAAGAAGGCGGCGAGACAGTCCTGAAGTGAGACAACTGGCCCGTAGAACCACGACCTAAGCCAGCTGAGCAGCCACCACACCTGTGCATCGATTATTAAAAATTAAGTAATAAATTCTTTCTTTTATTCTTCTATTTCTTTTCTTTGATTCTCTAAATGAAACAGTAGTTTCAACAAATCATGTGCTTTAGGGCCCTATATTCAATTTTTGGGTTTTGTGCCAAAAGGATAAAACTGGACCCTATTACTAAGGCTTCGCTGTCTGTCTGTCTGTCCATCTGTCACCAAGCTGTATCATGAACCGTGATACTTAGACAGTTGAAATTTTCACAGATGATGTATATACAAATACTAAAAAACAGAATAAAAAATATTTAAGCGGAGCTCCCATGCAACAGAGTTAATTTTTTTTGCCGTTTTTTATAGATAATGGCACAGAACCCTTCGTGCGCAAGTTCGCCTCACACTTGGCCGGTTTTTATTAGTATTTACAATACACAAAATCATTATATAATTAATTTAATTAGTACAAAGCATGGAAACAAATCAAATTTACATACCCATGACTCCTGGGTTCCGTGTGGGGTGTGATGATTGAGCAGTGGCTGCTGACATCGCAGAACCGCCAGGTGCTCTCGCGACGGAATCGGCAGAGAGAGGTCCTGGAATGTTTCCACCCGTGTCGAAACCTGAAATTGCATGAGGGAAGGAGAAGATTAAATAAGACGAACAGCTCAAAACCTTTATATGATGAAACATAAAAAATTGTATAAAAATGGACGGATTTTTTTTGCGGCTGCGCGAATCAATCCCAAATTCTAGGCGAGGCGGTGATCGGTTACACCTTATTTTATTTTAAAAACAATTAATACATCAACGAGGGAGAAAGGATATGTCAATCATTTTCCTTTAGCGTTTTTCAATAACTTTCTCTTATAAATCCAACTCAGCGTAGCTTATTTCTTCCTGTCTTCCTCGTGGCTAAGATTGTGACCACATATTACCACACTCCACTGGGCGTGGTCATAAGCTATGTGGACCGTAAGCGTACTTCCACCCGTCGCCTTGTGAGAGGGTTGGGTTCGATCCCCACTACTAGAAAAATATTGTGTGATGAACATAGTATTTTTTTAGTGTCTGGGTGTTTATAATATGTATTCATTTACAAAAGAACAGTATGTTTATCAGTTATCTAGTACCCATAGTACAAGCATTGCTTAGTTTGGGGCTAGAGAATGTTGTGTAAATATGTGTCCTAAAATATGTATGTACTTTTTTTTATATAGCCTAGTTTTTTCTTAGACCTGCTGGTCTATCTCAAATGGATCGATCCCGCATTTAGATGAGGCGTGGTGTGATCATCAATTCTTTTAACAAAGACTTAGTTCTCAGGGCAGTCTGAGGTACCTTTACCGGTGGTAGGGCCACGCAGCAGCCTCGGCTGTTGCCCAAATGGGCAGGCTCGTCCGGTTAAGTACCACGACCTCGCAGAAGACCGGCGTAAAGTGGAAGTATAATACTTTCGCGTTTCGTCTGGTGAGTGAGGTGGCCGGAGCCCAATTTTCAAAAGGTTGTCCACGCATCTGGAACCCTCGGGTGTACCAGATGTCCATGGGCGGCGGTATTCACTTAACATCAGGTGAACCGTCTGCTCGCTTGGCAACTTTTCACATAAAAAAAAAACATACGGGCCACCTCCGCCAGCACTACTAGGCACTGCACATGAAAACTCGAACCCATCGCCCCCTGTCCGTTGACTTACGCGGTCGCAGATGAGGCACTGCACCGACGAGAGCAGCTTCCCGTCGAACACGTCGGAGACGATGCTCCTGTAGCGCGCCCCCCCGCAGCCGCCGTCCCCTCCCCCGCACGCCGGCTTGCTCCTGCAATCGCGACCGTGCGTCTATTGCGATAAGGTCGAGATTGGAGTGTTTCAAGTTATACGCCCGGAGAGGTGTTAAAGTGTTTAATCCTCTCACCGCCCCCGGCTACCGACTGACCAAGCACAATCAATGCTCATCGGGGTCACGATCCGCACCGAACCTTGAAAGCCCATAGGCGACACTCCTTAGCTAACGCACACATGACCACATGCGCGGGCCCTACCCACTGTGGGGCCTCAAACCCGTGGGTTCTGGCTAGCCCACCGATTCTGCGTTTGGTGAAGCTTTAATAGTCTCGGGACTGAAAGCGTTAACTTCAGTTAATACAAGAATGTTTAAACAGTAGACCTGAGCTGAATCTAATTCTGAGTTTTCTTATAAAAAATAACACTACAGTATGTTTTGTTTTATATTCGATTCTGAACAAACATTCAGATGAGTCACATAAGTTGCGATTCGAATGCTTCAAGTTATATACACCAGTAATATGTTTTACATATTTACGCGAATATTATACATGGTTAAATTAAACTACGTTACAGATTTTAATGAGATTTACTTAAATTTTTTAATTCTCGACGTTTCGAACCTTTCCAACGATAATGGTCCGTGGCCATGTCGAGTTTAAGCCGAAAGGATGCTGTAGTAGTTAAAATCACTGTGGTAGGAGCACGTTACACGTAACTGTTGCACGAATGGGCAAGTCCATCCGGGTTAGTACCACGACCTCACAGAAGACCGGCGTAAAGTAGAAGTGTTACACTTCTGCGTTTCGTCTGGTGAGTGAGGTAGCTGGGGCCCAATATATTGAAAGGTGACAACGCATCTGCAACCCTCCGCCTGTTGCAGATGCCCATGGGCGGCGGTTATCACTTAACGTCAGGTGAACAGCTCGTTTGCCACGTTGTCACCTAAAAGAAAATGTCTATGTAGACATTTTTACTGTGGCCTCTAAAAGTGCTCACTCGGCGGGCTCCAATCGTGGGTCCGGCGCGTCGCTCGCCCCACTGGAACAGGTCTCGTATCTCTCCTCGGCTTCGCTGGAGCAGGACAGCTCCGACTCGGAGCCTACGTCGCGCTGCGTCGAATCAGCACCTGGAATCACAGTTTTTTTCTCGTCAAAAAGTACCCTCACACCGGGTAATAAATCCTGTGCTGCGGAAGGTTTTACACCCATGAAACACGAAAGCGAGACCCAGAACAATAAGAGGCCATAGAAGTTTCGTAGAATGTCAGTTGGCAAGGTAGACGAAATGCGACAATTTGATGATAAGTTCGCGCGAGTCATACGGTACGCGGTACGGGGAACTTGTTGTTGTCTCGTTCGCGCTGCATTGCAAATAGCTTTTTGTCTCTATCTCACCATCCATTGTTGTACAGTTGTGAACCTGGTTTTAGTTTAGGTTTTTGTTAAACGATTTTTGCATTCGGCAATGCGTTGGATTAATGGTATGCAACAAGTTTACTAATTAAATTTGCACCGCTACATACCACCAGGTGGTGTAACAGTAACGGACAACATATGAGAAACAATAGCAATAAGCCACCGCTTAAAGATTTCTCTTTGCATGGATGGCAGTCATCATAATAAAGAATGATATAGAATACTAGCTGACCCGGCAAACGTTTTGTCATATAAATTAGTTGTAGGGTAGAAAAAAAAATGTTTGGGGTGGACCACCCTTAACATTTAGGGGGATGAAAAATAGATGTCCGATTCTCCACCCTGGCCAATATGCATACAAAATTTCACGAAAATCAGTCGAGCCGTTTCGGAGGAGTTCATCTTGAGTGCTCCTGCACTATACATATATATAAAAAAATAACACTAAAATTATAAGAGCAAAGGAGACATCTCTCGTTACAGATTTTCAACGTTGAATGTTCTTTGTTAGGTGTTGCAAGCTGTACAGGATGCACACTAGATGGCGCCAAGCTGTAAAAATGCATTATAGAAAGAACGTAGAAGGTTCGAATCCCGCATCGCCGTAAGTTTTTTTTTATTAATCGACTTCAAAAAGAAGGAGGTTATCAATTCGGATGTTTATATGTTTCTAAGTATGTTCGGGCATAACTTCGTCATATAAAGACGGATTTGCTAATTTTCGGCGGATTTTCGAAAGGGTTTGATTCCGAAATGGTCCCGTATAAATTTCATATAGATCTAATAATGATTTTCGGAGATAGCAACGGAACTCTTCGAAATATGACAGGAAATGAACCGCGATTGCCGCCAACGCATAAATATGCATTGTTTTGCATGTAACGTTGCAATAGTTACGTAGGTACATCATTTTATTTGAAGTCGGTTATTTTTACGAAAATTCACAATTTAACGGTACATAGTACTGACGTTCACCGTTCGCCTGGCCGAGGTTGTAGGCGAGGTGGTGGGTCCCTGCGAAGCTGGCCGAGCGCCGGTGCCGCCCCCCGGCAGGGCTCGCCCCGCCCTCCTGCACCCTGCGATAAAGGAAAAAGTAAAGTAACACCCTATACACGTCCCACTGCTGGGCAAAGGCCTCTTCTGTACAGGTATCAGGCGCCCACCGCGCGACCCCACTGCGGATTTGGCGGACTTCGCATATCTTCCAGATATTTTTTTTTTGTTGTTATTTCGAAAAAAATGCAACTTTCGTCACGATGTTTTCCTTCACCGCTGAGTACGCGATGACGCAGCACTTAAAATTAACAATTTCATTGGTGCCGGCACCGGGGATCGAACTCCCATTATATGTTCCCATAATCTTTTAAATATAATATATATATATATATATATATATATATATATATATATATATATATATATATAAAAATCTCCCACCTGAAGTAGCCGTCGGCCCTCGATTCGTTGTAAGAGGAGGCGGCCGGCGATTTCCGTCGCATCCGCGCGAAGTACGGCGCGTCGCTAGCTGCGGACCAGTCTGCAATCAGTCTTAGCACATCGTCCATACCGCACGGATATAAAACACGCTAAAGTATACTCAACCCTTATCGTATTCTTAGCCCTTATTTTCGGTTACGCAAGGAATTACAGATTTTACAAATATGATTTAACAAACTTTACAAAGACTACAAATAAAGACTACAGATTGCAGAAATATGCTAGTGTTCTACATCTACTGTATTCTCAACATCCATTTTTGGTTACGCTGCCACACGGTGCTGAAAAACTGCGATTGTAAAGACACGCTGTATACATTCAAGTACATTTTTGTCGAGAATTACTGTTAAGCAAATGTAAAGGCTTTGTGTAATGAGAATATCGTTAGAAATTTAATGACATTTAAGCCTCACGCAACGAGGTTATAGGAAATTAAATTCTAATGTAAGTATAGTTTGCAGATGAATCTGTATAAAGCGAAGATGAGAGGAAATCCATCGCTTCATATGAAATAAAAATACACCAAAAATTGTTTGTAACAGTAATGATGTTTTCGCTATGCTTGTTTAAATCAACCTAAGGGATGTAGTGAATATTACCCATACCACCAGAGGAAGCGGCGCGCCGCCGTATGTGAACGTTCCTACTCTCCTTATCGCCATCGGCTTCTGAACCCAACTTGTCCTCCGAAGTGGTATCCCACACCTGAAAGTATATTAATAACCATTTTTTTTACATACCAAAAACAAAACCGACTTCAAATATCACTCACTCTCACTCACTCTGTATCCATTATATAATTGATTTTCAGGAGCTCCCTAAGTATCTCTGGAATACAAGATCTAATACAAATGAAATTGATATGGGACCACATATGAAGCACCAGCTTTGAAATGAAAAAAAGAATCATCAAAATCGGTTCACTCACTGGAAAGTTCTGAGGTAACAAACGAATCGAGAACCTCCTTGCTTTTGAAGTCGATTGAAAAGCTTACTAATAAAAATTTAGATTATTGGTCCTTTTAGCCGGATCTTTTCTATTAATATAGTTATTGTTAGAAATATAAATCGATTATTAAAGTTAAGTGCTGTGGAGACATGTGGTAGCTTCCGCTATTATATATAGCCCGATAGACAGAAAAAGTTCTACAGTAACTCTTATGTTATACCGCATGCCTAAAACATCAGATTGTTTGTGTATCCATTAAGTGAACCATCTGCTTCTATTTTACAAAAAAAAAAAAAAGATAAAATTCAATAAAAGAAAACTAATTTGGTGTAAAGCACAAAAGGGTCTGTAAGAAACAAACAAGACATTACTCACAAGTAGTAAAAATAGAAAACGACAAAAAAATTTTATAAACTCATGTTCTTAACACGCGTAGATTTAAAGATATGGATTTTTTTGTATTAAAAATTTTTTGGACTCTAGTGAAGAATCCCTGTTTCATGGGTTACAGCAAATAAGTTTTCTTATGATGATACATAGCAATGCCTACCGGTTCCTTCAACTCTTCGTGCAGCTGGTCCATGAAACACCTTAGGAATTCCTGGGTATCGTGCTGGTGATACCCACGAAACATTGGGTATACCTGAAACACATTATCTTTATAACACAGATCATTAAAAACATCCTTAAAATCATACTTAGTAAGGAAACTAATATTATAAAGGTGAAACTTTGTATGTATGGATGGATGTTTGTTACTCTTTCACGCAAATACTACTGAATGGATTTTAATGAAACTTTACAATAATATAGCTCATACATCAGAATAACACAAAGGCTATAATTTATATACATATTTTATGTATATCTTTCTTTCTATCTAAATGTTACGCCTTCAGCCTATTTTACGCAGACGTAGTACGGGCAACAGATATTTTCAACCTACATTTCACGTATCGAATAAATTGAAGATTCGTAGCAATAATCGGCAGAATTAAAAGATTACATTAAATCCGTGTATTGCTTTGTTTTGCTTAAGAATGTAGTATTTTATAAGTAACTTAGACAAAATTAACTTCAAGAATACAAATTTGTTTAAGAAAATTGCAAGGCATTATAAGAAGAGATAATTCTTACAATTGATATTTTCTAGTCAATGTTGTTAAATTTTTATTAATTAAGTACAAAATCAAAAAAAACTTATGACGTACTTACGTTACGTATACCATATAATATACCACTAGGTACGAGGTAGCCTCTAGTCTTCTTACTCCACATTTCTTTAATTAATTTTTGGTATGCTCTGAAAAAGAGTTGATTTTTTTTAATAAAGCGATTTTTGTTAATGAAACACGTAACAACTAACAATAATACCCATACGACTGCAGTAAATATGGAGCTCGCTTTAGCAGCTTCTCACTAAATTAAATTAAGTTTTTAAATTTCAAAATCAAAGACGATTACTTTTCAAACATTAATTTCATTTGTCATTTGAGAAAGTGTTTGCTGTAAAGGCAGCGCATTAATTGACTTCGAGCATTGCTAAAAGTCACATGAAAACAAAGTAGATACGACCGCGAGATTTTCACGCGGTGAGGATTTCAACCGCGTTGCTCAGTGGCTAGTGTATGGCGTAATCCGGGTTCGAATCCTAGCACCGGCGAAAAATGTTGTGAGTTTTATGTTATCTACATAATATGTAGAGTACGGAATTTATAAAAGTAAAAAAAGAAAACTATCAATCTATATATATCGCACTGCTGGGCAAAGGCCTCTTCTGTACAGAGGGTATTAGAGCATAATGCACCACGCGGCCCCACTGCGGATTGGCGGACTTCACATATCCGAATTTTTTTTTGTTATTACTTCGAAATCGAATATATGCAGGTTTTCTCACGTTTTCCTTCACCGCTTCACCGGAATATAAATGTAGGGCTTTATTCGATTGTGTTAAGGTTGTGAATGGCATACCTGATTAGTCGACATTACAGGTAATGTCGGGAGTAATCGGTCTGTACTCTGGTACAGAATTCCTTGGGAGACCTTTATTCCATTGTAGTAAGGTCGTGAATGGCGTACCTGATTAGTCCCGACATTTCAGAGTACATAATTCCCAGGGAGAACCTTATCCCATTGTATTAAGGTCGTTAATGGCGTACCTGATTAGTCCCGACATTTCAGAGTACAGAATCCCCAGGGAGAACTTTTATTCCATTGTAATAAGGTCGTGAATGGCGCACCTGATTAGTCCCGACATTTCAGAGTACAGAATCCCCAGGGAGAACTTTATTCCATTGTAATAAGGTCGTGAATGGCGCACCTGATTAGTCCCGACATTTCAGAGTACAGAATCCCCAGGGAGAACTTTATTCCATTGTATTAAGGTCGTGAATAGCGTACCTGATTAGTCCCGACATTTCAGAGTACGGAATTCCAAGAGAGAACTTTATTCCATTGTATTAAGGTCGTGAATAGCGCACCTGATTAGTCCCGACATTTCAGAGTACAGAATCCCCAGGGAGAACTTTATTCCATTGTATTAAGGTCGTGAATAGCGCACCTGATTAGTCCCGACATTTCAGAGTACAGAATCCCCAGGGAGAACTTTATTCCATTGTAATAAGGTCGTGAATGGCACACCTGATTAGTCCCGACATTTCAGAGTACAGAATCCCCAGGGAGAACCTTATCCCATTGTATTAAGGTCTTGAATGGCGTAACTGATTAGTCCCGACATTTCAGAGTACAGAATCCCCAGGGAGAACTTTATTCCATTGTATTAAGGTCGTGAATAGCGTACCTGATTAGTCCCGACATTTCAGAGTACGGAATTCCAAGAGAGAACTTTATTCCATTGTATTAAGGTCGTGAATAGCGCACCTGATTAGTCCCGACATTTCAGAGTACAGAATCCCCAGGGAGAACTTTATTCCATTGTATAAGGTCGTGAATGGCACACCTGATTAGTCCCGACATTTCAGAGTACAGAATCCCCAGGGAGAACCTTATCCCATTGTATTAAGGTCTTGAATGGCGTAACTGATTAGTCCCGACATTTCAGAGTACAGAATCCCCAGGGAGAACTTTATTCCATTGTATTAAGGTCGTGAATAGCGTACCTGATTAGTCCCGACATTTCAGAGTACAGAATCCCCAGGGAGAACTTTTATTCCATTGTAATAAGGTCGTGAATGGCGCACCTGATTAGTCCCGACATTTCAGAGTACACGCGCACCTGATTAGTCCCGACATTTCAGAGTACAGAATCCCCAGGGAGAACTTTATTCCATTGTAATAAGGTCGTGAATGGCACACCTGATTAGTCCCGACATTTCAGAGTACAGAATCCCCAGGGAGAACCTTATCCCATTGTATTAAGGTCTGAATGGCGTAACTGATTAGTCCCGACATTTCAGAGTACAGAATCCCCAGGGAGAACTTTATTCCATTGTATTAAGGTCGTGAATAGCGTACCTGATTAGTCCCCCCCGACATTTCAGAGTACGGAATTCCAGAGAGAACTTATTCCATTGTATTAAGGTCGTGAATAGCGCACCTGATTAGTCCCGACATTTCAGAGTACAGAATCCCCAGGGAGAACTTTATTCCATTGTAATAAGGTCGTGAATGGCACACCTGATTAGTCCCGACATTTCAGAGTACAGAATCCCCAGGGAGAACCTTATCCCATTGTATTAAGGTCTTGAATGGCGTAACTGATTAGTCCCGACATTTCAGAGTACAGAATCCCCAGGGAGAACCTTATCCCACTGTATTAAGGTCGTGAATGGCGTAACTGATTAGTCCCGACATTTCAGAGTACATAATTCCCAGGGAGAACTTTATTCCATTGTAATAAGGTCGTGAATGGCGCACCTGATTAGTCCCGACATTTCAGAGTACATAATTCCCAGGGAGAACCTTATCCCATTGTATTAAGGTCGTTAATGGCGTACCTGATTAGTCGCGTCATTTCAGAGTATGGAATTCCAAGAGAGAACTTTATTCCATTGTATTAAGGTCGTGAATAGCGCACCTGATTAGTCCCGACATTTCAGAGTACAGAATCCCCAGGGAGAACTTTAGGAGAACTTTATCCCATTGTATTAAGGTCGTTAATGGCGTACCTGATTAGTCGCGTCATTTCAGAGTATGGAATTCCAAGAGAGAACTTTATTCCATTGTATTAAGGTCGTGAATAGCGCACCTGATTAGTCCCGACATTTCAGAGTACAGAATCCCCAGGGAGAACTTTATTCCATTGTAATAAGGTCGTGAATGCGCGCACCTGATTAGTCCCGACATTTCAGAGTACAGAATCCCCAGGGAGAACTTTATTCCATTGTAATAAGGTCGTGAATGGCGCACCTGCTTAGTCCTGGCTTCTTGTCGCCAGCGAGTACCGCCACGGCAGCGGCACACTCTAGGAAGTACGACGTGAAGGGCTGAGTGTTGCTCAGCGCCTGGAGCGCCGCGTTCATGTAGCACGTGTTGCCCATGTTCTGTAGACCCACGAGGCCTGCGAAATTACACCTTATATCAGCAAATAGGTCCAATCATTATTTCGGCGCGAATTTCAGTTTGAAACCGAGTTGTCTCTTATTGAGCTTAGTTTTAAGCCATTTATGATTTTAGTTGGCAATTTAATAAATTTCAAGTTCGGAACATACGCACTCTTCTAACTTAAGGCCAGTTAGGTAGAGAACTTTAGTTACTTGTTCAACTTTTGTTAGGGTAAGGAATCGCGACCTAGAATCGCGAATTAGAATTTTCTAGGGAGTACTTAACATATTTGATAAACGTGATAAAATTTGTAATGATGATGGCAAACGAGCTGGCGATTCACGTGATGTTAAGTGATAACCACCGTCCATTGAAATTTGCAACACCCGTAGGATTGCCACATTTCAAATACAAGTGGGGCCCCGGTTACCTTACTCACCAGAAGAAATGCAGAAGTATAACACTTCCGCGCCGGTCTTCTGTGAGGTCGTGGTACTTACCCGGACGGACCTGCCCATTCGTGCAACGGAAAAGACTGTCCGCGCGGCCCTACCACAGTTAAAGTTCTACTCAGTAGACACATCACCTCTGGGCCGCGTCTCGACTTCGTAATCCATTTCGTCAGCTTCAAACTCCTCGTCGGGCGTAACGTTAATCCCGAAATTGGCAAGTCTTGCGCCCACCGAGTCGCTTTCAATTTGCGTGGAGTCCGGAGCCATCTGGAAGCCAACATAGCGTGAGAGACCAAACAATTCAAATCCCGATTGCCTCTAAGATTTATTTACACTTAAATACTGATTAATTTGTTAATTACAAGTTTTTAACGGATCTTATCGAGTGTATATTATCGAAGTTTCCTACAATTTCAAGGAGGGATTTTATAGTGTACATGTAAAATAGAACGTTGATAAACCCTTTGATAAATTTATGTGTGTAATACATATAGTTAAAAAAAATTATTAACTGTTTTTTTAAAGATCTGTAAAATTGTTTTAGTTTTCCATCGATGACAGGATATTGGATCCGCACACGGTGCGAATAATTTGGCACGTCACATGCTGAAATTCTAATGTGTCGTGTGTTTAATTGTAATTAGAAATTGATATTGTTATATAAACTATCTGATGCGATTAAATTTGGAAAGGGAAAATAATAACAAACTGTATTTTATTACTTAAAAACCGGCCAAGTGCGAGTTGGACTCGCACACGAACGGTTCCGTTCCATTATCTATAAAAACAGTAAAAAAAAAAAATAATGCCACACTTAAATTTTTTTTATTCTGTTTTTTAGTATTTCATGTCATAGCGGAAAATTTCGACAGTCTAACTATCACGGTTCATGAGATACAGCCTGGTTACAGACGGACAGAAAGACAGACAGACAGCAGAGTCTTAATAATAGGGGCCCGTTTTACCCTTTGAGTCCGGAAGCCTAAAAATGGCTGTTGAATTCATTTTCGACTTGTCATTTAATTCACAGATCGTACTTAATACTTATCCGAATAGACAAACTTAAAACTTGTTTTGAGCTAAACATTGTTAGAAATGTCTTTATTGGCCTAAGACCTTGACGCTTCGAACCCTCAACGATAACAATAAATAAGTACGAACAAGATAATCGACTACAACATACTATATCCCTGTATCACCTTCGCACATCTTTAAAATATTAGAGAGAGGTACACTCGAATTCCTATCAGGCGTGTAACTCAACATAAACGAACAAACGTCGACAACTGTACTGTGCAAATAAAATATAAGTACAGTATTATTGCCGGAGTTGGTTTAGCGCATTACTGAGCTGTAAGATTCCGTGGCTTGATCTAAATTTAGACCTCAATAAGTTATCTCTACATGTAACATTTTCGAAGCTACGTTTAACTTATGACTGAAAATGAATCGATTCCAGTCCCGCATTATGATCTTATCCTATAATTATGTTAAAACTAAATATGAACCAATTTACAACTGGCTCATTTCACTTTGCCCCAGTGCTTTATAAACGTATTTTCATAGTCGATTTCTACCTACTTCATATAAAAAACGTTTTCTCGTAGATAAGTTGCCAAAACTTGAGTGAAATTGGCTTCACAAGGTCTGCTTATACCGTCGAGTTAAAAAATAAGAGAACCAAAGTAACTCAAAATCGTACTCAAAAACCGAATAACAACGTTGTTCGCACTGTACAACAACGGGATGCTGGAGCGAGAAAGAAAGCTATACAGCGTGTCGTTACCATCGCGACAATAAATGAACACACGTCTAACGCTACTTGCCAATAATCATAAAAAAATGTTAACGTTAAACAAAATCCATAATTAAAAAAAAAATTTTTTCAAACAAACTAATTAAGTAAAAAAGAAAAAATTTGTAACATCCTATACAACTCGCGCCACAGCGTCGTATTACAAGCCTCTCCTTCTAACAGTATGTTTTGTCTCTTTTAAATTCATTCAACCCATTCATATGCTTTGTAACCTTTACAAATGAACTTTACGTTACGCTTTTATAGGTAAGGGTGTTCTAAAATTCTTTGTTTTGGAAAATTTTATAACTCTGTAAATAGTGATGATTAAAGAATTTAACAGCGGGAAGTCGATGGATGCAGGTGGCTCAGGATCGTACTTCATGGCAGTCTGTGGGGGAGGCCTATGTTCAGCAGTGGACTCAAACAGGCTGAAATGATGATGATGATGAAAGAATTTAAATGTTTAATACAACTTTAAAAAGTTATCCCCTATATGTGTGTTCATTTATTGTCGCGATGGTAACGACACGCTGTATATACCGCGGCGCGAGCGAGACGGCAACACCCTCCGATGCTATGACTTGGCCAAGCATCAGGGGGACATTCAAGTTTTGCGCGAATTAATATACTTACGTTTGCCTGCGCCACTGCCGCTCGGATGTGCACCTCTTTTTCGCACAAATAGCACCATATCCTTTCCGTTGACACGTTCATGTGAACGCAGTGCGCCGGGTAGTTCTGTAAAAGGGACAGCATAGCTATTTAAGTTCCGCCTGTGGATCATGTCAGGGGTGGTCAACTTTTCGTGCAACCCCAGTTACTTTAGCTGACTAAACGGAAGAGTATAATTATATATTTTTACTTTACCCAGGCCCTCCCATAAGTCTTGCTACTTCCCCGGCAGAGCTGGTTTATTCATGCAACAGCACATTTTAGTGCAGTCTACCACACATATCTAAGACTATATTACTTTTTCGTAGTATTAACTAACGTTACTCACTATGTTTCCCTTCGGGACGAGCACATATCTACCATCATGTGATATTTAATACTAAAACTAATTCATTGGTGCTGGTAACAGGGTATAACAAGATTCGTCGAGTGTATTGAAATTACGAAGCAAGCCGGGCTAATAGTCTTCCGCAAACACAGAACATCATGTACAAGAAAACTGTTATATAATAAGTAAACTTCTTTCCGGTATGGGTACAATATTCTTTTTAACTTCAGTTTAGCCATAAAAGTGTTTTGTTTATGTATTAAAAGAAACAAATCCAATATTTTTATTCTGAGTCATTAACACGCGAACGTAACTAAAGGAAAAGGCATCATTCAATTTTAAAGCTTATACCTATGCGATAAGCTTGAGAATTGCAGGGGGCCGTCAACACGTGATTTTATCTAGGGTTTCGGTGTAGGTAGCATTGGCCTAAAAACCCTATCAGTAGATTATCTTATTAAATACTTCATGATATCTTATAGCTGTGTTTAGCCAGTTTGGATATTACATCATATCACGTCATATCTACTACTAATGATATATCTACTACCGTATAAATGAAATATGTGCTAGTTTTATAGCATTAATCTTAGAAAGTTTGATTAGAGAAACGTTGTTGCGATTGTTGGACATTTCTCGGCAAGTTTAAAATCGATATAACTTCACGCTACTTCCTTTAAGAGCGGAGTAGTAGGCGTAAATGAAAGCAGGAAACATGAGATGGGGATGCAATCGCGGGGTTTACGGAAGAGAGTAGAGAAGGGGACGAAATTAATCAAAATACAAATTTGCAATACAATACGGCAACAAACAGTACAGTTTAATTTGCTACTCTGTGTTGCATGTGACTACGCCTGTTATGCGCCTTCGAAATATGGTTGCAAACACCCGCTTTCCAAGGCGGTTCTCACCGTCCCCAGCCACCGGTAAATATAATACGATCGACGGTTATCGGAGTCACGGTCCGTACCGAACATCGATGGCACTTGGGTGACAGCCAACCCTTTAAGGATGACACTCGCATGAGTACATGCGCGGCCCTACCTATCGCGGAGAGCCGTTTCAATCTACCCCACGGGTTCTGCGTTCGATGAAGCTTTAATAGTTTAAAGCTCTTTAAACATAAGTTAATAGTAGACAGAAGAGGGTTCCAATGGTAAGGTGTGATTCAGCATAAAATCCATCAGCGAGCTAGCGAGGTCCCTACGTCATCAAACTTGTAATAAAAACCCACGGAGGGTCATAAGCTACCAGCTTAACTCTTATAACAGTTATCTGAAGTGGCAATTGGATGGAAACCTTGTTAATAGCACTGACGTCTGTTGAGGAAAGGTTTTCAATTTTCGCTTAAAATAGGATGATTTCATAAAAATGGGGGAGAGTTGCGTGATGCTGGCTGAAGGGAATTCGCCAAGCGGTATCGTTGGATGAGGACTATGTAAAGCATTGGCTACTTAAGCTCATGATTATAATAAAAATAATAAGTTACAAATAACATTGTACCTTATTTACAAAAGTTATAAAACATCTGTGGTAGTATAATATTTTTTTAATTAACGCCAAGGTCAAATTCTGCCCTAATGACTAAGCGGCACGGCAAGTTTGTGTTAAACTATTGAAAACTGGCGTTATTATTTCTTTATATAATTAGTAGGCAAATTATACGCACAGATCAAAGGCATATCGTTCGTATAATGGAAAACGAAAGTAAAATACCTTCCTTAAGTCAAGGAAAATTCCTTCCTTCCGTCAAGGAAAATTCCTTTCTTCCTTCAATTTAGGGAAGTTACATATAGTATAGTAAGTATACACATGTTTATTAAAAACAAGGTAACCTAAGGTATGTCAGGATGAAGGTTGTTGGGGTCAATTGTCTACCTACTCTGGTGAGGCAATAAACAATTATAACAATTCTTTATTGCATAGTAAATATTATTCGATCGTGACATAATATTATGTTTATTGTCATTAAATGTTATACAATAATTATGGATAGCTTAACGTGGTAATTATCATTGAGTTGCGGTGTAATATAACACTTTGGGTTACAAAGTCAAGTTCTTTCCAGGGCCGTGTTAGTCATTGGGCTAAATTAAAAGTTAGAAGACTTGAAAAGAGAGAGGAAACTCTTTGACTGACTCTGACACTTTCTCGGTAGTAGGGCTACGCAACACTGTTGCACGAATGGGCAGGTCCGTCCCGATAAGTATTACGACCTCACAGAAGACCGGTAAAGTAAAAGTGTAAAACTTCTGCGTTTCGTATGGTGAGTGAGGTAGCTGGGGCCCACTTTATTTAAAGATGGCAACCCTACCGGTGTTGCAAATGTCCATGGGCGGCGGTTATTGCTACTTTTCCAATAAAAAAAAAACACATTAATCATGGCAGAATCGCTTGAGGTCCTTGGTACTATGCTCAATGACAACTGAACTGTGAACAGGACGAAGATCATGTCTAATGCTGGTCGTACGAGGAAGCTCAACGTTACAAGTAGGGGTTTGTACATCTGAGGAATACCACGACCTCACAGAAGACTGGCGTGAACTGGAAGTGTCATACTTCTGCGTTTCGTCTGGTAACTGAGGTGACCAGAGCGATCTCTTACAAGGGCTAGTAACCCCACGTGTGTCGCGGTAATCACTTAACATTAGGTGAACCACTCGATCACATCAGGTGAACTACTAGAGTACCACCTTCTTCATCCGAAAAGAACCCTTCGATCGCGCCCGGCGATGAAAAACCATTTCGTACAAAATCAGCGTTGGTATTGTTTTTATATACATTATTAACAATTTTTGCACGATGAATATTTACAACGCGATTAAATAACACGGGCGTTTATGCTGATATTATTATCCCTTATTTTTTTTTATTATTGCTATAAAACTTTTATGTTACCGCATGATAAATAAGTGTAATGATTTTTATTGCGCCCGGTGTAACAATGACGCAATGTTTGTTTCGTTTGTACACGAGAAATCAAAAGTTTTATATCAATTCGCTAGTAGTTTTGATTTTTTGATACGGAGTCGTGTGTATCAAACGACCAAAATGGATCATCAAGCAATTCGTTCATGCGGTCGAGGGTTACATTATGTGCCGTGTGATGCAAAAATTGTGGTAGCGGCCACACAAGCCTTCGATGTTGCACGACCGGGGAAGGGGGGGGGGGGGGTTGTGTTACTCCGGGGACCGCACCCTACCAGAAGATCGGCGTGAAGTGGAAGTGTTGTTCTGCGTTCCGTCTTCTTCATGTACCTTCCGCATTTCGTCTAGTGAGTGGGGTAGCCGGGGTCGTCTTTATTAAAAAGTGGCAACGCACCTGTAAGCCTAGCGCTATCACGGCTCATGAACCGTGATAGTTAGACAGAATTTTTCAAATTTTCTAAATTTCAAATTTTCAGAGCTGATGTATTTCTGTTGCCGCTATAAAAAAAAATACTAGAATCTGAAATTTTCAACCGTCTATCACGGTTCAAGGGATACAGCCTGTCGACGGACGGACGGACAGACAGACAGACAGCGGAGTCTTAGTAATAAGATTATTTATAGTCTTATTTTATTCTTTGGGTACGGAACCCTAAAAATTAAATAAGACGTAAGGTCGTACAAGCTTCACGTATAGAAGTAAAAAGGCAAAGTAAAGTTAAATTTACGTTCTTAGGATCTATAATTTCGAAGTAATGATTTTTCTTGAAGTTGTAATTTTTGGAATCTGGTAGTCTGATAGTCTTCCATTTAGCGGATTACAGCAAATAAGTACGCATTCTGGTATCAGTACACTCATATCAAAACGGCGCTATAAATAAGCCAAGCGGGGCAAACATCCAATTAGGACATAGCTCCCTGCTCGACACGCAAACTCAATTTCCTGCTGGCGAGTTGATTCTATAAGCTGTTTCTTTGTTAACCAATAAAGAAGGAAAGTTGTTTACCAGTACGCAATTTAACCGTCTGATTATTTCTAAATAAAGTCGATGACGTTTTAGGGGAATTGCTGTAAGGCAATGCGACAGTCTCGGCTTGCAGGTCCGTCCGGGTATGTACTACGACCTCACAGAAGACCGGCAAGAAGAAGTGTTATACTTTTTGCGTTTCGTCCGATGAGTGAGGTAGCCGGGGCCCACTTTGTTATAAGGTGGCAACGCATCTGTAACCCTACGGGTGTTGCAAATGTCAGGTGAACAGCCTGGCACGTTCACGTAAAAAAAAGGTTTAAAGAAATAACTAAATATTAACATATAAATAAGAACTATACATGACTGTTACAAGAAATAACATTGTCGACAGAAACTGTGCAACAGATCAGATTAACCGTCCAATCACTGCGGCTACTGTAAATTATTTGAAACTTCGAGGATTGTAGAAAATCTGAAATAGTTTCATTCAAGTGTGTTCCGTTCATGTAAATCTATAAAGACCGATAATGGTTTATCAAAAATCATCAATACTCTGATAATTCGAGGAAAACGGATTTCATGTTTACTAAAACTTAGCAATTTAAAAAATTTACAAGCCGATCTTTTATAGGTCATTGGGCATAATCAATGAGTGTTTAATTTGAAACGCAGTTAATATGGAACAAAGATAATGCCTTAGCACCTTCGTGAATGCTAGGCATTGTTGTATAAAAAATATTTTACGAATTTGTCTTTTCAAAAAATAAAACAAAGACTATTCTTATAAAATAAAGGCACAAACTACGCTATCATTTGTCTTACATGTACAATTAGAATGATAAGCAAAATTTAGGTAAACAATGAAATAAAGAAGTAGTTTATATATCAAAGAAAAAAAAAAGAGTCAGTCAGTCGAGGTTACGAACCCACTATGCATGTACTGAAAACGATTATTTTATTAAAGTTTTTAATAAAGTCCTAGATAAAATCCGCTTAAGTAAGTTTTTAAATTTCCCCCCACTAGAATGTTGTCTTAATTATGTGTTCTTTGTATTATCCTTAACATTTAGCTGTTCTAATTTATTATATCAAATTATTTATAAACTAATCCATTGTTTTTCCTTTGTTCACGTAACTCAACTAGATGCGCATAATATATAATATATATAGCTATTATATATAACTGTTTTATTCAATCTTTACATTGGTAGAATCATCAAGTTATTCCCTGATCGAGCCATTATACTAAAATTTTAATTGAATTGAGGATAATTATTAGAATGAATATATTAAGCTATTAAAATTTTTTTTTCCAGTCCCAATCTATTTAAGTAAACAGTTATGGGAACATATAATAATGTTTACATTTAAGTTAACCGACACTATGTTTCATATTATGGAACAAAAAGTAGAATTTTAACCTACTAGACATTCCGTTTAAAAAGTACCTATCGCGTTTTATTTTGTTGTTTGAAATCGACATTTGTGATCAGAGATTTACACTTATCTAAACTTAATTAGCCGTTAATACTTATAAACTCTCATAAAAAACATTAAAAGTATGGCTTGCAAAGAAAATTAATGGTAAATAAGTGGTTTTTTTAAATGACATTGTAAATTTAAAAATTACCAAAATTACATAAATAATTCCTCTTCACCTTAGAATGATGGTGGATAGTAAGTAATCTCAATGAAATAATGCTGCTTTAAATGGTCCAAACTCAGATGTCTATTACCAATTACACATTACAGAAGTCTTATCATTTCTTAGTTATAAGATAGAGTTTTAGTCATTAACACTTAATTTCGCAAATATAACAATTTAATGTTAACTTCAATCTAATTGCACTTTTTTTTTTACCAACATAGAACAGCTTCCCTCTCAAAAAATCTATGTTTCCCTCTTATCTCAATAAAAAATATTCAGTCAGAAGAATATAAATTCTTAAATCATTTCATAATATATTGAACAACTTGCCTTTTGGTGTATTGTGCTGTGATCATTCTTCACCTCAGAGCAGCCAATGTGGTGACAATCAGGTTGCAGGCAGATCCAGAGATTGGGTCCAGGGCAAGCACAGTCGAAACATGTGAGGTTCTAAAGAAAGAAGTATATTATCTAATGAAAAGTCTTCAAATTAAATTGAGAGGAATTGCTGAATTCATAATAATTTACGAAGTTTAAATGATGCTATGTAACTTATATGTAGAATATATACATATATAAGTTCCATTGCAGGCTGGAAAAGATCTTAAATTTAATGGGTATTAGGACATACTTGAACATAAAATCCCATTTTTACATGATTTTTTTAAATTCTTTCTAAGAAAATGCCAACCACAAACACTCACAAACTTACAAATTCATTTGTATGCATGAATGTTTGTATTGTATACAGCGTGTCATTACCATCGCGACAATAAATGAACACACATATAGGGGATAACTTTTTAAAGTTGTATTAAACATTTAAATTCTTTAAACATCAATATTTACAGAGTTATTAAATTTTCCAAAACAAAGAATTTTAGAACATCCTTACCTATAAAAGCGTAACGTAAAGTTCATTTGTAAAGGTTACAAAGCATATGAATGGGTTGAATGAATTTAAAAGAGACAAAACATACTGTTAGAAGGAGAGGCTTGTAATACGACGCTGTGGCGCGAGTTGTATAGGATGTTACAAATTTTGTTTCTTTTTTACTTAATTAGTTTGTTTGAAAAATATTTTTTTTTAATTTTGGATTTTGTTTTTTGTTAATATTTTTTTATGATTATTGGCAAGTAACATTAGACGTGTCTTCATTTATTGTCGCGATGGTAACGACACGCTGTATATTGCATTTTGTATTTGTGCAAATATGTATTTATGCTCTATTTATGTTTCATAAAAATATAACAAACAATATCTAAGTTGAATTTAACTATTTCATTGGTTGGCATGCAGATGTAAGCCCATATTGCTAGAGTATGGTAGATGTAGAAATATAAATGTCTTTATTCATGACTTAGTGTGAGCAATTGCATAGCGTTTATATGTGTGATCTAGAAATGATTGTTTCAGATCTTGTTGATTTTCGCAACACATTGTTATCTTAAAATAGCAGTAATGTTTTAAGGAAATATTATGAGAAAGATAAATTTAGTGTTTCTAAGTATTGATTTGCAAAACATAGGTAAAGTACAAACAATAAAGCAAAAGCAACAACAAAGCTTTGTGAAGTTAAATAAATAATTAACAGAGAAGGAGACAGAACCACGATGTAAAAATCTTTAATTAAACTATTAACAACTAGCTGCTGCCCGCTACTACATCTGCGTAGAATAGGCTGAAGGCATAACATTCAGACAGAAAGACAGATATACATAAAATATGTATATAAATTATAACCTATGCCTTATTTCGATGTATAAGCTATATTATTGTAAAGTTTCATTAAAATTTATTAAGTAGTATTTGCATGAAAAAGTAACAAACATCCATCCATACATACTAACTTTCGCTTTTATAATATTAGCAAGGATTAGCAAATTTCTAAATTAAAGATAAGTAAATATAACATCTAATCACTATATTCTATTATATATCTATCTACATGTATTTTTATTTGATTTCTCGTCTGATGGGGTTTATAAATAAAAAATAAACATATAGTATATATAAAATAAATATTATGCATAAAAATAAACATACACATATAAAAATATACTATATAAAGGGGATTTTCCATTTTAGGCCCAATTTGAACAGCATAATCAGCATGATAATGCAGTAATGCTAAAACACAAATGCTTTTAATTAGTCTTTCCTTTAAAAGTAATTTAATTTGTATTTATGTATTTCCGTATGTTGTTACTAAACTAAATGACAATGTGGACATGGATAAAAAACTAATGAAAACGTACTAAGCCAAAAAAATGAACTCAGGTTGCTTGAGTATGATTGAATTAAAAGCGAGCGAGAACCCAGACAATGAGATAGCTAAGGTATCATAAATCCACCTGCACAGTTCCTGAACCCCAATTTATTAAAAATGATGATGATCAATAAAATGGATTGCTTTAGGTTAAATATATTCTTAAAACAACCTTAATTTTGTATAAACGCTGGATACAAAAGTCAATTATTTTTCTTAATCCTACTCATACAAGCGAATAATAAATGATTTTTATTTTTAGTGACTGCTAACATTGAAATCAAAACACCCATACAAATTGGAGATTCCCCTCTGAGAGATTAATTACCTTCTTTAATAGATTAATTACCGAAAAATTCATCTTTATTACATTTATTAAACTCACATTTAGATAAAAAATAATTGACAAAATAAATTAAAATTGTAGAAATATAAAGGATGTAAGTATAATAATTTAAAACACCGTGAATGAATTGTCTATTAAATTGGCTACCACATACTTGTATACATATCATAGCTTTAATATAAATTAAAGCCACGAAAGTGAAAAATCCATGCTTACAAGTAAATTGCATAATGACAACTTAAACGAAGATACTAATTGCCTATTACACAGGAGTGATAGAGGTTAGAACATCATCAAAACCGAGTCCACTTACCTCTTTTGATTGCCATAATTCTTTTCCAAGAACGTCAACAAGTTTATTAAGATGCTCACAAGTCACGCCCTTATCCATTACGCAAAATAATAACGTTTGAAGTCGAGAAATACGTAAATACAAAGATTTTTTTCACAGAAATATAGATATTGTAAATACAGGAATTGACATTTTCTACACTTCACAATAGCATTACTAGAACATACAAAAAGTTGATAAATATTGAATAATGTGGATTAAACGACACATTTCGTAGTTTAGGGATAATTATTGAATTAAAAATTACAGAAATTTTCTACAACAAAACGTTCCGTGACGAGCAAAAAGTCAGGCTTCTTTATCATAGATACTCAAACAAACTGAACTATATTGCATAGACTATCAAATAAGTAATCAATAAGTATCAATATTAAATTCATAGGCATGCTTATGCTGTACAAGACGCTGACTGAGACCTAGCGTGAAGCGTCTAATTTACCGACTAATTTATTTTCTCTCGGGGGAAAATTTACGAACGTATTTGGCGTTAACCTAACCAGGATTAAACATACAAATCGTCACACTGCCAACTCCCAGAAGGACAACTACCTATTTTTACTTCTGTTCGACGTCGTGAAAGCGTTTAAAAAGTCTCGCATAACGGCTTTAGTTATAAATTATACTCGCTTCGAATGCTAGATCGAATCATGAAAATCGTAAGACACTTTTTGTCCAACCGGTGGTTTAAATTTCAAGTGCACCTCAATATTGGTATAATCCCCGTCTCTATACTTCCTGTTGACTAGTGATTGGATTGAACCTGGATTTTTATCCATCTATAATTGTCCTTAATACTCTTTTAATAAGATTCAAAAAGTGGCGCATTGAAGTCAACCCGGAGAAGAGTAAGTAGATTTTTTTAAAAAATTTAATTTTTTATAGTTTTAATCTCTGCATTTAAACATTAAAATTTTCTCGCCGCTGTGGGAATCGAACCCACGTCTTCGAGATTAAATTCAAAAATTCCAAAAGGATTGTTAAATTCTCTGATTTGACCAGGATGATTTTCTAAACGATCTAAATGATCAATTCAAAAAGTTTAACAATCTTTTTGGCAACTCAAATAATATTTGAAAAGCAATTTGACAGCTGATTATTTAACTTCTACGATGATTGTTGACTGTTTCAGAAACCGGGAGGACTAATCATCTTAAAGGGCAATCAGCTGTCAAATGACTTTTCTAATGTTATTTGAGTTGCGAAAAGGATTGTTAAACTCTCTGAATTTATCAGAATGATCTTTTTAATTATCAGAATGATCAATTCAAAGAGTTTAACAATCCTTTTGGCAACTCAAATTACATTTGAAAGCTAACTAGTTAACTTCTACGATGATCAATGTTTCAGAAACCAGGCGTGAATACTTTAATTTGATCATCGCTTTATTAATTTTATTAAACAATTCATTTCCAAAAGTAAAATGTTTCCCTGAAATGATTCTTTCCATCAATCTTGTGTTCTTATAAATAAATAATATTTTTTTGTAATCTAATTGTTTTTGTCATGTAATTCGTCGTAACTGATTGTCTAATGTCAGTTTAAAGAGAAAATTCAATTTTATTAAGTATAACTTTATTTCTATAGTTGATTGCATAGTAGGCATGAGATATACCTCCAACATTCTATACCCGGCCTCAAAGGTACGGGTATCGCCGTATACCCGGTGCTAAAACCCAGTATCAAAATACCTATAGGTATTAGTTATGTTCAGGCCTCCTTTTGGAGACCCGGTATGGAATTGAACCTTTCTTTGGTTGGAATTGGAACATTTAGATGTTTTTTTAGCAATCAGTTTTTTTTAAATTGAGATTTAATCAGTCTAAAATAAGCTCCATCTTTACTAACGTAAAGAACCCTATTATCAAAAAAAGTAATTCAAAATAAATATTACTGTTTAACCTTATTACGCAATTATTTATTTAACGTATGGTCATAGAAATAAAGAATAAATTTATCTCAAGGAATTATTTGGTATAAAATGCCTAAATCATACGTTTCAATTCGGAGCGTTATATACCGCCACCGTCGGACGAGGCGGCCATACCTTTTTTTTTTTGGTATCGTAGGGGGAAATCTTCAAAAGATACCCTGTCACTTTACATGACAGGGTTATGTGGGGTTCTTACCCACTAAAACCCCCTCGGTGGCCACCTTCTGTACAATTGGAGGGACTCCGAGATCTCCCATGGAACGCACCGGCGTCCCTCGGTACTACGCCTGAGCACGCCTCGGAGAAGGATAAACTTTCTCCAATCCCCTCATCCTCTTACAGCAACACGAGACCACTTCGTGCTGCTGCCCATCCGTGTCCCCTTTTAGTCGCCTTTTACGATAGGCAGGGGATACCTTAGCCCTATTCTATAAGCCCGGGACTACAGGGCTGGAGGCGGCCATACCTATCGGGTATGGAACGGGCCTCTGCCGTACATACCCGGTGTGCGTACTGGTATGTTCATACTGGGTATTTATACCTGTTCCAATATATCCGCCTCATCCCTATTGCATAGTTGTTGACTGTTCACGCCGAGGTTCTAACCTCCACCTGAGAGGCCCTTGGATCAAATTGGTCAAATTTTCCATCTTTGGGACCGGATGGCGTCTTCATGGCACAAATAAAATGTAACATATATGTACATAAATAAATATATAGATACATACATTTAAATATATACATATAAATATATATATAGAAATAAATACATAAATAAATACATATACGGATAATAAAAACAAAAATGGACTGTTATCTGCTTATCTGTAAATCTGGACTGATCTGGACCAATGATAGTAAAAAATATCGAGTACATAAGAAAGTATCGATACCTAATAAAGTATCGGAATAAAAGTATCGAGTACGAAAATACTAGGTATCGCAACGATATTTTTGCGAATTTCTAATCGAACGTCAAATGTCAAATCAGTTGAGTCAAAATATAGATGCCGAAAGTTGAAAATATATTGATATATCGATATTTATAAAAATATCAGTATCGGCCTCGATATATCGAAAATAATTACATATATCAATATATCAGTAATATTTTCAGTTTTAAAAAAAATAAGGTATTTAGTTCAATCTCATTCAATAATAAGTAATAGTAATTTTAAATTCACATTATTTAATTGAATGAGAAATTTTAATCAAATGTTATTTATTAATTTTAATAAAATTTCCTTAATAATCTAAATTTCTTTCTTAAAAATCGTAAAATTTGTATGTTATTTATCAAGACCTTCATTGGAAAAAAAACCAAACAGCTTATTTAGTACGATAAATCAGTTTTTTTAGCCCGGAATCGAATCAAAAAAGTAACTCATTAAAAGCATGTAACTTTGTAAAAGAAACGTAAAGAATTGTTTAAAACGAAGTTAATTACGGGTCATAAAGAAACCCGCAGCGACTTATTCTAAAAGACAGGCCTAGATCAACAGAATTTAGTATTAATAGTTGCTTGATTGACATGAAAATGCTGAACGATAATTTAAAGAAGTTACTTATGTGGTTAAATGATAATAATTTTTATGACGTCAAATATTTTTTTTATGAAAACTCGATATTATATTATGTGAAATTTAATTATTGAGAATTTGATTATAATTAAATTTATGTTAACTTTATTTACATATTAAATTTAAGTAACTTTAGTTTAAGCCATTAATATTTTGCATGCTATTTATAAATTAACATGATATGTATTTCAATATTAATGATTTGTAACACTTCTAAGTAAGTATAAAGCACGAAGCATCAAATTATAGTACAAATACCATAATTATACTACAAAATGCAACTCTGCATTCACGACAATACTAGTAATAGACCACAGTTTTTTCCATTCATTTTTATCTTTTACGGCTTCGACTCAGTTTGATTTTTTTTTTGGGCTGGATGAGCCGCTGTTGGCCTTAGGGGCCTTCACAGATCCGACGGACTTGAGGTGGCCTGGCACGGGGCACCTAGCCTGAACCTCGGCGTATTATTATTACGTGTTATGGTGACAAAGCTCGAGAGCTCCCGAAGGAGCCGGCTCGGGCCATCACGCTATTATTAATACCGGTTTGGGAGGCCCCCAAGCTCTTAGGGCGCTTTGGCGGACGCTCCATGGAGTAAATAGGCTCAAGGACCCCCGGAAGGAGACCTTGGCGTGGGCTGTCACTCAAAACGCGTTTAGCATTACGATTCGATTGTGCCCGAGAGGGCCGGACCTCGGCTCGATCGGTAGCTGTTATCTGGTTGGGAGAATTTCTAGAACTATCGTTACTACCACTTCGTAAAGCGTTGGCGCTGTGAGAGGAAGTAGTGGAAGAAACTCCAGCAACGCTCCTATCATTTACTGGGAAGAACCTGCCAGGGACGTGGCGGAACCTAGTATATGTTTGCCGCACTCGTCGGCGAGTGCGGTGTGTGTTGGTGTGCTTGCGTAGTTTTTTAATCGTTTCGATGGCGATAGTCGACTCATCGTCAGGGAAGTCACGAACATGTTGCGGTCTGCGGTAATCGCGACGGAAAGTACCTAGCGGCAAGGGTCTGTAGGTGGCGGCACCTTGTTCTTTGTGTCAGCGCGACGCCGACTTCAGGAATTGAGCGATGGTGGGCAACTCTAAATCGACATATAGGTCGATATTGTGCATGAACCAGGGTGCTCCCGTAGCTCTGCGCAAGAATCAATTCTGAATAATCTGAAGCCGGTGTATTTGCTTCGGAGCAATGTGCGCGAAAACCGGGCTCGCGTACGTCATAATAGGGCGAACTACTGCCTTGTATAAGGTCACCTTGTTCCAAAGGGACATTTTTGACGTTTTGTTGAGGAGCGGATGGAGGCGACCGAGTACGAAGGCCGCCCGGTTCCTGACTCGAGTCACGTACTGGCTGAATTTAAGTTGGGAGTCGAGGATGACACCTAGATATTTGACTCTGTTCACCCATGGTTTAACGGGGGGTGGATTAGGTACATTCTTTTTATGTGAGAAAAGGACGGCAGCGCTTTTGTCGGGGTTGATCTCGATCCTCCATTGCCGAAACCAGTCACTGATGGTGATGGCCGGAGCTTGAAAGCATCGATGGATCAATTCTGGTATTCTGACTGTGGTATAGAGACAGGTGTCGTTAGCAAGAAGGGCTAGTTCTACATCTTTGATCCGCGGCATGTCAATAGTGTAGAGCGAAGACTGGGCCCAACACTGACCCTTGGGGCACCCCGGCTCGAACGGGATGCGATGTCGAACACACGCCCTCAACGCGATAGGGAAAGGTCCGATTACTAAGGAAGTTTCATATTATGCATACGAGACGGTCGGGCACATCAGTTTGAATAAAAATATCGTTTTTGATACGATTTCGATATTCAATTTTTTATATCGATCAATCGGATCAAAATATATCGGCCAAAAACTATCGATATATTTAAAAAAATATCGATATATCGATATTTTTTCGGCATCCCTAAGACAAACAATCAATCGCATATCATTATCAACCGGTCGTGAACACAGCCCAAATTTTAAAATGAAGTTAAAATAAAATCTGGGGTTTTCTTTAGTAAAGTTTAAAATATAGTTTGATTTATACAAATTAATTAAAAGCAACACGATGACATCAGCATCAACTAGCAGTGCACGTTCATTGTTCGCCGAATCAAAACAAAGGCTTGCGGAGCGGGTTCAAGTGAATATGAATAATATTTCATCGCTTGCCCGGCAAATTCAACGGGGTTCTAAATCCAACGAGGTATAATATCAGTATTTATGAGTATGTTAGCCTAACATATATCTGACCACGAAGGTAAGGAGTAAAAAAAAAATGCATTTATTTTTATACCTGGGTCACGCAACAGCTGTGGCAACGCATCTGCAACCCTAGTACTGTTTCAAATGTCAATGGGCGACGGTTATTATCAGGTGAACCGCCAGCCCGCTTGCCACCTTCTCAGTAAATTGTGATCAGATACAAAGTATAATGTAAGTTTTACTGTAATTATATTGTTAAAATTTAAGTGTGTCAAATTCAATTTTTTCATGTGATTTCAACCGCAAGAAACGTTTCTGCTTTGCCCCCATACGTTGTGGGGTGATGTTCAATACCCTTTAAACATCCTCTAGAATTGGGCTATCAAATGCAAAAAGTTTTTTTCAAATCTATTTAGCCTGTTCAAAGAAACAAACAAATATACAAACTCTTCATTTTTAAGTTATACTAGTCGCCAATGGTCAATATTCAACCATAATTTTTTTTTATGTGAGAAGGTCACAAAGGAGCTCGCCAGTTATTAAGTGATTATTTGCAACACCTGTAGGGTTGCTACCTTTTAACAAAGTGGGCCCCGCCTACCTCATTCACCAGAAGGAACTTCCACTTTATGCCGGTCTTCTGTGAGGTTATGGTACTTACCCGGACAGACTACCCTTTTGGGCAACAGCGATGACTGTTGCATGGCCATACCATGGTTACTAAAAAAAATCATTATTCATAGATGGTACATTAGTACATGCTACTTTATTTATACATAGGTTTTTTTTAATTGATTTAATGTCATTTTTATGCATACACAATTTGAAAAAAAATTTTGCATTCTGCACTCCTTAACTTATGATTATTAAAATTTCAGCTCCTATCAAAAGGTGCTCGAGATATGGCAGTCACCGAAAACATAATGGAGAATAGTGAAGAAAACTTGAAAAAGATGCAGCTCATAGCTGTACATATTGGTTATCAATATGAAAGCATTCAAAAATCTGCTGAAATGCTATCGGAGATTAGTGAACAGGTGGCTGCTATGCAGAGATGAATACTATTAGTTAAATTATTTATAATTTGATTGTAGCATAATGATTATAGTTTAATTTATTCAGACAAATTTGTCTATATCAATTTAAGTTATTTTTCAGGCAATGTGAAAGTGATTTCATTTGTGATTTTGTTTGTTCTCAGGAGAATATAATTTAATTTATATTAGGAACACTTAGCACAATATAATAATTTTATTGTAAAGATAAAAATATATTTGATTCAAAGGTTCTTGATAATTATTATGTTCATTAAATTAAAATCAAAATGAATTAAAAGTAGTAACTAGTCATTTTACTTAAATTCCTTTTCATTTGTATAAAATTAAATGGTAAAAGTTTCATGGAAAGTGGTTCATTGCTTGATAATGATCTTGACTTATTGTACAACCCTGATCATCATGCCTGGAGATTGAAAAGATGCAAACAAGTAGACCTTACCATAAAATTTGATCCATTAGAGTCCTACTTTTCATGAGTCAAGTTGTCATCTGCAGACACAATTCAGATCTCTCTTGAACACCGTTAGTTTGGATGTAATGCCATGTGAAGCACTTTCTACCAAATTGGTATCTTTTGCTTTTGAATGTTTTTTATATAGTTATTTATTATATACATACACAGACACTTAGAGTATTTGTGTAAGTTTCACTCTGCTGTAAAAGTATAGTAAAGTAACAGTCTGTAATTAATTATTTGTCTCACAGCTGGGCAAAGGCCTCCTCTGTACAGAGGGTATTAGGGCATAGTCCACCACGCGGCTCCACTGCGGATTGGCGGACTTCACATATCTTCGAAATATGTTTTTTTTTACATATTTCGAAAATATGCAGGTTTCTTAATGATGTTTTCTTTCACCGCTGGTCACGTGATTATGCACATAATTTGTACGCACATTCATTTCTTATTACGCACATAAAATTAACAATTTCATTGGTGGTTTTATTGGTCGATCCCCGGTCGAAAATGAGCTACCACGGCTTATTTCACTCAGCTGTGGAATAAATTATTCTACACATCTATAGGTACATCATCATCATCATCATTTCAGGCAGAATAAGTCTACTGTTGAACATAGGCCTCCCCCACAGACCGCCACGAAGCACGATCCTGAGCCACCTGCATCCATCGACTTCCCGCACATTTGTACAGATTGTCACTCCACCTAGTGGGGGCGCCGTCCAACACTGCGGTGGCCAGTACCGGTGCAGTAAAGTGTAAACGTACGTTAAAATAGTGTGCAGCAGGTTGGTTTACAAACATTTTGTGCTAAACTTCAGCATTGCACGTACTAAGACGGTATCGCGTTCAGCGTTTGTCTCCACCGGCTTCCCGCCGGACAACACTACACCCACAGTTAGTGCAACAACAAACACACTAGTTCGCCCTCGCCTCCGAGGACGGCGAGACCAACACAAAGCGTACACAAGGTACACCCGCGTTCCGGGGCGTTTCTCACCGCCCCCAGCCACCGATTAGCTAATTGCACAGTCGACGGCCATCGGGGTTTCGGTCCGAACCGCGACCTCGATGGCCCTTAGATGACACACCCACAAATTTATACAGAAAAGTATACATAATTTGTTACCGTTTACTTTAGTGAGTCGACCAGACAAACATACGTGTCGTACACTGTGCATTTCAATGCCGCACAGTTCAACACACTGGTGGAATCGCATCTTTACAAGCACCTGATTTTTGAAGGAATTTGATGTACTATTCATAGTGTTTAAATTTTTTTTGTATAACTGATGCTACGCTTTCAGTCCTTATACTATTAAACTTCATCTAACGTAGAGCCAGAACCCACGGGTCCGAGGCCCTCCTCAGTGGGTAGGCCCGCGCATGTACTCATGCATGCGTTAATTATGACATGTCGCCTACGGGCCATCGAGGTTCGGTGCGGCCGTGACCCTGATAGTCTACTTAGTGTACGCGTTGTGTTGGTTTCGCCGTGCTCGAAGGCGAGGACGAACTATGGTGTTGGTTGATGCACTAACTGAGTGTGTAGTGTTCATTGAAATTGCTTCCACTGCGGTGGGAGAGACCAGGAAGAGTTCTGGGGTGATTCGAAGCTTCATAGGATTGTAATACACCAAAATTATAAAATTCTCCTGATTTATAATAAAACTAGCGACCCGCCCCGGCTTCGCACTGGGGCAATGTATTTATTATACATATATATAAACCTTCCCCTTGAATCACTGTATCTAGTAAAAAACACCGTATCAAGATCAACGGATCGGAACGGCGTAGTTTTAAAGATCTAAGCATACATAGGGACAGAGAGACAGCGGTACGACTTTGATTATTACTATGGAGTGAAGATTAAAAATGCGAACAGTCTGTAAGTGAGTTAAAATGAATTGAAATTCCAGCTATGTATCAAATTGTGTTTCAGATCAAATTCCAGCTATGTATTTTTCATGGTCAGTGAAATATTTTACTGCATGATAAAAGGTTTAGGGCAGTGCCATTATTGCGGGGTAAGCGGAATAATGTATAAAAAATAATATTTTCCGGGTATATTTTTACAGTCTCGACCCGATTGGTAGTGGGTTCGATCACTATTACTGGAAAAATATTGTGTGATGAATGTTTTGTAGTTTCACTATCCACTATGGCAACCAAGAATAATACAGATTAAAGGAAACAATATATATATTGTGTGATGGTATTTTTTATTGATTTCAAAAATCACTATAGTGGCAGCAAATGAACGAAAAGACGCTCAAATGGTTATTCAATGTTTTCTGGTACCGCGGATTTGAGCAGTTTGCACATATCATTTCTTGATCAGAGGCAAAACTGAGGGGTAGCCGGTGTAGTACGACGGATAGTAGGATGCGCTGGGGAGGATGGCTGTGGAGTAAGTGGTGGTCAGTGGGGCGGACGCTACGTAAGTAGATGCCAGGGGAGCTGGAGCGATGTAAGGGATGGATGCTGAACGCTTCTTGATGAAGTGTGTTGGTGCAGCATACGTGGGCAGCACGGCGGACGAGTAGGCGGCGATCGGGGCGCGGGCGATGTATGTCGAGGCGTAGGGGGCTACCACGGGAGCGCTGGCGACGTAGGCAGTAGGGGCCACGTAGCCGTTGTACAATGACGCCGAGCGCTTCTTGATAAAGTGGGGGAACGACAGCTCCGAGTAGACCGTGGGCGCCGGGATGTAGCTTCGTGTCTGCTGCACGTAGGTGGTGGTGGCTGGAGCCGCTAAGGTCGCCGCGTAAGCGACAGGCGCCAGCGGGGCGGAGAAGAAGCCCGGCTCGGCGGCCGCGGCGGCGAGGAGAGCGGACAATACCACGAGCTTGAACATTGTGAAGCGACTGATGCCCGTGGCTGTGTCAGTATCGTTTTTATACTGATGTTCGTTTGACTAAGGGCAAATTGGTTCGTTGGCCGCGGAGCTTATATTCAGGAAGCTTGATATTTATATCGAGCAAGGTCGGCGAGAAGGTGGTGGGCAAAAAGCTAATCTGTGCTGAATAATTATGTACGTGTATTTTTTTTATTCACTTTATGTTAGTACAGCATTAAAAACAAAAGAAATTAAGACAACTTCATTTAAAGCTTTTTTATATGTAACGCTACATTGCGAATCATTAAATCGTTTTATTAAAATTTAAAAATTTTCACCGAGTATAGAAATATAAATATAATAAAATTGGTTTTTAATGATTTCTTGTAAAAACGACAAAGGGTGTTTAATAGATTCATCTCAATACCTAATATTAAAGTTTTAAAGGGGTTTAAAATAAAAGTAATGAGTTCAGTTTTAGATTAGTTTTAAAGAAAGAAATCCCGTATCTCTTATATGACCAATGAAAGTAAAAAAAGTAAAGTAACAGCCTATACATGTCCCACTGTTGGGCAAAGGCCTCCTCTGTACAGAGGCATAGTCCACCACGCGGCCCCACTGCGGATTGGCGGACTTCACATATCTTCGAAAAATATTTTTTTTTTGTTATTATTTTCAGGTTTCCTCACGATGTTTTCCTTCACCGTGCACGTGCGGAGCACGTGATAAGTCAGCACTTAAAGTTAAAAACTTCATTGGTGCCGGCACCGGGGATCGAACTCAGGTTGCTCGAGTATATTGAATTAAAGGCGAGCACCCGGACACTGAGCTATCACGGCTCTATACTTGGCATTAATGAATATAAGAGATGAGGGGAAAGGCTAAAACATCCATGTAGATCAGCTTGGATTCCGCAAATAAAATAGTCACGCATGAGATTATCTAAAGTTTGAGAAATGAATTTGGTAGATGAACTAAAAAACTCACCATGATACGACACCATAAACAAAATAGGCACTAATTTTGCAACATCCATAGCTGTGGTGTAAATACCTGTACGATATTAACTTAATAAACTTTTTAAAAGTGCAAAGCTCTGCAACATGTAGCGTTAGTAAGATCCGCTAATATATTGCTGGATAACTCGACGTTAATGCTTTATAATAAACAACTGTTCGGAAAACATCTGTGTTGCATGGTGTGTCCTGTAACAATTTATTTAATAGCAAATTAGGCATTTTTGGCTTTTATTCAGGCATATTTGTTACGTAACCGATAGAGGATTAGGCTAGGTTTACCATTGTCCAATGCGACAAGACAAAAGAAGACAAGATAATTTATTGCAGGTACAAGTTGCGTCAATTTATACGATTCATAAACGAAATTGCAAGAATTTTCAATGCCGTTTACACATTTCATTCTTGCAAGACATTTGTGAACAGGCCAACGGGTGGCAACGCGGGCTTCGGCATCATAGAGTCGATGCCAATGGATACAGGCTTTAAATACAAGAATATACCCTATTTCATTGTGAACTCTTCTTTCTTATTCTACAAGGAAATTACTAACAAGTTAAATAACATTCAATCCATTCCATCCTAATTACTTGCAGTGTTCTTGTAATATTCCAGATGAACGTTACATGACCTACATTTTACAAACAAAATGTGATATAAAAGTAACTTGACATAATTTCATGATTCGTGGATATCCATCATACTATAAAGCACTAAGGATAAAATGGGGGATAAGTCATGGCCAAGTTGATTTTGGCGGGCGCTGTGTGGATGGATGCCAAGAGAACGGCAGTGATTGCCGACACTACGAACATCGCTTCTTAATGAAGTGATGGTAGGACAGGGATTAATACCAGAAGCTATGTTGTATGTTCTTTAAGAGAATTGAGTTAATATGTGAAGCCGTTAAAGTAGATTACTAAATGATACACATATTTCATCATCATCGTCATTCTATTGCCCTTATCCCACCTAGATGGGGTCGGCTGAACATGTGAATCGTGTTGAGTAGTTTTTAGCTTATTTTTTTACGACCGGCTGCTTTCCTAACCTCTAATCTCATTGGAAAATAAAGAACCAGATCCGGAATAGTTGTTATTTTTATGTAAGTGCACACAAATATCTTGTCCCGTGTGGTAATCGAACCCATGATCCCCGACGCTGAAGCCAATAGCGTAGCAACAACGCCACCGAGAATGTGTGTACACAAATAATGAAATAAATAATATAGATAACTTTATGCGACTACTATCTACTTATAATTTTATTCATCTCCACCCACAAACGTCCTCGAATGTAAAAACGTTTCAATTCCATTATTGAAACGAGTATTCGAACTCTTCTACGGCCTTGTAGCTATAAATGTCAGGCTACAAAATGAAAAGAAATTAGGTAGGCATACTTTAAGGCACACCGCCCTTAATAAAGTATATAAACATCGATATTCTAGTAAATGACATCAGTCGCTTCTACAATGTTCAAGCTCGTGGTATTGTCTGCTCTCCTCATCGCCGTGGCCGCTGAGCCGGGCTTCTTCTCCGCCCCGCTGGCGCCTGTCACTTACGCGGCGACTGTTGCGGCCCCCGCCACCACCACCTACGTGCAGTCCAGCAGCTACATAGCACCCACGGTCTATTCATCCCTGCCCTACCCTCACTTCATCAAGAAGCGCTCGGCGGAAGCTGACACCGCCGCTGAGGATGCAGCACCACAAACAGCACACAATAAACGCTCGGTCTTGCTTGCAGAACCCGCCCTAGCCCCCGCGGCATACGGCCCTGCCTACATTGCGTCGGCCCCTCTGGCTGCGCCTTACTCCCCCGCTATCATCCCCAGTGCCTCCTACTACCCTTCCTACTATCCATCATACTACGCTGGCTATCCCGCTGCGGTGCCTTTGATCAAGAAATAATTCTAACGAATTAACCTTGGTAACCGTTCGATGGACGACGCTGGTATGATTTCAGCGATGTCTACGTAAATAAAAACACACAATCAAATCATCTGTTTAATTATTTATTCTCATCCTGGAAGAGTGTTGTACTGACATATAATAATAATAATTAAGCGAAGCAAAAAAGCGATGCATCCTTGCCCGATACGTAAACCCTCCAGTTTCACTCTTTTTGCCCTAAGATACGCCCGCATTGCGTTCCTATCCGTTTTTGGAGTCCAGCGCAAGTGGCTTATTCCACCAGCGGTGGGTGCCGATTGCTGGATTCGAGAGGAGCTTGCCGACACCAAGCCAACTGGTGGGGATGATGAATGCGAGGTACTGCTTAGTGGTCGTGCAGTACCCCGTGCTCGGCTGGCGTCCCGCATGCTGCCACGTCCAGCGCCAGCTCCAGACGCGTCCTGGCGGCCCTATGCGTATTCTCTGGGAGTCCATCATCCATTATACTTTAGGGCGTCGAACGTTTTCAATAGTGTGGAACGTTTTCAATAGGGTGGAAACGCACGGACGAGCCTATGTACCCAGACACCTCTTGGCAAGGCGCTGACTGCTTGCGCGGAAGAACTGTTACGCAGTTCTGTCACGTCGGCGCACGTTCGGGACGGATCGCGCCAAGCTCAAATGCAGAAGGCGGTGCTCCTCGATACCGCCCACATCGTCCGCCGGTTTCTCTCCCTTTCGCCCTAACCCCTGCCGATATAATTATGTTCATCGAAGCCCAGATGGTTTTTTATTTTAATTTTTTTTCCGAGTCCATATGATTATTTTTTTCCCTTTTGTGATGTCATCCAGGTACTAAGACTTATTTGTTGTGTACCAATTACGTCAGCTTCAGCCTGGTGCATGGATTAATAAGTATAAGTACGTTTTCATTGGATTCTTTAAAATGTTGAAGAAACAAATGACTGCGGTATTGGTGTTAAGAAGCCAACAAGAGTAAATTATTACACCTCGGTTTACCAAAAGCCAGCACCATTATTGATTTCATAAATTTGCAGCATTCTTATTATTCTCACAAGTGAGGCTAATAAAAGCGTGTTAAAAATAGTCGTAATTCTCAATTGATACCATTGACCTTCTCACCAAAAGAATAAACAAAAACGAAACAAAATAATTTTCTTAAATTTCTTTAAATCTAAATGAAATTCTCTCGTATTAATTCAGCCAGAATTAATTTTTAGATTAAAAATATTGCATAGTACAGCATAGAAAAAAAATTGTAAATGATTTTAGCAAATCTATCAAAAAATCACCATCTTTTATCGTGTTGCTTCGACTTTTTTATTTGTATTATCATGTGCTCATCGGCGAAGGAAAACATCGTGAGGAAAGCTGCATATTTTCGAATTAATAACCAAAAAAAATATTTTGATGATATGTGAAGTCCTCCAATCCGCAATGGGGCCGCGTGGTGGACTATGTCCTGATACCCTCTATATAGAGGAGGCCCTTGCCCAGCAGCGGGACATTTATAAGCTGTTACTTATTTTTTTACTTTTACTTAATGCCGGTCTTCTGTTATGTTTATGAGCTCGTCCCTGAGTAAACCTTGCAATGAAATGTAAAGTATTGGAACAATTGCCACTGTTAAGATAACTTATCAAAAGTTAGAATTCCAAGTTCCCTCAATCCTGTACTTAAAATTATTACAGGTATACCTAACGTATCTATAGCAGATGCTTTGACTTCCGTTACAGCATAATGCTGAACTGTTGACCTAATTTACCGGAATAGGGCGTACACTATTTTTTTGTTTGTTAAAGTTATTTTTCATTTGTTTTATATTTTAATTATGCATTTATGTTCTCTTGCTTTACTGTATTATTTATAAGTATTTTTTTATTTATTTCTTTTATTTTTTTTTTTGCTAAATTTTGTTTGTTTTTTTTTTAGCTGTGTGCATCCTTTTTTTTGGTAAATAAATTTATTTTCTTTCTTTCTTCGTTCTAGATATACTGTTTTTGTAATGAGTAATTTTGTGTGATTTAACTGCGACCATGAGGTGATAAAATGCGGGCTTAAGTTACAGGGCCTTAGAACGAAAAAAAAAATATTATTTTGGGAGAAATTTCTCTCTTTTCTTGGTCTGTTCGTCCTGGCACCTTGCCTACTTGACGAATAATTAATTATCCAATCGAACATTTCCTAATATTTTGTCTGCAATAGTTTAACCATCCAATAGTTTAACACATGTTTTGTCTTCATAGTTTAAATAAGGATTGGCTAACATTAAACCATTTGAGCTCATTACAGCCTGTTTCCAATCTTTAAGATTTTAAAGCTTTTAGATGTACAATCTTTGCAAGTAATAAGTTCCCATTCGTCTCCATAATTTCTTATTCATCATAATATTGTTTAAAAATTAAAATACGGTGACTACTTTAGCGCGTTTGATAAGTGACCGGCTTCAGTTTTGTAGGTATGGGATAACCTTTTAAATGGATCTGTTATCTGTTATGCTTTTTTCTTTATCTTTAGTGAACGGAGTAGAATAGATTCATTTCACCTTATCGCTTTAAAAAGTTTTATATCTTGCCGAAGGGTGACTACAGTAAAGCTTTGTTGAAACTTCTATGTAGTCTTCCTATTTTGAGGTATTGTATTTTTTAAACTTATATTACAAATGAGTAAGAAAACGAATTTCCCACCAAGTGACCGTGAAATTATAAAGTTCCTGGACTTTTATATTTGGGAAGACTGCACACTACAGCACTGGTGATAATAAATTCCCTTAGCTGAAAAAAAAAGAACAAAACAAATATATTTTCGAGTCACTATTACTGAAAATGTGTACCTAACTAGGCTAGGTTTACCATTGTCCAATGCGACAAGACAAAAGAAGACAAGATAATTTATTGCAGGTACAAGTTGCGTCAATTTATACGATTCATAAACGAAATTGCAAGAATTTTCAATGCCGTTTACACATTTCATTCTTGCAAGACATTTGTGAACAGGCCAACGGGTGGCAACGCGGGCTTCGGCAGCATAGAATCGATGCCAATGGATACAGACTTTAAATGCAAGAATATACCCTATTTCATTGTGAACTCTTCTTTCTTATTCCACAAGGAAATTACTAACAAGTTAAATAACATTCAATCCATTCCATCCTAATTACTTGCAGTGTTCTTGTAATATTCCAGATGAACGTTACATGACCTACATTTTACAAACAAAATGTGATATAAAAGTAACTTGACATAATTTCATGATTCGTGGATATCCATCATACTATAAAGCACTAAGGATAAAATGGGGGATAAGTCATGGCCAAGTTGATTTTGGCGGGCGCTGTGTGGATGGATGCCAAGAGAACGGCAGTGATTGCCGACACTACGAACATCGCTTCTTAATGAAGTGATGGTAGGACAGGGATTAATACCAGAAGCTATGTTGTATGTTCTTTAAGAGAATTGAGTTAATATGTGAAGCCGTTAAAGTAGATTACTAAATGATACACATATTTCATCATCATCGTCATTCTTTTGCCCTTATCCCACCTAGATGGGGTCGGCTGAACATGTGAATCGTGTTGAGTAGTTTTAGCTTATTTTTTACGACCGGCTGCTTTCCTAACCTCTAATCTCATTGGAAAATAAAGAACCAGATCCGGAATAGTTGTTATTTTTATGTAAGTGCACACAAATATCTTGTCCCGTGTGGTAATCGAACCCATGATCCCCGACGCTGAAGCCAATAGCGTAGCAACAACGCCACCGAGAATGTGTGTACACAAATAATGAAATAAATAATATAGATAACTTTATGCGACTACTATCTACTTATAATTTTATTCATCTCCACCCACAAACGTCCTCGAATGTAAAAAACGTTTCAATTCCATTATTGAAACGAGTATTCGAACTCTTCTACGGCCTTGTAGCTATAAATGTCAGGCTACAAAATGAAAAGAAATTAGGTAGGCATACTTTAAGGCACACCGCCCTTAATAAAGTATATAAACATCGATATTCTAGTAAATGACATCAGTCGCTTCTACAATGTTCAAGCTCGTGGTATTGTCTGCTCTCCTCATCGCCGTGGCCGCTGAGCCGGGCTTCTTCTCCGCCCCGCTGGCGCCTGTCACTTACGCGGCGACCGTTGCGGCCCCCTCCACCACCACCTACGTGCAGTCCAGCAGCTACATAGCACCCACGGTCTATTCATCCCTGCCCTACCCTCACTTCATCAAGAAGCGCTCGGCGGAAGCTGACACCGCCGCTGAGGATGCAGCACCACAAACAGCACACAATAAACGCTCGGTCTTGCTTGCAGAACCCGCCCTAGCCCCCGCGGCATACGGCCCTGCCTACATTGCGTCGGCCCCCTCTGGCTGCGCCTTACTCCCCGCTATCATCCCCAGTGCCTCCTACTACCCTTCCTACTATCCATCATACTACGCTGGCTATCCCGCTGCGGTGCCTTTGATCAAGAAATAATTCTAACGAATTATCCTTGGTAACCGTTCGATGGACGACGCTGGTATGATTTCAGCGATGTCTACGTAAATAAAAACACACAATCAAATCATCTGTTTAATTATTTATTCTCATCCTGGAAGAGTGTTGTACTGACATATAATAATAATAATTAAGCGAAGCAAAAAAGCGATGCATCCTTGCCCGATACGTAAACCCTCCAGTTTCACTCTTTTTGCCCTAAGATACGCCCGCATTGCGTTCCTATTCGTTTTTGGAGTCCAGCGCAAGTGGCTTATTCCACCAGCGGTGGGTGCCGATTGCTGGATTCGAGAGGACCTTGCCGACACCAAGCCAACTGGTGGGGATGATGAATGCGAGGTACTGCTTAGTGGTCGTGCAGTACCCCGTGCTCGGCTGGCGTCCCGCATGCTGCCACGTCCAGCGCCAGCTCCAGACGCGTCCTGGCGGCCCTATGCGTATTCTCTGGGAGTCCATCATCCATTATACTTTAGGGCGTCGAACGTTTTCAAT